CTTATTAATAATCCTATTAACTTATATTAATATTATAGAGATATCTTATAGAGTATTTTTAGCTTAGTCTAAAGGTTATAAATTATCTATTAAATAGTTTAAGTTTCTAACTATAAACTTAGTTAGTATAGTAAACCTTCTTAATAGGTTTATTATTATACCTTTTAGAGTAAAATTAATAATTATACTTATTTTTAAGGTATTTTTTATAGTTATTAAAGAAGTATTATAGCTAATAGAGGTATTAATAGTAGTTACTTTCTATATATAAATATAGATAGTTATTTAGTTTTAACTTTAGTTTATAGCTTCTATTATATTATCCTCTTAAGGTATTAAAGAATTCTAATATCTATTTATCCTTTATAGAGTTAATTCTCTTATATTAAAGGCGTTTATTAACCCTAATAGCTTTATTATTAGAGTTCTATTTAGAACTAATATTATTAATATTAGGTTTATACCTATAAATAGCTTCTATCTAAATATATTATTAAGTAATATTATAAGGTTTATCTAAGTTATAAGGTAATTCTTTATAGGTTTCTACTTATTTACTAATTTATATATCTATATAAGGATTTAACTTATTATTAATAGTTTTAATAATATTATTTATATATTTAAGATCTATTAGTTTTATAATTATTATAGTAGTTATAGTTTCTTTTAGAGCTCTATACTCTAAAAGGCTATTAAGTTATTTTTACACTTTTTATTTTAGCTTATTATTACTTTAATATCCTATAGTAAAGGTTTATTAGTTTAAAGGTCTATTAATATTTTTTACTTTAATAGTATTATATTCTATCTTATTAAGGTCCTTAAGGTACTATTCTATATATTCTTTAGAGTCTAAATAAACTCTATAGTTATTATTAAAGTAGGTAGTCTAACTAAGTTATTTATAAGGGATTACCTTAATAATAGTACTAATTTATCTTTTCTTAAGTACTAACTAGAAGCGTTCTTTTTTAAGTACTTTATATTTCTTTATAAAGTATTTATTCTTATTATAGTTATAATACTTAATATTTTTCTTCTAGCTATTATTCTTATTATTATTATATTAAGCTATACTAAAGTCTATAGGCTTATTATAATATCTATAAGTAATATTATTATATTTATTATATTAATTATTATTATAATATTAAAGCTATTATTAATACTTATAGCTAGAGTTAATAGGTTATTATTATTTACTTTTCTATTTATATTATTTATATAATTAATTATTAATCTTAAGAATAAGCTTAATATACTAGAGGAAGTCTTTAAGTCTATTAACTTTAATAAGTTTATTTTTAAGTTTATTTTTAAAGTTATTATAAAATATAAAGATCTTACTTTTATTACTTAAGTCTAATTAAATATAAATCTATTAAAACTCTATAGTATAGTTTTTAGGTAATTTAATTTATTTAAAGTAAAATAAATGTTATTTAGCTTATTATTTCTTATTAGAGTTTTAAAATAGAGACTTTAGAGTAGACTTAAAGCTTTAGAAGTTACTAAAAATATCTCTAACTTTATAGAATAATAATTAAATATCTCTTTATTAAGATATTCTTTAAAAAAGGGTTTAAACTACTAGAGAGCTTATTCTTTAAGAAAAGTAAATATATAAATAACCTTTTTAATTTTATTTTTAAAGTTATTATAATAGAAGTTTTAATAGTTTTTAATTTAAATAAGGAATCCTTTAAGTTATTCTAAAGATCTATTAAATAAGTTAAAGGAGTTAAATTAAAGTTTCTCTCTTTTCTTTATAATAGGGGTAATAATAATATTAATAGTAGCTTAAAGAGTATAGTTTTATTTTTTAAGCTTTAAGGTATATTAATTAAATTATTTAAAGGCTTTTTAAAGTTTTTTAATAAGATATAAATTACTATTAAATATTTTCTATATCTATTAGATATTATAGTTAACTTATTAAAGTTCTTCTTTTAGGGTATTATTATTATTATTATTACTACTATCTTTTATTTTTTAATCTCTAAGTTTTTAAGCTAAGTTCTTTTTAATAAGAGCCTTTTTAATACTAAAGGAAGATTTAATACTAAAGGTCTTTTTAAAGAGTTATAAAGATATTATAGTACTATTAGTAGTTCTTAAAGAGTAACTTACTAAATAGGAGTAATTAAAGTATTATAGCTAGCTAACTAATAATAGGGTTTATATTAATAGTAAGTTAAATAATAATAATAATAATAATAATTTATTATTTTATAGGTCTAATTAAAGAATTATAAGTCTTTAAAGGGCTTAATAATTAGTTAAGTTCTTAATAAGAGTTATTAAGTAATTATTATTTAAGTATAGCTAAAAGTATTATAAGTAATAATTATAAATTAATTACTAAAAAGCTATAAAAGTCTAACCTGAAATAGACTTAAATCTATTCTATATATAAGTCTTAAATACCTTTTTTATCTTAAGACTAATAAGGATATATTAGTTCTATCTTAAGGACTATTTAGGATATATTAATTCTACTTTTAGTTAGTCTTTAGTATTCCTTAGGACTATTTATTAAACGTTAGTCCTTTTTATTATTATATAATTTATACTATAGTTCTTTTATTCTAAAGGATCCCTTTTATTCTTATAATCCTATATATAAAAGTATTATTATAACTACCTAGCTCCCTATAGGTCTTAAGCTTTATTAGTTATACCTAATAGGTTATAATACCTATAGGGCGTTCTTTATTATTTATACCTTATAGGTTATAATATTACTATTTATAGGACTTAGTTTAGTAGTTACTAAGTCTATTATATAGTTATTAATATTAATATTTTAAATTAATATATTTATAAAGTAGATAAGTAAGGTATAGCCTTTAGATTAATAATAGATATTTCTTTAAGAAGTATAATAATCTTTATTCTTTTAATTAGTATATATATATAATATATATATTAAAATATATAGAATCCTTTAAGGAATCTAAAAATAATATTTATTTTATTAAAGTACTTCTATTTATAGAGATATAATCTCTTAAATATATTTATAATTTAATATAATATTAATATTATAGAACAAAGTATAACTAATAACTTTCTAACTTAAGATTAATAACTACTTATATAGATTTAAGGATTAAATCTTTTAATAGGAAACTTAATATTATAATCTATTAAGTATAACTAATAGAGAAAGGCCTTATAAGGATAGTTTATAGTTAAAATAATACTCTTATATATAAGATTATAAGAATATATAAGACTTCTTAAAATAAAAAAAACTATAATATTAAGTTATATAAAAATAAAATAAAGATAATTAATAGATTTTAAGAGAAAATAATTAGTAATTAATTAATAATACTAATTAATTATAATTACTTAAATATAAAAATAATTATTAAGTATAAAGATAAAAGATATTACTTAAGACTTATATATAATATAAGCTCAAGTCTTCTTAAGTTTAGACTTTAATAGCCTTTTTATAATTAACTTTATAATTACTATTATTAATACTTTTAGCTATCTTAAATAAATAATAAGCTTATAACTCTTATTAAGGCTTTAATTAATTACTAAGTCCCCTAAAGATCTATAATTTATTTACCTATTAGGACTTTAGACTATTTATATCTTTAATCCCTAACTTACTATTAATATAAAACCCAGTATTAGTTAGCTAGCTGTAATAATCTAGGCTAAGGTTATACTCTAGCCTTTCTATATCCTTAAGAACCCCTTTATCTATAAGCATATATTTAATCCAATATCAAGAGCTTAGCGGGCAATAACGACACAGAACATAATACTTACGCCGAAAATCTCAGAACGCAGTGCCTCATCAGTCTCTATGCCTATAGTAATAGTGAAGCTACGAAAGAAAGCTTCCGGTATCATCGACGGTCTTCCATTTACCGTAATGATTCTATAACCTGTGTCGATATAAAACCGGAAGTAGTCCTTAATCTCGGTCATACTTAGAGCAGGTGCACCTTTGCGTAGCACCCTGGGGTCGGTCCAGTAAACAATGTTACCGTGGCTGTCAGTGTTGGCGCTTGCACTAACACCGTCACTTGGGCACCCGCTGACCCCGCTCACCTTGCTCACGCTGCTCACCCGAAGCTCGCCTTAGGCATCGTTTTACTAGGTTAAAGCAGCCACATCAAGGTGAGAAACTGGGTGAGGTGATCGCACTTAAACAGTAAAGTGTTGTGCCACTACATGAAGCGGCAGCATACGGCAGTGCACGGCACTTGCAACGGCTCATTGACTCTGGAGCCAATGCTCATGCCAGGACCAATAAGGGCGAGACGGCACTGCATTTGGTCGGAGGTGATCCAGACGCCCCATATCTTGGAGAGGACGGGGAAGCAGAAGCGAAGGCCAGGTTGATTGTGGCTGCCGGTATCGATGTAAACGCGAGGACGACCTCGGGTGAGACGGCTTTAGATCGTGCATTGAAGTGCAATCGAGATGCGGTCGCAGGCTTTATCCGTGAGACGATGGTTCAAGAGCCGGAAGGGAACTAAGTCGCACATCACTTTAATCCGAGTGCATGGTGTACAGTCGCTGTTGTCTCAAGTTCTCAACTTCTGATATAAACATGTACGACGGCCGGGAGGGATAGTTCAAATATATTGCTGTTTCAATATATTCAATCGGTTGTTGAGCATTTGATACGTACTAGATGGTTGGCTTCTCGTTGGCTGCTTTTGAAGGCCTACTGGACCTCGATCAGCGAGGTTAGAATGCACAAAGAAGAGCTGGTTGATTAAGCAACGGTGTAAGGAACGAGGTTGAGCTAGATTATACAACCCAAGTGCAATTGCTTTGCTTTCCCTCGCATGCTTTGGGATAGTAAAGGCCTGCGTTGAATGCTGTATCAGGGCTGGCCGACTGTGACGCGGGCCCCAAATAGGGTAAGTAGGTTTCTCACCTGCTTCAACTGTACTCAATGTCATTCGACTACGGCTTCGTTCTCAAGTCTTAGATACACGGTTTTGGTGCTCTGACAAACTTCAACCGAGCCAGAAAGTCCCCTCAACCTCCACAATATCATCATCATTCAACCTCTGCATCTCAACAATCGTGCTCGGCGGAAACATAACCTCCCCCGTCGAATTCATCTCACCCCACAACTCCTGCTGAACGCGGTTGACAATGGGCCGATAGCGATACATATCCGACACATAAACAACCAGCCGAACGCACGACGTCTAAGCAACCAACCCATCAACAACCAACACACAGTCCGTTGCTTCAGTGATAACTTACCAAGTCACTCCCAGCCGAGCGCGCCAGGGCAGCCATGTTCTCGTACGCCAGACGTATCCTGGGATATCCGACCTCGGCGAGGGAGTTGTTCGACGGATGGATCCCGCGAACGCCGGCGACGTAGAGCGTCGAGCCCGCGATCGAGAGCAGGCTGAATGGTCCCGTGACGTCGTAGCTTGTTGAGGGGTTGATGTACTGCACGCCGAGCGGGGATGTGTAGTTTGGTTCCAAGGTGAGTTCGTTCGGCTGTGGGGTTTCTGGGCTGGCTGCTGTGAAGGCGAACAAGAGAGTCATCGTTGCCTTGAGGATCTTCATCGTGAGCTCCTTGTTGTGAGGATGTGATCCTAGAGATGAAGCTGCGAGAGCACGAGAGAGTCAAGACGAATCAGATTGTTCGTCTGTTTATGCTTCTTCAGGACCGTCGTGCGGGTGTTAGTGAGCTGCAGGGATGGATGCGCGTGACGTCAGGCATGTCACCTAGCACAAGAATTTCATGATTGATAGCTTGCCAAGGACACATCTATGCATGCCAATGAACTAAATAGATAGATAACGGAACGAGGGTGGTCCGACTGGAAGACTCAAGACTCCATGGTCAAGCGCCCTAATAGCAAAGCATAAGAAACACGCGTCTTCCGTTTTCTCTAAGAGTATGTTTCCATCAAACAAGTAAGGGTTGTTTGAGGCATCTCGTCTCACCTCCTCCGTCGCCCGTCTTCAATCACTCACATAAACAGGCTCGAGACGGACATACTACCGCGACACCAAAGACGACTACAATGACGATAATTAGGTTGCAACTTGCCCCCTCATCAAAAACATACATCCAAAACCTCCGCATCCAACCCAAAAAAAGAAACCAATCCCACCAAGCTCACCCACACGCAAAAAGGATGCCCCCTCACGGGATTGAACCGTGGACCTTCTCATGTTTCGCACACAGATACGAGTGAGACGCTCTACCACTGAGCCAAAGGGGCCTTTTCAACCGTTGTGGTTGGACGACGATGCGTGAGACAACTCCACAGCCTTTGGGGGTGTGGTGTTGTGGATATCGATGGTCTGGTGCGGATGGGGGACCACAAGGTTGGGTTGGGTGGGGCTCAGGAACACATACTTAGCTAGGTAAACACCAGAAATGCCTCGGTGATGCGGGGAGTGAGGAAAAGTGTCCTCGCTCTCCTGTAGCTCACGCTGGTTGTGGGCGTAAGTTGTTGTTTCCTGGCGCCTCTCAGTTACCTGAGGTTGATGGAGTGGTAAGCCATGCTTCATTCCACTGCTGTGGCTGTTGGAGATAGTGATGTTCAAGATGTGTGCTTGCATGATCAAGACCTCCATCAATTTACACATCCGTGACACAGTTCTCGGCGTTACTCGCTCATCTAATGCCGGGGTATTTCATTGCTCGCAACGCTATTGAGTACCAGTAAGTGTTTATGCTCTAATGCCCTTCGCCATGCATGCTTGATGATGAAAAGCAAACCTCCCCCGTGCGCATACACCATAAGAGCAACCAACAAACCCAGAATGACCAGTCAACAGGGTTCATCCGACGTTCGTACTCTCAGCCCAAATCATCGTAACATCCCCCCCGAAGAGTGTTCTCCATGTGTTCGCTGCGGAATCCCAGGGAGGTGGTTCAATCAAGGGAAGAAGGGGGGGAAGATAGGCCACTACTGTCTGAGGCTGCGCCACCGAGTGATGGCACATTTTCCAGTCTCGGCGCATCGGAGTCTTTGGGTTCGGAGGAAACTTGACGATACGGTCCAAACTTCCTCCCGCGAGATGCGGCATCTTGATCCTCAATCCAGCTCGAAACGTCGTGTGGCTTGGTGCGCTTCAGGGATGGCTTGCAGAATTTAGTCCCTGACGGACGGCGATTTCTCTTTCTGTTGTCCAACGTACCTTGTGCGTTGGATCCGTCGACGTCAGAACTCATCCGCTTGTTGTCACCGTCGTTACTCGAGTCCCGAATTGGATTTGAGTCCCGACATGGGTCCCAGACCAATAAACTCGTAATTTCTTCCAGGCTCTGCATCGCATCATTTTGATGTTTTGAGTCCCGACTTAGGTCCTCAATCAAGGATTTCATGAGTTCATCCAGGCGCTGCGTCGTAGCATTTTGATCTTTGGGCCCTTCCTATCCATTCCACTGATCGTTGAGAGCTCCGGGGGCGTCAGGCAACACGACGTCGCCGTCGATGTCTTGCGACGCGTGCCTCTGGGGTACTCGGACCAAGTCGAGCTTCTTCTCGTCCTGTACGTAGCAAAGGTAATAGGGATCACCATTGCTGTTCAGAGTCTCCAGAACCGTGTCCGTACTCTCGCACACAGTGACTTTCTCGTCGTTATACTTGTGCCAGACATCACGTTCAAAGTCGTGGATCCAGACCCAGTAGTGGCCTGCAGAGAGACCACCACTGTGACAAATGACTGCGTGCAAACGATATGCCTGCTGTTTGTGCTCAGAGAACAGCGCTTCCAGCTCAGCCTTGTGGATCTCGACTTCTTCCGCGCGCATCTGATTGACCCGCTGACGGGTCTCTGGAGCCGCCACGGGAGGTAGGTCGACCTTCACGTAAGAAGGTTCTGATTCCGGAGTGTAGGTAGGTATATCGATGTCCTCGCCCGCAAAACTTAATGATGAACTCGGTGGCTGGGCTAGAAGCGATGGAGTCGACTCTCCTTCACTTGGCGACGAATTACCGTTGCACACAAAGTCGCTGGTAAACTTATCTAAAGCAGTCAGATCTTCATCTGGTGTCTTTGGAATGCCGTCCAATTCCCTCAGGCGTTTTTGCAAGCCCCACCCCTTTTGTCTGCGCTTGAATAACGGCGAATCCTCAGGCGTGTCCATGTACCGATCGAGATACAGCATCTCTGATACCTCAACGGGATTCATGTTCTTTTCACCGTTCTGCTGTGTCCTTTGGATGACGATGTGCAAAACGGGCGGAAGCTTCTTGATTGAGGTGTACATCCACACGTCACCTCCGTTTCCCTCGGCTCGTTGCAAATCGAAGTTGCGGCTGAGTCCTTCGTGGATAGTGCATGGTCCGCTTGCGGCCGGATAAGCCCAGATATAAAACTCACAGGCCGACTGAGTATTGAAGCCTTCCTGATTGGGCATCTTTTTGTGTTCGACCGACTCGACGAATAATGTCTCCATGATGGGCTCAAGCTGAACACCATCAGCGGAAGTTGAGGTTCGTCTGATCGAAGCTTGAAGACGAGTGATGATGTTGCCCATCACCTCGGTCACATCTTGTTGGTCCGTGCCAGATGAGCGCTTCTGCGTTTCGAGAGCCTTGCGGACTATCTCATCGGTGCTGAGCGCCTGTGACTCCGCGTCGGGCATTTGCACGTCTTTGTCCTTGCTCGGGTTGGGTGCAGCCATGTCGTCTTGTTCGAGGATGGGTTCCATATCACTTTTGTCCTCTACATCGTGATCTTTCTCCTGACCAGCATCCGGCATGCTGACCAAAGTTTGCGAGCTTACGCTACTAGCAGACCCAGAGACGGGATCAACTGTGACATTGACCATGTTCGTGTCTTCCACATGTTCAACATTCTTTGGCGGCACCGGGGCAGGACGCGCAGGCAGTGGCGGGGGAGGAAGTGTGGCCGGTTGGGCGCCCGTCACTTGTTGTTTCTGCCCCTCGTCCTTATGCTCTTCATTTTGCTTGTTGTTTGCTGCATTCGAGCTTTCCTTGATTTGTGCCGTGCCGAGGAGAACAGCGTTGGCGAGACGCTGAGATGGTTGGATGTAGGCCTTTTGAGTATTGTCTAAGTCGCTTAACAGGTTGTTAAGCTCTTCGACGACTAAAACGGGTTAGCGAATCCGTGAGAATAACGAGGCATGCACTACTCACGAATACGACCGATTGCGGCTTCCTCCTTCGTGACCTTTGTCTTGTTGCCTCCCAGGAGCCGATCCTCGATGTCTTGAGCGTCTTGGCCGAGTTGATGGAGAGGGTATTGTGTGAGCAAGTTCGTGAGAGGCGTGACGGTTCTCAGATACTGCAGGATGCTGTTCAGATAGCATGTGTTCCCAATGTTTTTAAGTCCAGCGGGTATATCGAGCCTAGCCGTAGCAGGTTGCCCAGAGCTATTGGTGTGCGATCCTTCATGCGCACCCTCGGCCGGCAGTTGCAAGCCCCCTCGAAGAGCGAAAACCGCTTCTCGTAGATCGCTGCTTTCCCTATCCTCTGCGATGACCTCCAATGCCTTGACCGTCTGTTCTGCGGCAATTTTGTCCTCCGGGTTCTTATTTATCTAGGAATCCTTAGTACCACACTCGTGAAATGAACTCGGAATCAACGAACCTTGACCTCGCACAGCATTCGTACATGTTCATCTGGCCATTCTGGATCGCAGTCCAGGGAACGGTAGGCCGCTGCCAGGTCCATGGGCAGGAACATGGGGCCGCTGGCGTGATTGAAGATTATTTCGTCTGATCTGTGACGCCCGATCATTTGCAGCATGTTCTTCGCGAGATCGGCTTGCGAAGGCGAGTGTTCCACCTTCTTATCGTATGCAGAAATGACTGCGTCACGGGAAGCTGTGTGTTGTAGGCTGAAGAAAGAGTATGCTTGTTGTTGCAAATCGTCACCGGCGCCATGATGGTCGGCTGTGGGCAAGGTTCCGACCATGGTCAGCTCTTGAACCGCCTGCGTCTGGAAATCCTCGTCTGGTGTCTCCTGTGCAATCTTGCAAAGGGCCTCTGCGTAAACGGAACGTCGTTGCTCGGATAAGGACGACTGTCGCTTGTAGGCGTAGAAGATGAGAGCTTTGTTAAAGTCAGGCAGAACTCCCAATATTCGGTGTGCGTCAGACGCTTGATGGGCGTTCTGGTTCCGCGGGAAGTCCAGGCACTGAAGTAGTTTATAAATTCGAGTTCCCGCCTCGGTCCGGGTTTCATTTCCACCGTTTCGAGTGATGAGGCTCTCAGCCTCCGCTTGCATGTCTTCCACAAACGCGCGCAAGGTATTCAACTCCGTTGGCGTGCCCGGGTTGCTGGGTTCCAGGGTTGGGGGGATAAAATAAGGCTCCGGCACGCCGTCCTTGCCAATTGATTCCTCGGTGAACTGGACTGCTCTGAAGATGGCGTAGCACTCCTCTCCAAAAACAACATGGAACCGCTTGTTTCGTTTGGATATGTTGCGAGGGAGTGTTTTGGGGTCTAGCAGGTCTCTCAAGTAGGTGTTGAGAGTCGAAGGTGCGCTGCTGCACCACTCGTCCTTGGCGTCGGCGAATCTTTCGGGCGACTCCTTGCGAGCAGTCTTCAGATTGCTCAAGATCCGTTCCTGGTCGATGAGCAATTGCACCCACTCACGTTTGAGGCGGGGACGCGATATCTCGGCTGTCACCTGGAAGGTGCAGCGAGGTGCGGAGCAAGCGAAGTGCTCGACGGCGATGAGAGACTCTCGAATTGACGGGTGATAATGAGATGTAAAGTCATGGTGCTGAGGGGGTTGTTTGACGCTGACCAAGTGATGCAGGTAAAAATCTGTTTCCTTGGGAGGGAAATGGTGAGGAAACGGCTCGCACAAGTTGACTCGGCGATCGGCATCCCATGCGGTCCTGATGATGAAGTGGTAGTTGCAGGTGGTGCAGACGCACGAAAGTACACCCGGGTTCGCGGTATCCGCTGTGCTCTGGTTGCCAACCGGAACAAGGGTATGGCGACTGCAGCCGGCATCTAGATCCCATTCTATACGCACGAACGAGCCGACGTCCAATTCCGAATGGAGTAGATCATGGATCCATCTGGGGGCGAGTCGACCTGTGGTGTGGTTAGCCGGTATCTACAGCCAAGCACGAGCGACACGGCACAGCAGCGTCAAACGCAAGAATCGCACGAGGAGGCCATCTACACACCTGACTTTCCCGCCATATACTCCTTGATCTCGGGGGCGCGGCCTTCCCAGTGTTGCGTCGCGGGAGGTGAGTCCGGAGGTGACATGATGGCGTAGCTGTCGGCCGCGACCATATCGACGTCTTCGGTTCGGCTGTCACTGAGGATTTTCGATCGGTGATTCGTAGTCGTAGAGCACCGTAATTCTGTTGGTATGGGAATACGGCCGCTTGAGGTCGACGCAGCTGGAGGCTGCTTTCGCGATCGTTTCGGTCTACGTGGGGGCGGTTATTGAGTGTAAAGTACTGCAGACGACAAATGCCATGATTAGCACAAATATTGAGTAGTAGACTGGGGACGAAAAACCATACTTGACTCAGTGTCCACCAAAGATGTTATGATGTGTTGTCAAGGTCGTCGATCCAGGTCGAAACGAAGCGGGCGTCCGTTTGAAGCGTCGAGAAAGCGACGGGAGCTGGCAAAAGCGGCGACAAAGAGCTTGCCGTAGCAACAACGAGAAGGGATGCAATAAGGGCCGTTATGGGTATCTAAATGCAAGGGTAAACAGCAAAGACCCGGGAAGAAATCGACAAGTTTGCAAGCTGTCCAAAGAAGTCGACGGCAGACATTACGCCAGTCTTCATGCAATGCGTCAAGGACAGGGAAGGCGGGCTAGTAGCTATGCGCGAGCTTCTAGAAAGTGGCCCCTCAATGACCTGGCTGGTGGTGCTGGTGAGGCAAGGCAAAAAAAGGTGGGCGTGGGCAGTTGTGGCGGGGGTTGGCTGACGCAGTGCAGCTGGCAGCCTCGTACCTACCTTTACCGCAGAGCAGTCCGATACCTGCTGAGGGGTACTTTGGATGACGTGTGACTTTGCTGTTGGTGAATGTACCGAGAGCAGTTCGGCACTGTTTGTCGAGATGTTGAGGCTAAGTAGGGCCGACCTGGACTTTGCTTAGCGCCTACCCCGACTCGGCCGGGGAAACAACTGTGAATGTGCACTGCTTGATTCCGAATGGCTGGAATCTCATGGAACGCAAGGATGTGGCTTCCAAAGCAGGGGTTGGACATCAGGAAAGTGCGAGTGACGGACGACACATGTGATGAGTCTGGTTCAGCTGCCTCGCAATTGCTTAGTCAGTAGCAGTCGCAACATCAACGCCAAAGAGGACAACAGTAGAATTACGGTAAGGTGATATGGTATGAAAATAAGGGAGAAATATCGAATCGCTATGATGAAAGTGAATTGATGTTATCCGCATCCTCTACCTCTCACCGACGCTTACCTCCAAAGGAGTTTCGATGGTTGACCATCTCCTGTACTATGATTGGCCCCACACCGAGATCTACCACGTGACCGCACCGCAAGTGTGGAGCACGTATCGTGGAGCTTCAACCCGACCTCAAACTTCCGCAACATCCCTCACCAACTTTTGCCTTTTCCAATTGAGTGCTTGGCCCACAGCGCCCTCCCCGAATTCACCATGGCCGGCCACGACGATCACTCCTACCACGCCAAGGACGCCATCAAGACCGGCATCTCGGCCGCCATGGCCCTGGGCGGCGCCGGCTTCTTCATGGCCGCCGTCACCAATGCCCTCCAGAAGCAGAACGTCGGCGCCATGGCCGTCTTCACCCGCAGCGGAAGCATCATCGCCGTCATGAGTCAGTCGCCCCGAATCCTTCGATACTGTCGCGACGTGGTGGACCATCTCAATTGGACGTGTGGCTGACGAGACGATCGAATAGCAATGGGCGGCGGTGCCTACGGCTTCACCCAGGCCGCGATGGCCAACCTGAGGGAAAAGGACGACGCATGGAACAGCGCGACCGCCGGTTTCATGGCCGGCTCCATCCTCGGATTGACGAGTACGAACACTCCCCCGCCTCGCGAGCGCTGAAGGATATGTTGGAAATGCTCACACGAGTAACAGCCAAGAAGATGCCCGTCGTGCTCGGTCTCGGCGCCGGCTTCGCCGCGTGGCAGGGAATCTTCACCCTTACCGGTGGACGCCTGAGGGGATGGACTGACAGGCTAGACGAGGATGAGTTCGAGAACAAGATTGCCATGCGCGCGAACAAGAGACGTCCGATCGAGGAGACGATTGCAGAGATTGGCGAGGGTCGCGGTACGTTCTCACGTTACCCCGTGCTTTTTCCTGCGTTGGAGGCTGACATTCCACAGGTATCCGGCCACCCGGCTACGACGAGCGGAGGGCCGAGAGGCTCAAGGCGAAGTACGGGGTCGAGATCAACCCCGTCAAGGCGACCGTCGAATAAAGAGAATCCAACCCTTCAATCCCTACCACCTAAACAGCGAACACCCCCACCCCCAGACCGGCCCCGCGGAGGCATGCTCTTTTTTTCTCCCCCGTTTGTACATACACACACAGGCCCGCGAGAAGAGCCGTGGGCAGAAGAAGAGGAGTCTCATCGGCTAGAGGAATGGAAGACTTGTACTATTTTTCCAAACGCTCTCTGATCTTTTCCGCCGCGTAGCTTCCGCGTGATGTGTGCTTGTCTAACGACGCACCGCCGACTGCGTCACAGATGGTACGTTTAATGCGTCTTGCTGACTTTCAACTTTCAATGATGATATCATAGCTTCAGAGGCTGTTTATGAATCCACATGATTCGACTTATCACCGTTCTATCTTTTTGTCTGACTTTTGCTGTTACACTGTTACCTTGCTTGTTACTCGAAGGCTGCAATTGCTAACAACGTCAAGTCAGATACGGGCGAAAAGACGCCGAGAAAAAGATCAGGAGATTCGACTCCAGCCTAGATGTGAGTAGGGAACCAATCATTCCGCCCCCCCTCTTCATGATGATACAATAGCTTCAGAGGCTGTTTATGATTCTACATGATTCGACCCATCACCGTTCTATCATTTCGTCTGACCTAGACCATACACCATGGCATCATTTGCATCTTTGTGGTCCCAAGCATACGCTAATACCGTCAAGCCAGGTTTTCCCCAACAAAGCAACGGCCTGATTACAACAAGGCATGCTTCCTCATCCACATTCCAGAAGTAAGTTGATCTCCTCCGCTCATCTTCCCCTTTCCGTGATGATACACTAGCTTCAGAGGCTGTTTATGATCTACATGATTCAACCTTTCACCGTTCTATCTTTTTGTCTGAATTCCACCATCACAAACCGTTTCTTCGCACACGCATGCCATCGATGGTTGCTGACCTTCGAAAGAACTACAGATCAACCCATGATGACCCTCGATCCTCTTGTGCAACTCACATGGTAAGTTCCCGTCATCATCAACTCACACATCCCCCAACATGATGAATCCTAGCTTTCAGAGGCTGTTTATGAAATTACTTCATGATTCGACCCATCACCGTTCTATCATTTTTCTGATCCCACAACCCCTACCTCAATACGCGAATTAGGTTCTCAAGCAAGTCGGCTAACCTAGAGAAACAGATCTTTCTTCTGAGAGCTCCGAACGAACTCGGCAACTTCTGCTCCATCCTTGGGGTAAGTCACTAAATCCCTTCCAATCCCATCCCACGACGCAATCTTCATGATGAGACTCAGCTTCAGAGGCTGTTTATGAAAAATCACTTCATGATTAGATCCATCACCGTTCTATCATTTTTCTGAAAACACATGCGTACACCAAGCATTTATTCACCCCGCTCTCAAGGACACAGCAGCTAACAGCCGCTTCAGTTCCAGTCTCCGCCCACAGTCGCTTCCTCCCCACCGCCAAAACCATGCCCATTCACCGTTGCTGGTAAGTCCGCACCGCACAACCGACCGAACCACCCACGCCTTTCCATGATGAGACTCAGCTTCAGAGGCTGTTTATGATTTACACCAAAAACATGATTCGAATCATCACCGTTCTATCATTACATCTGATCCCCTTCCCAAACGCCGCTCTTTTTTCCAGCAGCAACCTCGAGTTCACGCACGATGCTGACTTCCATCGTTCAGACGAGTTCTACTTCGCTCAGCACACAGTGCTTACCAATCTCTAACCTCTCGATAGAGGTTCTCGCTAGCTAATGGTACGTTTTCGCACCCGCGCCTAATTTTCTACACATACCCTCTTATGATGAGACTCAGCTTCAGAGGCTGTTTATGAACACTTGTCATGATTCGAAACATCACCGTTCTATCATTTGTCTGATATCACCCGTTTGCAACCACTTCGTTAGACATCGACTCCTCAGGTCAGATTTGCTAACGCGTTGTCAAAGTTCCAGGCTCCTTCGCACTCACTCCGGTCACCGTCCGTGTTTGAATCTTGAACGTTCTCAGTGCATTTTGTCTACACGTAGCCCTACGTAGTCTAGAAACCCGTCGCCATATCAAAGGCGAGCCAATATCATTACAGTCCCAAATCCACGCCCCCAAACGCCGTGCAAACCCTTGACAGCGATATCAAAACACACGACTCGTACCCTTTACAGAGTCTTGACAGACTGGAAAAAGGGATTCGCGAGCAGCTTCTCGTCCGCCATGACCAGCCCCTTCAGCTTGGAGACCATCTCCTCCTTGCTCATGGACCCCTCGGCGACCTCCGCCTTCCACTTGAGCAGGATCTCCTTGAGCATGGCGCTGCCCTCCTCCATGTCGGTCTTGCTGTACTTGAGCCCGAGGTCCTCGTGCTTGGACGTGAAGTCCTCGAGCTCATCCGCCTTGCGCTTCGCCATGCGCACGACCTTGTCCGGGAAGCGGACCAGCTCGGCGACGTGGATGCCGAAGCTCTGGTCGCAGACCCCGTCGTCGACCTTGTAGAGGAGGGTCACCTCGCGCTTGCCGTTCTCGGAGCCGCTGTCGTCCCCGCTGATGTGCGCCGTGACGTGCAGGTTGTGGACCTGCGGGTGTTCGTCGGCGAGCGCGGTCAGCTCGTGGAAGTGCGTGGCGAACATGGCGAAGCAGCCGATCTCCTTGACGATGTGCTCCGAGATGGCCCAGGCGAGGCCGAAGCCGTCGTATGTGGACGTGCCGCGGCCCAGCTCGTCGATGATGATGAGCGACTCCGCGGTGGCCGACTTGAGAATGTTGGCCGTCTCCAGCATCTCTGCCATGAAGGTGGAGACGCCCTTGAGCTGCGAGTCGCTGGCGCCCACGCGTGCGAGGATGGAGTCGAAGATAGTCAGCTCGGCCTCGGTACACGGCACGAAGCAGCCGATTTGCGCCATGAGGGCGATGACACCGATCTGGCGGATGTAGGTCGACTTTCCGCCCATGTTGGGACCGGTGATGATGAGGAACGATGACTTGTCTCTCGTCAGGGAGACGTCGTTGGTGATGAACTGCACGTCGTCCTGCATCTCCAAGCACGGGTGGCGGGCCTCCTTGAGGATAGTCTGGCCCTCGCCGCGGGCATGGATCGTGGGACGAACGTACTCGGATGGGGCGTGGACGGAGCAGTGCGCGAAGGACACGATGACGTCGAGATGCGCGAGAACACCGGCGAGCTTCTCCAAGACGGGGCAGTACGACGCAGCGACGCCGACGACCTCGTTGACCAGGCTGCTCTGGGTGCGGTTGTAGTTCTGCGAGAGCTGGTCGAACTCGCGGCGGAGGCTCTGGAGGGTCCTGGTGGTGAAGTAAACTCCGTTCTTCTGGGTTGAGCATTCCTGGTAGCCCGACTTGTTGCGGATGGCGCCGGCCTCCTGACGAGTGAGGCGCATGCAATAGCCGTGCACCTTGTGGTTCTCGAGGAAGATCTTCTTGCCGACTTCCTGCTTCAGATCGCGAGCTGCTTCCGAGAATTCTTGGTCAATGTCCTTCCTCAGCTTGTCGAGCTTCTTCCGGATGATGCGCAGGCTGTCGTCGAATTCGGGCTTGATGATGTACTCGTGGTTGTCGAGTGCGTCCAGATCAACCGTAGTTTCGACCATTTCAGCGAGCTTCACGAGACTATCGGAAAGCTCGCGGAGGGGGGTCGTGTAGGCGTCGTCAAGGGGGTCCTTGTACAGCTCGTCCATGACACCCTCAAAAGTGCCAAGAAAGCCTGGCAAGCGGATGACGACTTGGTACGCGCGAACGACGTCCTCGAGGTTGGCCTTGCCTCGTTGAAAGCGCTTGGCCAGGCGGTAGAGATCCGGCACAGAGCGCAGGTGCTCCTCCTGCATGGTTTGTCTCAGCTCGGTGTCGTTGACGAAAGCCTCGACAAGCTGTTGGCGCTTCACAATCTCGGTCTTGTTCATGAGCGGCTGTTTGAGCCACTGCGACAGAAGTCTGCTACCGACGGGAGTCTTGCAGTGGTTCAACAGTCCGAACAGACTCATCGTCTTGGCGCCGTCTCGGGCACCAGGCATCAGGTTGAGAGCCTTCAGAGCCGCCGCGTCCAGTTTCATAAACTGGGAGAGGTCGTGCTGGTACAGCTGGTACTGACCGAAGTTGGACGGGTCTTGGAGCACGCCGAGGTACTTGATAAGCGCCGCGGCTGAACCCATGGCCAGCTTGAGATCGGTCTGGGGCAGCAGGGTAGTAGCCCGCTCATCCTTCAGCAGACGCGCCAAGTCCTGCTCGATGTCCTTCGTGCCAAATTCGCCGCCAGAGCGTTCCGAGATGGCGACGCCGCAGTTGGTGATGATCTGCTTCAGCTTTGTCAAGTCCGGATCCTTTGCCTTCTCGGCCTTGTCTGTTTGAACGAGACACTCCCTGACGCCCAGCTGGATGAGGAGGGCCTCGAAGTTGGAGAAGAGATCGTTGTCGAGGAACTCGCTGACGCCGAGCTCGCGCACGCTCGCATCTGCAAAGCACACGCCCACACTCCTCGCCTCGGAAGCCTTGGTGGAGATCTTGACGGCCAGAATCATGGGCGCCGCCTCGATCTGTCCACCCAGGTCCTCCTCGACATCCTGCAGGTTACCAGGCGACGCCTGCTTCACGACCTTCCAGTTCATGCGCGGGCCGGTGCTCTGCAGTATCTCTATCCTCTTGCCGAGCTTGAAGAGGGCTTCTCGAAGGAATTGTCGAAAGACCGTGACCGTCATGGTCACGGAGGCGAGTCCGGTCTTTTCATCGCGGCCGAGCGTCCGTACGACGGACGTCGTCTTGTAAACCTAGGACCAAGGGTCAGTACTTCCCGTCGGCCGGCAGAGAGCCTACCACGACGTACTGTGCGAGCGATGAAGTTGGCATCTTCGCCGTGTGCGGTATACCAGTCGCCTCGGTCGAAAATGCGGATTGTGTCTTCGTGAACGGCCGGCAAGGACTTGAAGAAGCGGATGAAGCCGTGCTCGTCGTCGACCTGGTGACGTATCAGCCATTTGCTTGGATTATGGGTGCATGGGGTCGCAAACCTTCAATTCGGGCCTAGAAGACATTGTGGAAAAGGTAGAACGCTGCAAAGAACAAGGTAGAAGTAAAACAAAGTCGGTAAGTGAAGTGAGTGTAACCAGTGAGAATCACCCTTCCACAGACAGCTTCTCCAGATGCGCGGGTGTTAAAGAGGTTTCCCGGTGGCGCGTCTTCGATTGCCATTTAGCGGGGAGACGCGACGCGATGACGCTAACCCTGATTTGGAGAGTGATCTGTGACCGCCTGATATGTTCTGCCGCACCTAAGAATCGTGAACTGAGGGAGGATCTCACAAGCACTGTAATTCAGCTCAAACATCTTCCAAGTATCTTATTCAGGAACTTACTTTGCACTGACACCGCTCTCTGTATTTTTTCCTTTAGTTCAGAGGTAGTATCGTTGCTTGTTCTCTAGAACATCGATTACATCGAGGGCAAAAAGACGTAGCATCATCAGTCGCCCATTGATCCTCAGTTTTTGGACAAGCATACCAACTAATACTGGTACCTAATATGACATTGGCCACGGCATTACTTTGATATCTTCATCACTAGGAGCTCACTTACCCTGATGCTCCTCGGAACATTGCGACTCAGAGTGCGAACTCTTTCCCAAGCTGTCCCACATATCCCCGAAAGAAGCTTAGCGCGTCTCTCCAGAGCTGCAGCAGCGCAACGGCTCCAGGTCAACCATCGCAGACCATCGCCGAAATTTCCAAAAATTCCCCCACTTCGCATTCCAAACGTCGCAGTCATCGTCAACTTCCCAATCGCAACAATGGCGACCACAGCCGCAGACCCCGTCACCGAGACGCCCAAAGATCTCGAAAACATCAACCAGACCGAGGTCCAGGCCCCCGTCCCTTCCGAAACCGCCAATGGCGACGGCGACGCAGCGCCCTGCAGTGCGGTAGAACCGCAGGACGAAGCTCAAGCAGCCGCCACCGACTCGACGCAACCCCAAGAAGGCGGCGAGCCCCAGCTCTCCAAGAACCAGCTGCGCAAACTCAAGCGCAAGGCCGCCTTCGAAGAGGGCCGCGAAGACCGCAAGCGCAAGCGCAAAGAGAAGCGCCACGACCGCCAGGCCGCCCGCCGCGAACAAATCGCCGCCATCGTCGCCGACGCCGAGGCAAAGGGCCTCGAGCCCTCCCAGATCGTCATTCCCCCCAAGCGCAAGACCCCGAGGGTCGCGCCGACCCAGACCCCCGTCACACTCATCCTCGACTGCGACTTTGAGAAGTACATGCTCGAGAAGGAACTTGTCTCCCTCGCGAGCCAGGTCACGCGGTGCTACTCGGACAACCGCCAGGCCAAGTACCGCGTACACCTGTACGTGAGCTCGTACGGCGGGAAGCTGAAGGAGCGGTTCGACACGACGTTGGGGGGCCAGCATAATGGGTGGAAGGGGGTCAAGCTTCTGGAAGGGAACTTCGTGGAGGCGGCGAAGGACGCGGACGAGTTGATGAAGTCGCCGAAGGGCGGGGAGGTAATCGATGTATTGAAGGGGGAGAGCGAAGAGGGCGTCAAGAGAACGCCCGCCGTAGTGACGGACCTGGTCGAGGGCGGACCTACACCCGACGCCGAGCCCGAACCCGTCGACGAGTTGAAGAACATCGTCTACCTCTCCGCCGACTCCCCGAATACCATCGAGCGTCTCGAGCCCGGCATGAACTACGTTATCGGCGGACTCGTCGACCGGAACCGAGAGAAGGGTCTCTGCCACAAGCGCGCGCGCGATTTGGGGATCAAGACGGCCAAGTTGCCGATTGGGGAGTACATGAACATCTCCAGCCGGCGGGTGCTCGCGACGAACCACGTCGTGGAGATCATGCTGAAGTGGCTCGAGACCGGGGACTGGGCCGAGGCTTTCCTGAGTGTTATCCCCAAGCGCAAGGAGGCGCATCTTAAGGGCGAGGGGGGTAGCGCAAGCGGCACGCCAGCGGCTGAGGGTGAGGGCGATATCGAAGACAGCAGGTTCGAGTCGGAGCATGACGAAGATGTGGACGAGAAGCAGACGATCACTGAGAATGTCGTGACGCCGGAGGAGACCCCGGAGGAGGGCGCCAAGGAGGCTGCTGGTGCATCATAGCCCGCGAACGTAGGCAATAATTAGATCGAAATAATACCCCAGTTGCTGTTACCAAGACAAAAACACCGACCCATAACCGAGTTTGCCCATCATACAAGTCATGCCGAATCTCTGTTCAAAATTCCATCGATTCCTCTTCTCTCTCCCTCTTGACCTTAACGTCCCTCTCGTCCTTCATCAGGCCGATCACGAAGGAACGGAACTGCTCCACGTATGGCTTCAAGCTCGTCTTCTCCCAATCCTGCACGCTCTTCTGCGGGGTCTCGGCTCCGTCGGCGTCTCCCTTCCACGCATCAATCTCGGCTAGGAGACCCTGCACCGTCGGCACTCCAAGCGGGTCGAAGGACTCCAGGTTCTTGGTGTCGATTGGTACACACACACGTCCTGTGCCGGGGTGCACGACGAAAGGCGACTTGAGCAAATGGTTAAGCTTCTTGCTGACCTCGATATCGAGGCGAGGGTAGGTGTACTCGAGCACGATGTCCTGCTTGGCCTCGAGAAGCGCCTTGGTGTCGAGGTTCTTGTTTCCACGGCTCTTGGCCACTGCGTCGATATCGGCCCACTTGGAGACGGAGTGGCGACCCGGGGCGGCTTCCCACTTCTGGCGGAGGGAGTCGTTGAGTTTCTTGTCCGGGAGGAGCTGAAGGAGGCGCTCAGCGCGTTCGTTAGACGCCCAGGGGTCCTGCGCCTCGAGTACGTCCTCTTGGAAGTGGGACTTGAGCGTTTCCAAACTGCGTCTGCAATTATTCGTAAGCAAATTGCTTGAAAATGGGTATGATGGCAACTTACGAAAGGTGAGGGTGCAAGGGCCGCCACAGGTTGACCTTCTTCCCGCTCTGCGCACCACCCTTGATGACCTCCAGATACCCTGCGATCGACCTCCTCATCTGGTCGCCCATGGTCCTGGCCTTCTTATCGCAGACCCAGGCGTGGGCACCTCTTCGTCCGGAGTACACCCACATGATGTGCTTGAAGCCGAAGTCGTCGCGCAGCGCGACGTCGACGACCTTGATCGCCATGGTGATGAACTGCCAGCACTTAATGCAGATATTGGCCTTGTCGCAGCAGGTTCTGATGTCGTCGTAGTCCGTCAAATCGATATCGAAGCAGAGCTCCTTGGCCAGGGGCTTGAAGGCGCTGGCGTTGCGGAGGGTCTTGCGGTCGCGCGGGTTCGTGCTGTAGACGGGGCCGATTTCGAAACGGGAGGGCATGAGGCGGAGGACGTCTTTGCGGAGGCTTGGGGTGGTCAGTCTGGAGAGGGAAACGGCGAAAAACCATGCATTACTTACAGATCATGGGTCGCGAAGGATTGGTATCGGAGGTATGCGTCGTTCTGCAGCGTGAAGGCGAATTCTCTGTGGCCGAAATCGTTCGTCGGGGAGGGGCTGTGGTTGAGCCACTGGAATAGGTATCTCCAAGGGAACAGGCGTTGGTAGAAACTGCGCATGACCTCGGGGTCTGATGCTTTCAAACTGGCAATATCTCTGCGTCGCGCGTTAGCAACAGCCCTTCCCAGTATCATCACGGAGGAACCCACGTCGGAGAAGGGGGTGTCGCGATCTCAGGGGAACTCGACGACGGCGTATCTTGCGGTCTTGAACTCGGGAAGTCGTCGTCTGAGTCTGCGTCTGCGAACAGCTCCTCCAGCTTCACCTCCTTCTTCTCCTCGGGCGAGGCTACCGCAGGCGCATCGGCCTCGGCCATGGCGACGTCGCCGTCGGTCGCCTGGCTCTCGCCATTCGGCGGGGCTGGAGAGTCGGCCATTATCTCGTCTGGAACCGCGGTTGGGGAGTCTGCTTCTGGCGATACGGAGTGCGGCATGTCTGAGTTCTTGCGTCTGAGGAGAAGTGTGTTCTTTGACGGCGTGGTTGACTGTGATTGTCGCCGGGTGTGGGTGATTTGCCGGGGCAACATCAGTTGAATTATGGGTGGATGCCAGTAAGTCATTGTCGCGTTTGGACGCGTTTTCTCGCGTAAATGGTTCAAAGACCCCTGTTCTACGATTAGTCATTCACTCAACCTCCCCCCGTCCCCCGTCCCATCTGCCATCCATTGCCATCACATCACGACTTTCGTCTTGGAATTATCCGAACAAGTTTATTCTGACAGGGTTCTACAAAACAAAAACAAATGCAAAGCAAAAATTTCCCAAAACTCCCAAACTCCTAAACTCCTAAACTCCTGAAACTCTCCAGATCGGCCCATCTCCATACTTCTCGTCATCGCAACCTGTCTTCCGTCGACCCTCCCCTTCACCTCTTCCTGCCTATCTTGCTGCGTATACGTCGATCGTATCGCGAACAGGAGTTCGGCCCTGCACCCTATCCATCATTGCTTTGGTGAAATTCCCACAACCCAGTGAAAACATTTCCGTGATCTTAAGCCAGAGGCCATTGCGGGCCGCGCTTTTGTATGCGTAATCAGCGAGCAGCATGGGGAAAAGCGACGTAGCAGCGCAGCCGTCGTACGCTATCTTGATGTGCCCGAAGAGGGGGACCGGGCGGTCGATGGCCTTTTCTCCCTTGCAGTAAGATATCAACGCTTCCTCACGGAGCGTCTCGAGGCCGTACTTGACAGCGAAAACGATGAGCTTAACCAGCCTCAGTTGGATCAGCTCGGCGTCGATGCGCTCGGGACTGGCGGCGAAAAGGTTGATGTCATGGTAATTTTCCAAATAGCTCTGCAGTCTTTCAATTCTTTCGACTTCCCGAGGGGTATTGTAGACCGAAGTGGATGGGCGTTGGGTCGCATCGTGCAAAGAGAGTCTGTCCTCTTCGAATGAGGTGCTGCGACAGACATGCATTCGGTGGATCTGGTATTGCGCAAAGGGAGTGGAAAGCTCGCCATGGCGGTGAGATGCCATTGGTGTTTTGGAAGAAGAGCGCTGTTCTTGGCGGTGAGGATACTGAGAAATCCAGGGAACTTGGTTGATGGGGGGCGGCATTGGGAGGACCAATTGTTGACTTGGCCTGCAACCGTACTGGACCATGAACTCACGAGAGTGGGTTTCGCCCAGCGACGGCACAGGATCTGGCAGAGAAGACACCACTGGACCGCCCTCTGTCACAGGTCGGAGGGCTTGAATGTTTACCATTTGCAGGCATTGGTGGTAGCACCACCAGACCATCCAACCGACGACATCTGCTGAATCCCCTGGCATGTGGATCTCTGCACAGGCACTCTCCTTATTTTTATTGTTGAGTTCTTTGTGGAAAAAGGTGAAATCCGGGTATCTTAGCAGGATTCCTTTGTGAATCGAAATCTTCTGCTGAGACTTGCCAGCGATAAAGGTAACAAACTCATTGGAGAAGTGACTGTTCATCGTTAGTCATGTGCTTATGAACATCTGGTCGTGTGGGAGCTTATACCTGAAATCCATTGGAGGGAGGTAATTTGGGGATGAGCCACTAGCACTAGTCGCAGCTGATCTGGTAGCGGCAGTGATGTTTGTCGCAGAAGCTTTAGCCTCATTTCCTCGAGTCGAACTGTTCTGGGCAATGTTGAAGGCTGGTTCTCGGGCTGCAGGACTGTTGATGGCAATGTTTGCAGCAGCACCTGATGTGCAGTCTTCAACATGGCTCTTAGTTGTTGCCTTATTGATGAGGAAGTCGATAGACATTGCGTTGGTGTTCGTCAGATCCTTGGGCCCAGTGCCATTGGTGCGTGGCTGAAGCATCATCGTGTTGAGAACAGACGGTGTGTCAGTCTGGGTGCTTGTAGGGGTCTCAAGGCTAGAGGCTTCAGCAAAAGCCTCCAGCATGACTATATCCTGGCTGGAGGGTGTGTTGGAGGCCGTATTGAACATGTCGCGCATCATGCCGTGCATCATGTCGTGTCTCATCAACTCAGAGGGAAGTGGAACACGCCCAGTCTGACTGATGGGCAAGCGGTGCGTTGGGATCCAGATATCATCTTCGTTTGCCCTTATTCCAGTTGGTGCAGCAGAGACACTAGTGCCGTCACCCATGATGGGATTGTGTAGTCGACGCTGCTTTCGCGCTGACATCTTGCTCACGTCTCGTTGTTGTCTTGTGGCTGTGTTGTAAGCAAGATTGGTGATGTGCAGGTGAAAGAGTTTTCACCAGAGAAGGGTGGGATGGAGGAAGAAAAAACGTGGGAGGAAATAAAATCTTTTTTCTTCTTGTGGTGGTGAATTAAGAAACTTCAACAGGCAGGTGCGGGAAAAGCCCTTCACCTCACCTTCTCCCTAGCGCTCCTTCCTTCCGCCTCTAGCTTATTCAGGAGTCTTTTATTCAAAAAAATTTGTTGATGTTGAACACCAATAAGGGAGTACTGGCTCTTCTGAGAACAGTACTACAGGAAGTCTACATCAACCATCTCTTTGAACTACTCGCACCTCAAACTACCTATAAACAACATCAACTCAGATTTCAACCACACCTGGCGTCGTGCTCTGTGACATGTCAAATTTCACAATACCACCCCAAAATGCAATACCTCTATATATATTAGTTGATCACGAATTTGTCGCTGATCCTTGATGTTTACGAAAGTGATGTGGAAACTGCCGTTTCTACCTTTGATATCTTACATGTGTAAATAAGTATGAACCTCAATCGTCTTCAGACCGTAAGCAGTCATTCTCAGAAGTCAAGCTGTCAAGCTCAATGACAGGGTATCAGTCTGACAGTATCATATGGAGCAGTCGGCTCGGGCGGTACAGTCCGCACCCTCACTCCTTTCCTTAAGCTCTTCTCTGTCCGAGTGAACATGAAGACGTCACCATTTGGAGATTTTCTCCGCCGAAAACAATTTAAAAACGATGCCCGCTCGCAGTGTACTCACTCGCGTTCTCCTGTCCAGTGTTCGCCAACTCCTCACAAATGACAATTGTATCAAACGTTGCACAGCCATTAGACGCCAGAGGGCTGCAGAGTGACTGGCAACGATCCGCCAATGACAACGACTTTCCATCTCGGCAATCCCACTTGTCGCCAGCCAAGGCGAGTCGGTTCGATGCTCGAATGAGTTTATCATTCAAGCAAATATTGGTTGCGATCTCACGTGGCAAACCGTGCTATTCCAGCTTTGCTAATACAAAAAGGGATGGAAGCAGACTTAAGGTGGGGATCAATTGGGAGATATGCCCGATGCGAGATGAGGATCGAAGAAAACTGCCACAATATAACCCTTCATCATCGAGGGAAGTAATCAATGAGCATGCACATTAAGAAGCTCAGATTTCCTTCATCGGACTTCCGGAAAGAACTGACTCAGTCTACACTGTCTTCGAACATCAAAATGACTAAGAGCACATGAACTTACCCGTCCATGACTGTCCTGGTGACAGCCAACTCCCATTATCAGCGTCGACTGCCTCGAAAGTAGAAGCAGATCTATATACAGCCTCGACGATAAGTTTGTGGCCTTCTGCGTAGCCGAAGACGTGGAAACAGGAGGTATTACATGTAATCACAGCAACCGTTACTACTGGCTCAGCACGATAGAAAACAACTTCGCGGGCAGAAATATACGTCTCAACTTCGGGATTGGAAATTTCAGAGAAGTCCATTTCTGAATTTCGTCAACACTGAACATAGTCATTACGGGCTTCAAAGACGGCTCCCACAGAATACCGGGCCCCATGAGCTTATTCTTGCATCTGCACAACTTTTCTTGGCAGCTGTCTGAGTATTTATAGCCAGATTCATCCAATATTATGATACTCGAATTTGATGTACTGAAACAAAGAGCAATGCATTTTTTCATCTTTCCGATTCTACTTGTAAATAATCCGCAGTTTCTTCCGCCTAGCTAAAGCTATTGGTGAGTGTTCCTCCTTTAAGGAAGGAGTGGCCGTAGGATAGAAACTCTCATTTTCTTTTCATACATTGGTTGCAATATATCCCGCACCCTTCGCACTGTAAGACAGCCCTCAGGAGCCGAAATTCTTTCCCAATATATGCTCCTAGAGCACTCTTCAGTACCCACGCTTACCGCCTTCAAGTTGGGCAGCTCAAGAAGCAAGTCGATCTCTCGTTGAAAACGTTCCAGTTCCCATGCGTTGGGTAAGAGTATAAAGTTTTCAATGGTCGCTAAACTCTCGCGGCATCGGATTGGGCTCTGGGAGAGGATATTCCAAAATGACGGTGTTGCCAAAGGCGATAGATTGTTGATTGGCGGGCAATAACATAGAAAAAAGTCGCTTTTCATGATTCGGGCTGGGGGCAAAGTCTGGCTCATTGTCGATGATGCGGTGGGGAGCAGCCGAAAGGTTTTCCCAGCGCGGTCTCGGTAAAACTTGCTGAGCTGCAAGATGCTACGAAGGCATCTGTATCGTTGTTTGAATTGCTGTTTTTCAAAACTGTCGATGTCGAGCGGTTTAATAAAAGGTCTAACCCAAATCTCGCTGGAGGTCGTGTCTCCATTCAACTCCCACACCATTGGATTTCGTCGAACTTCAGACTCCACCAGGTCGACCAGGCAGTCGAAAATCATGAAAACTAACTCCTTTGGGAGAGCTACCATGAGGGCGAGTTTGTTGTCAAAGGTGTTGCTGGAGTTTTCCATTTTGAGGGCCGATGATTCGATGTGGTAGAAGGGTATTAAATAGGCTGTTCTTGCAGAAAGACCTTTCTGTTGGAAAGACGACGGGAAGTTTTGGGCGCTCAGGATTATTTCGCGTGGTAAATGCGGGAATGTCAGACATGATGAGCGAGGAGTAGACTACTTATATTTGACATAACCGATAAACTTCCTGTTAGCAACGGACCTGCTGAAGAATTTTCAAGGTAGTTAAGTTCAGATCTAAGCTGGTTAACTTCTGATAAACTTAGTCTCTTGCAGTTGAGATACCTGACTGGTCCGGGTTTACCCTACTGGCTGGTTTGATTAGGACTTAATCATAGGTCCATCGACCTTTTGTGTTTTCAGACCGTGCTATTATCTCCGTCAATAATTTGAGCTTGTGAAACGTCTGCAACAGACCAGCACTTTGTCTATGTAGTGTGCCATAAGCATGACCCCTTCAGACAATTGCGGCGGCAAGCATCGCCCGTGAGCCTGAACGCTGTGAACATAGTCAAAGCCCAGAATATTGACACATATTTCATGGTCCTTGAGGCAAGTCGTTCTCCTGTTTGGTGATTTGCACCTGCCATGCGGATCCAAGGGGTGGCAATGGGACAACCGTACGCTGGCCATCAGTCTGTGTAGAACTCGAAGTGCCAATCATAAAACGGTTGAGCTCTTGAATGACATCATTTTTCAAAATGCCAGCATATTGGCCGTCGCAGTCCAATTTGTCGTACGCAGACGTCCGTTACGATTTCGGCAAGCCCTCAGGTGTGTATTGGTAGGGTGTTCTGCTGGCTTTGATGCTGAGAGTAACGACGAATGAGAATCAAACCAACCATTGAAGACGTCACAGTCAACCTTTTTCTGGCTGCATGCTTTGACTTGGCTGGCAACCTCCGAGGGTGTGTGAGGCTTGCATCAAATGTTGGCTTGATTATCTCCAAGGTCTGTGGTTCCCATGCCTTTCTTGTAGTAGTCGCGATATCCTATTATCCGGCCAAGTCGGAGCTGCAGGATCAGGACAAACTGGTCATTAAATAAGCTGCATAGTATGATGTCGAATCGTCCGTGGAATAATTTTTGGGGTCTTACAGACAATTCGAGTCGACATCCTCATAGAGGTTTAAGCAGGCGTTAAATACTACTACAACAACAAATTCGAGTCGACATCCATGTTGCTGGCAACCAGTCGCCAGGGAACATTGATGTCATTGTCTTACGAGGACTAACGCCCTTGAGATGAGTCTCACGTTCCCCATCTTTCAGCCAGCCTCAGAAATGGGGCTAATGAGAGCTCGCATGCAAGAATGTGCAATGCCTCGAAATTCAATGGCGATATCCCTACCTCGAACTCATGTAGATTTTGGTCCTGCATCAGCTTGTAAGCTGTGTATTTCAGAAAAGCCCTACCTTTTTCTTGAGAATGCAAGAGGATCTGCAATGTAGTCTAACAACTTGACAAACTTTGGAGAAAGATGATCATATAACTGAGAATACAAATAATCGAAGTCGGAGATGGGTATTCCTATTTATTGCTACTTGGAATTGGATGCTCGATACAGAGAAAGCTGTGACTTTATCCTGCCGCATGTCACCGCTTGTTTACCACTGTTCATCGTGGGTGCCGGATGTTGAGCGGTGAGATTGCTGGCCGGGAAAGCTTACGCTGAATCATCAAATGACTTCTTGCTCGTTTGACGTTTCTCTTACTACATGTGTTTAAATTGCTATACTGTTTGGAAGCAAGTTGCAGAATTCACTGGCCGGCCCTCAAAATCGTGAAAATCCACATGCTCGAGTCAGACAGACGATCAACTCAGCACAGAACTTTGATTACCAGACGAAGAGTGCTGATTACACGAGCACCATGCCCAATGCCAATAACGTTGAAATTCGCTCACGAAGAGCGAACGCGAGGTCACTCCAGAAACTGTGAGTGTTTGGTGTCCGAATGAATAAGCTAGAACGTATGATTCCCCATCCAAAAGTTCCATGCTCACGTAAAAATGGATCTCAGCGGGCTGGTCCCATAGCGGGCTTGCGACTTGCCCTCGTATCAGCGCCATCTGAACGTAATGGGGAATCGCCGATTTAGAGTCGCCGATTTAGAGTCGCCGATTTTGAGTCGGCGACTTCACGCAATTTCAAAGTGGATCAGGCCATGTGGCCACCTCAACGAGACAGACAACCAGCTAATAATCGTCATTGAACTTGCTTTCGCATTGAATAAGTCCGTAAATCCGTAAATCCGTAATATACTTCCAAATATTCTTGGCGAGGCTTTGTCAAATTTGCTATAATCATATGTTCGGGTGGATTTAGAGTCCTAATGTCCATTTTCGTCCGAAGTTTTCTAGCTTACTGCCGAACGCTCAACATAGTAGACTTCATTCGGCGATCTCAAGACCTGACTGCATGCCGCCCCATTCTAGATTGAGCTCCTGTCTGAGCATACGCGGAACACTTACTATGTGGCCTTGACGCATCTGGGATGCCAGCATTGACAACCGTGGGTCTTTCCACCCAAAGCGACGGCCAAGCCGTTCTGTTCTTAGTCAGAGGGCATGTCAAGTTTGTCAGTCGCGGAGTCATCAAAAGGACGTACGGTTCCATGCTAGGAGAATATTCTCAGGGTTTTCATTATAAAAGATTAGGCCTGGAAATTAGTTCTCTCGCTGTACTGGATCAGGTCTGCGGATCATAGGCATGATTCAAAATTCTGCTTAGCGCTTCCATACACTCTCACATAAGGCTCACTTCTTTGTTTCAACATGGGCTTACCTGATCTGGCTGAGATCGATAGCCTCGAGGTGGCCGTGATTATCACCGACGAACTGGATCCGATTTCACCCTCACCCAACCCCTCTGTTCAGCATGCAAGTCATTTCATGGGAATTCCCGTGTCCGCCGTCGAAAACCCCGGAGCTCGAGGAGGAGCGGCGTCAGAGATGAAGATGAGCAGCATTTGCTGCGGTTCACATGGCCTCAGTCTCATGATTGTAAGTGACACGTGAAACTTCCGTGTATTTGGCTAGGACATCAATGATTGCGTACCAGTACTAATGGTCGAGAAAGACTGCGAAGAAAGATGAGAGGACGCATACTTTACTATTTGACGCGGGACCCGAAGATGAGGCGTGGGAGCGGAACGCCAATCGAATGAGAGCCGAGATCGACAAAATTGAGCATATCGTGCTGTCCCATTACCATCGTGATCATTCGGGTGAGTAGCTAGCGCAAATTCGATGCTATCCTGAAGTTTACTGATCCACATACCCATAGGAGGCCTTCTTCGTGCCATTGAGATGATAAATGAGAGGAAGGACACGGATTCAAAAAAGGTGGTGGTTGATTTGCATCCCTCTCGACCTGAATACCGGGGCATTGCAACCCCCTATGGGCCAATATCTCTAGAAGCGGATCCAACCTTTCCTGAAGTTGAAAGGGCCGGGGCACAACTCCTTCTGTCAAAGGAGCCTCATACCATTCTCGATAACATGTTTCTGGTTTCGGGTGAGATTCCCAGACAGACATCCTATGAGACAGGACTCCCAGGCGGTATCAGATTCACCCGGCATGGCGAGGCCAAGAAGGATGGGTTATGGGAGAAGGATGAGCAACTCATGGAGGAGAGGTATGTTATGTGCAAGATCAAAGGTGAGCCACCATATTGATCACCTCTCAATTGATGGCTGACATCCTGTAGACAAGGGACTGGTGATCTTTACAGGTTGCGGCCATGCTGGCGTTATCAACACCGCACTCGATGCCCAGCGCCTCAGCGGCAAGAATGCTGTGTATTACATCTCTGGCGGATATCACATGTCTGACGCTAGCCCCGAGAAACTTCAGAAAACCATCCAAGATATGAAGGATATCAGGCCCCGTCTGTTGCATGGTGGTCACTGCACAGGCTGGAAATTCAAGACAGAGATGGAGAAGGCGATGCCTGGGGTTGTCGTGCCGTGCACAGTGGGTTTGACATATAGATTCTGAGCCGGTCTATTGTAATTAGAGTGCGCATAAACCTCACTATTCCTTGCACTGGCAGGTGAACAGTATCGCACACTGATTGTGAGATAAGCAGCCGTCCTCCATGGTTACTCTGGCGTTATAATCTCTCCGGGTTGCAATATTTGCACGCTGTCTAACGTTCATCGTTTATCATGCAACATTGAGAATCTGTAGCCATCTCATCCGTTGGGTATCCGGGCGGGTGCGGGCTCTTAGCAGGACCCTGACTGACTATTGAGAGCTTTCGGCCGATCTTGTCCGGCTGCTTGCGCCCCCCTACTTCGGGGCTCGAACCCTGGGTACAAAATGGGCATCGTCATAAACTCTGTCAACTACAAATATTGTTGTTGTGTATTCTAACAGGAGCTGACGGACTTTAATTCATAGAACAATCGTCTTCCCTCTCCCTTGGACCGAAAGACGCCCTGTTTCGTATTCAAGCAGCATTCTTAACCATCGCGACCTGGCTATGATCGGTGTGAGCAGAATATCAAATGCTGAAATCCACAGTACTCATCAGTATTAGGGAAATGGGAAGATGGGTGAATCATTTGATTTAGTGCTGTTGAACTCTGCGAAAAATAACAATCATAGCACAGGCAATCAATACCATAAATGACCGCGGAATGGATCATGGTACTGAAATCGGCAGCTACTCGACTCTAAAGCAAATGATCCACGCCACTTGCGCTCGTTGAGTCTTCAGAGGATACGGAAATGCTTCTTTTTTTATTCCGAGGACTCTGGCGATTGGCTCAACGATAGGCTCCGTCAATTGTTGAAACGATGCGAAAGACCCATGCTTCAAGCAGCTCGTCAAGGAGGAGACCTGGGGAAGGATGCTGGGATGAGGCTTGTTGAAACACTTTTCGGCAGTGATAAGCAACTTGAAGACACTGAGATCTTTATGGAAAAGGTCCGGCTGGTCAACTTGAGTTTCGACGATGACCGTAGGGAGATCCTGAGAGATCATGATTGGGAAGGTGTGTACGATTTTGAATTCGAGGTGGACGACTTCGGACGCGATATGGAACCCAATGAATCCGTGTATGAAACTATAGGTCCTTACAGGAGCACGTAACCTCGTATGTTGGTATTGTGCTATTTGAATTAGGTGGCATGAGCTGCTGTATTTCACGTGGCTTGGGCCGGCTGTTAGTCCAGCACGCCCAAGATGAAAATCACCTCTCTACAGAGAGAGGGTCACATGGATCAGGAGATTGGGCTGGCACACCTGCCTCCAACTACTTCAAGTGCCAGGTGTCAAATGTAATACAGCACACACATACCGTAGAAGCCATTGGTGCGTTATGAATTCCAGCATATTGATCCACATGGATGTTTTCTTGACGTTCTCTTTCCCCCTAAATTCCGCCAAAATCCCATGCCTGCTCACGAGAAAGCTGCATCTGTACATGACAGCGATACGCAGCGAGACCAGTTGTCTTCCCATCAAGCAATGGCCCTTATTTGGGTCCGTACACAAGATCTTGGATTTCAATGCAAGCTAAGAAAGTTCATTCAAGCATGATCTCGGCGTCCGCCTGTGGCAAGTGGACCCCTGAACTTTTCAATGTTTGCAACCACGCAAGAAGATTCTTGATTCGAGTTTTCGCCCTAGGGAATGCAACAATACCATAAGATCCTGGTCGCAAGCTTGTCAAGCGAGAAGTCGAGCCACCTACTGACCAATCACTCATACGGTGAGTGATACGAAAGGGCTGTGATCTACGGTGGGCGTTGACTGCCCTACGAGGGTGGCTAACATGGGAAAACCTCACCTTCACACGTGTGGCTGGCTGGATGCGTCCAAAATCGTGCAACGCCCAGGATTCACATTCCTCCGATGCGAGTATAGCAACACCTCGTATGGCCATGTAGCTTCTGGCATACGATTTCAGTCTCTACTGCAAGATGAGCTCATACGTCCGGGGCTCTCGAGTGGCCGTCGACTACGGAGCTTGGGCGTAAGACTACGTGTAAGAAGGCATAAATGGCCTTCCAGCCGTCAACGAATTCAGTGAGTTAAAAGATTAAGACTCAATACAATCCTTCACGACACTGTGTATTGAGACAGGCCATGGCCATTCAGATACCAAGCAATAGTCAGCAGCTTGACAGCCTCTGGCGAAGGCAGAGTCTGAGCTACCTGACCACATGATGTGTACCGATGTTGGTTGACGACTCTCTAGCTCGTTCCGCTGAAAAGTTCTCATCGTGCTTGACCCAAAACCTCGGAGGAAAACGTCCTATCAAGAAAACGCCACAACAGCCCCCCTCGCCCGTGAAGCCCTTAGGCACGGAAACCGTTGACTCACCCCATCGGTCATTTCACTCTTCAGCCGCACGTACATCGGCGAGCCAAGACGGCGTTTCCTACCCGTTACACGAAGGCCCAGCAAACAAAACTCGTCAAGGGAGACCGTCCCCATTGGCCCCTCCCAAATCCCAACCTTTCCCGAAGCGTCATCTGAAGCTCTGGGCTGCTCGCCGACGAGCTTGCGCCATCGGATGACAACCAAACCGTCGAGGTTTTTCAAGAATCGCATGTTGCGGCGTCGAGAGACATCTGTCCAAATACCGACAGGAGGGCAGAGGCACAGATGACGTATGTGTTTTGTTAAAGTGACAGGAGTCCGGCAGCGGGACTCGAGGCGTCGAGACATGGAATTCGACAAGGCGACGAGGGAGTTGCGAGATGCAGTCTTCCAAGTCCTATCATTACCAAGACTTTGTCGTGTAAACGGGACAAGCCAAAGGGTCTAGACCGCTCTCTGCATACAGGGGCGCATGATCAGAATCTCCATGCACCTCAACCCATCAACACGACAGAAGCACACTGACCCGGCCAAGGCCACACAACATCCCATCTGTCCATCTCGCAAACCGACCTCGCATTTCCCCGACGTTACACAAACGTTCCAGACCTCAGATACAGACCACCAGTCAGGACATCTAGAGATAAAATTGAAAAAGCAAATACCGGTCCATGTCTCGCCCGAACCCGACCCAATCACCATCCCCCATCCTTCCTTTCCCGTCCATCATTTCTTTCCACAAATGTCTAGGTGCCCGCCAATGGTCTCCAGTTCACGTGGCGGATGGGCAGCCGCCATTTGGGGGCCAAAGGAAAGGGAGCCGCCTGTGGTCTTGCGTGCTTCCCTTCAGCTAGCCATGTGTCGAGACATGACTGATCGTCGTCCCCGTCGCATCTTTCCTGGGTGCTGGGTGAACTGAAGATCAACGCCGTGAATAGGCAGGGAGCTGCGATACTGCGGCTGGCGGAAGTCGTATGCAGAAATTTTGATGTTATCATGCGAGGAACAAATACTCGTCGTCGTTGTCGGGTGATGCCCCCGAAAGAATATGCCATATGAGATTCCCATGCGTGAATACAGTCTCAGCCGCAGACCGATCTACATCATCCATGTTTGCTTTTCAGAATCGAAAAACGAATACCACGCAATTGATGTCTTTTGCGTTGGCCACTTCCATGTTCTTCACCAACCAGCCTCATCCGAGGAATGAAGACCGAAATCTCCTCTCCATGACATCCCGTTTCTCGACAATTCCATAATTTCCCCCATCCGAGGGGCGTATCTACCATGTCGAACCATCAAATTCTCTCTCCATCACCAACCTCGATGTGACTTTTCTTCCTTTTCTTCCAAAATCGCGTCAAAAAAAACAACACTTCGCATCGGTCCACTACCAAGGTGTTCGCTAACACGACGGGGGCCAGCCGGTGTCGGGCGATCTCCCGATCACCCGATCTCTTAAAAATCCAGCCGGGCCCATCCCGGGGCCTCAAAACGGTCCATGCTGCTGCCGCCCCGACCAGTCATCTTCCTCCGACCCTTGGAGCTTGCCAGACGGGGGCGTAAAAGAAAGCATACCGCGACTCTACTGCATGGACTTGTTCTCGACCACAAGAGTCTCTTTCATCATCACGTTCTCGAGCCAACATCACGCCCGACTGGTCTGGACAAAAATGCCCCCCTAGCAAGTCAGTCGAGAGACCACGCGGGAGAGAAGACAATGTCCAAGGGTCCTCCAGCCATGTCAGGAACCCCCCAGGACTTCTCGACCAGGAACGACTCTCTCCCTTCCAGATGCCTCGGGCTTTCATTCACCACACTTGCTGACCAGAGCTCAAAAGTTACTGTACCTCTCGGGCGTCTTCACAGCCACGGACCGGATCCTCCCATCTAGACCGCGAACTCTCTCACCAGCCAACGGCCAGGTCCTCATCAAATAAGCCTGGATCAGTCCAACACGGTCCCTTACGTTCTCTGGACCACCAACGCTCGGAAATCCCCAGACATCCAGGTCCGACCAAACCGTTCAGACATCAAGCTCTCAACCCCACGAACCAGACCAGCCCAGGACCATCTCACCCTCGCGGAAGGTACCACGTCAAGAAAAACAACCATTCCCTCTCTCTCTCTCTCTCCGCGAAACACAAAACTCTCGTCAGTGACACCCGTTTCCACAACCGCAAAAAGGTCCAGACCAGTCCACCAGATGCCCGAACCGAACTGAAAGTACCGTGGGAAAAAGACATACATCAAAGTCCTTCCATCAAAAAGAAAAACCCCCACTCACAATGTATCGTAAGGGACCCCCAAACTCGGACAGGAACGCAAACGACGTCGGTGGGCCACCATGGAAGAGCCTCGCCCATTGTCCATCAAACGACATCCTCAGCCCACAGGCGGCATATCGAACCGCCAATCCCGTGCTCGAATCTTAAAAGCCAACATCGCATCGACCGGAAGCCATGTATCCTTCTCCAAGCCAACACCACCTTCCAACCCAGACGTCATCTCATTCAGTACCCCCCAAAGAGGACTCCAGGCCCTTCATCAAACATGCATCATCTAAGTCCCCGCCGCGCCCTTACACAAACCGCCCTTCCTTCCCCTCCCGCTTGTACCGCCCGGCTAGACCAACACGCCAAGAACAAGATCGAGCCCTCAGCCAAAACCTACTTACCGACCACTAGTCCATCCGTATCATCTCTCAAGCAGCTCACTCACTCGCTTCACTCGCTTCACTCACGCGCCTTATTCCCGTAAGTCCAGATCTGGCGGCGGCGTCCGTCGACTGCCACGTTGAACGGCCTGGACCGACCTAGCCCGGCCGTTGACTGCAGGCGCACTGGCCCCTGCTCGAGCAGGTAACACTGTACCATAGTACACTGACACTGCCAGTAAGAAAGAAAGAACCATTAAACTCGCGCGTTTGCCCACAGCATCAGACGAACACTGTTCTTGTTCTTCTTCTTCTATCCCTACACACCACCCCGCCAAAATGACACATCGATCAAAAGATCTCGCATCCGATGACGAAACGTATGTGCGGCGAACACATCCACCCCCCAGAAACGGAGCCAGAAAACGGAATCCTTACTCGCCAACGAGGAACCAGGAAAAAAACGCCCAGCCCTACGAGCAAATCCCTCCTCCCGACAGAAGGAGCAGAAAAAGCGACGTGGAGAGCTTTGCCCTTCCCTCTCGCAGTGGGCTTCCCGCGAGGCGCAGCAGCTGTGAGCAGACAAAACGTCGGACGAAAATCCCCGAAGGAAACCCTCTCCCACCTCTGTTGGCGACCCAGAGAAACTCTCCCGGCACCGGCACCCATGTTTGTCGTACCGTTGAGATTTGAGAGAGAGAAACCAGAGTTCCAGACCCTTCCGGACCGCCCTTGGCAGGGACCCCGGCTTCCATCAGACCACTGAGCGCCACAGTGCCGTGGTCCAGACCTCCATCGACCACCCGAGCGTGCGGGGGCCAGCGTAACACACCAAGGGGGGCCTAGACTCAATCTCTCACCCCCTTACGACTCGGTCACCACCCAGGCGGTTCAGCCATGCCATGCCTTGCCATGCCCGGCCGGCCCTTTCTGCAACTGCAACTGCAACTGCGCGTCTATCCGCATGGATTCAGGGTCGTGGGTCAACCGCCGAGATCTCGACGCACCCCGGGCCTTGCAGACACATGTCGGGTGGAGGGTTGAAAGGAACACTGCAGAGGCTTACCGAAGCGCCTTAGTGGGCGCCTTGCCTGCGGATGCTCACCTTGCTGCGCTGTCTTATTTATCATGGTCCCCAGGTTGGCAGGGTACGGAAACATGACGAACCATGTCCGGGCGTTCCGCTGACCAGCAGCTGCTGACATCAAAAGCTTCTCATCCCGCTCCACGTCGTCAGCGAATGTCAGTCCTCAAGTCCGCAGCGATGGTAAGTATGTATATATTGTGACGATGAGTTGATTCTCTCTCGTAGATGGCAGCATATGTCTCTCAAATTCGCCGTACATCCCTCAAGGTTTCAAAGGGCGAAACGAATACTCCACCAACTCCGATCGAAACCGATGCACCACGGAAGCAGATGAGCTTCAGGGCTCTGATCATCCATGCCGTGTGGCGACATGTCCTCTCTTGGGACATCATCAGTCGCCATCAATCTCAGCGAACCTGTGGTATCATGCTTTTCCTCTCCCAATATTCCACCTCTTGCGGCTCGGCGCAAATCGCCACGCCCGTTGAATCTACTCTCAGTTCGGGTATGGTCATTTCGGATAAGACTTCCAAGATATCGACTCATAGTCGCCTGTCCAAGAGGGTGTTGAGCCAAGCTTGAGCATGTCCAAGCACTGGGTCCAACACGTTAACCTCTGGGGCAACGCCGACAGACCGTCGCTCTGGCGCGTGCGTGGAGAACCACTTAATATTTTTGACGAAACCTCATACATCCTAGACGTAACCGCCTTGAGGACCGTACACCCTCTGTCGCTTTTCCGGCCGGTCATCACCACCAGCCATATGGTCTGGGACGCGCATCTGTTGCATGCCTAGGGGCATGTTCTGGAAGTTCGGTCGTTGGGCAGATGTTGGCGTTATAACCATCTGAGCTGTGTTGCCCATCGGGTACCCGGTTTCAATGTTTGTGACGTTGGGTGACGGTTGGTGTATTTGCCCAGGCGAGTGCCAAGATGTGGTCGTTGCGGGCGACTGGCTCGGGGTAGAGTCGAACTTCACGTTAGGGTTCATCGTAGGCATGTTGGCATTGGCGGCGTGCAACTGAGCGGCTCCGTGACCGACTGCGAGGTCATCGGGCGGCGCATTCTTGAGGAGTTGCGCAACATGCTTTCGCAGGATGCGCAACATACCGTCCTTCGTGAAGGGCTTCGCCAGAACGTCGTTCAGGCCTGCGGGATTGTCAGCGAGTGCTGCGTCCGTTGCTCTGCGAGATACTTACTCCAGTTGAAGTAGTGACTAATGTCTTCAGGGCGAATGTTGGAGGTCATCGCCACAACGGGGACGTCGGGGTGGACTTCACGAATAAGCTGCGTTGCAGACACTCCGTCCATCGAGGGCATGATGATGTCCATAAAGATGAGGTCGAAGTGCCCAGACGGTACTTCTTTACACCTGTTCACAGCGTCGATACCGTTTTCCTGCCGACAGTCAGTCGCCGATTTTTAGCAGCATCAAACGAGAAAGAGAAACATACCGCGATCTCAACCGTACACTCCATCTGGGTCAAGAACTTGGATCCGATCCTCGAGCAGGTACGGTCGTCTTCGACAAGGTACACTCTTGGCTTCTTCTGCCCCCATAGTCCCTTATCATTTGAGGGCGGGCGAGGTGGCGCGGCGGCGGCAGGAGCCGGCGTGGCCGGGCCTGGCTCAGGCTTGACGACAGGGTTCTGGAACTCGTTCATTGGTAAAGAGTTCAAAGTGTACGGGATGTTGTTGAAGTGATCTTGGGAGAGCGGGTCGATGCCTACATTCTCGCCTACTGGATAGACAAGGTGGCGCATATTGAGATGTTCGGCCATCATGGGCGGCATGCCTGCCGTGCCGGGCTGGAACATGAGGGAGGAGGCCGAGTCCGGCGGGGAGCTTTGCGCGTATATGCCGTTGAGCCTTTCGAGCTCTCGGTCTACCATGCTGTTGGTCGTAACGCTACCGAGGAGCTCTCTTGCTCTGCGCAACTCGACAGGTTGATCGTCGACGGCGCCGCCGTTCATTTGCTGGGCTGGGTACCGACCGCCCCGGAACCTGTCCTCCACGTGCGACATGAAGTTAAGTAACTCATACTGCGACGACCTCTGTGCTTCAATTATCTTGTGCATGGCGTGGACCTCATGAACGAGCGTCTTATTGGCGCGTTGCATTTCGCCAACCTGCTCTTGCAGTGCCTGCACCTGCTGCTGCTGGGCGAAGAGAGTTTCTTGAAGCAGGTTGATGGATTGGTTAGTGGTGAACTGATCCTCCGTCTGCTGTGTCTTTCGCTGGGCGGGAGCCTTTCGTCTGATATTGTCCAAGTTATCTTTCCTGTCAGCCCGGAAGGCAGAGTGCTTGAACTCCCAAGCCTACGCAGTACATTAGCTAGAGCGAGCGCATGACTGTCTCGTGTTCCCTACCTGCTTGCCGTACGGCGACTCGTTGTTCTCGTCGTTGCGCCGCAGCTTATGGAAGTCGTACTTGTTCAGCTGTCGGACGAAGCTAGAGAAGTTGCTGTGCTTGAAATGTTTCGGCAGGATGTCGTTGGTGAACTTGTCGGTCTAGAACAAGGTTAGCCTATTGTTGCCGTCCTCCCTGGTGTCATGAGGGCTGCGCACCTCCAAAATGACGAATGTGTCGCCCTCGTTTCCCCATCTAACAATGTTCGAGTAGGCCGGGTCTTCCAGCATCCTGTTGTACACGTTAGCCACCGACGGATGTTGGTGCGCGTCGAAGGGACCCGAACTTGTAGAGTTTGCGAACCTGCGCGAGGAAAGTCAGTATGGTGAATCGCGCCATCGTCAGTTCATGGACTCACAAAGTCGCTTGAGTTACTGCCGCCGCCCTGGGCGGCAACGGTTTCTGGCTCGGGCATGATGGGCGCCGAGATGCGAGGAAACAATCGTGAGGCGATGCGGGCCCGTCAAGCTGGCTCTTGAAGGCAGGTAACGAGGCAAGTTTTGGAGTCGGGATGGGATGGCAGACGTCTGGACGATCTGGAAGGTCTAGGCGTGCTTCTCGAAATCGCAAAAACGGAGCAACGGTCCGCTAGATAGGAATTCCTCGTCGCCAGGTCGGGTCGGTCGACAGTATTTTTTGGAGAGTCTCGAGTCCAGACTGGTCCAGGGATTTGAAATCGAAGCTGGCGTCGGGGCCGGCTAATCTCCACCGAAGCTCTCGCAGCAATGTGGTGGTATCCGGTTGCGGTCGATTGCGGGAATGGAGGTTAAAGGATAGTAAGGGATCTAAGACAGCAGAGGCGGTGGAAAAATATGCAGCCGGTTAATCGTGGAATTGGGCCGATCGGTGTCGAGCGCTAGAATCGAGTAAAGGGAAGGGAAGGGCGCCGCGATGAAGTCGAAGAGACAGGCTCAATTGAGTGGAGGATGAGGTTTCGTAGACGTCGAGAGACGGGATCTTAGAAACTGGGAAACTGGCGCAGGGCACAGAGCAGAGATGGATGGATGGCCGACGTGGATGGAGCAAGGTCTGGTGCTGATTGCTGGACCTGGTGCGTGAACCTGAACTGAACCTGGACCTAGACCTGGTGCAGCGCAAGTGCAGGTGCAAATGCAAAAGTGCTGGTTTCTCTGGTGCTCTGCTGGTCCTGGTTCGTACAGACTGGACCCGGCCGCCGAGGGAGAGGGAGGTACGGGGACGGACGGGGGGGTTGACGGGGAGGGGTGTAGTGACTTGAGTGACTTGAGTGACCTGGGTGCCTCGACAGGGAATGGGGATGAATTGGATTTGGCGGCCTACCGTTGGACGAGGGCGAAGATGAGGAGGAGGAAGAAGAGGGGAATCGAGCCTGAGGGCGGTGGTTGATGAGTTTTTTTTTGCTTGGGATTTGGTATCGGGAACTTGTATGCAGGGCCAAGTTTTGGTGTATCTTCTGGTATAATGTACGGATCACGAACCACGAATCCCTCTTGGATATGGTGTTGGCTGGTGCTGCCGCTGCCGCTGGCGTCGCTATCGACGTCGTCGTCGTCGCTGGCTTTTCTTGTGTGCTCGAGCACGAAGACAAAATCCAGGAAGTCGAGCCGACAGAAGCAGCTTGACACGATGCAGAACACAGGTGAGTGACTTGATGGATGTCCCAATACGGACCGAGGGCGAAGAGATGCGCAAGGCGACGATGGGGTGCAATGCAATGCAAAACTGAAGGGAAACGGTTGATGTTCAGGTATCGTTAGGTATCGCTAAGAGATGGACAAAAAGCGGCGTCGATGAAAAGGGAAAGCCGTGGAGGCAAGTATATTGGATTTGACTGCAGATGGCTCCTGCAAGATGCGAATTCAGGCCGTTGGCTCTTCCCTACCGCAGTAGCGTATCCGTAAGGCAGTCCCGCTTCGCTTGTTGGGGGCCTGAAATGGAACGAAATGGCAATTGAGGACGAACAGAGAGAGAGAGCGAGAGAAGGCCGAGTCTTGGGTTCTCTGCCGGTGGCCTCGTGTCTTGGGTGAGGTTCAGGACGTGCAGGCAAGGAATCCTCGGTTCCTCAGATTGCTGGTGCGTGGTGCGGTTAACGGAAGCGGGTGCACCGCGGGCGGCGGCGGCTGCCAGGTGAGGTGCAGCTGTGAGAGGAGCAAAGCGTGGGGCAGGCGGGGCGGACAGCAGCACAAGAGGCAGGCATTGGATGAGGCAGGGCACTTGGGCGCATCTGTCATGGGATAAGGCATTTTGTGAACGTGGTCCAATTGTGCAATGGGGAATTGTGTAAGCCTGAGGTGTCCATGACATAAATTACCACGTTGCGAGTACCTCTACCAAACATATCATATCTGTACGACAATCGTTATTTTGTAGTACATATTAATTATTAGGTACTGACAACTTGAAGAAAAGCCACAGACCATCTCCATGGTCCACCGTTCAGACACTGATAAAGCCCTGGAACCCGGACAACTGAGACCTTCCAGTGCCCTGAGCCCGAACTGCTGGCTAGACTCAGCTGCCATTGCGACCTTCTCCAGTGTTTCCATTCCCCAAATGTCCCGTTCTCAATCCCAGCAGGCCCAGCAACCCAGGTCCCCAGTTTCGACTGAACTGCACTGCAGTTCCGCAGTTGCAATCAATGGAAGTCGCAGTTGCATCACAAGTGGTTAGGCTGCGATGGAGACACTGAGCACCCGCATCGTGGATCAGCCCTTGTCACGCCGCCTTCCCATTCGCCGGAGCCGAGCTGTCGCCTTCTCCACAGCTGGGACGTCTCCAGTTGCTGCCGGCTGCAGGTGCCCACAGCTGATCCGTGTTGGAAACAATGACCTCATACTGTACCTGGGAGTACATGTCGGAAGTACCTCGGCAGGGTACTTACCTTAGGTAAAGTACGTACCTAGGTTGAGAATACACCGTCTTGCCCTTCTTGGCCGTTCCAGGCGACAGGCGCAATTTTGGCGACGGAGCAGCATTCACTCGACGTATCCACCGCTCTCTCACTTTTTTCACCGTATCGTGTTGCATGCCTGACAGGACGTCCCTGGCTCTTTTTGCCGACTAGTCTCCGGCCTTGACTACACCGCGATACGTGCGGTCCCCGACATGAGGCGAGGCGAAGTGAGCAAAGAGATGAGGCGCTCATCTTTTTTGCAAAGAGGCAAGAAGCAGCAGGCCAAGCAAGCCGGATACGATACCCCCAATATCACAGCCTTCAACGGTGGCGGCTGCAGACCGACGACCGCAAACCGCAAACCGCACTCCTGACGGCTGCGGCTATTGATATTCGTCCCATCATGATTTTAAGCTACCGCAGACTATGCATCTTTACGTACCACCATGCATCCCCAGAGCATTTCCAACGTCAAGCTTGACGCTACTACGCAAGGGGCCTCAAGGTTTGGCTCAACCTGCTGCTAGCCATACGAGAACCTTACCATTGAGCTGACCATTCGTCAGGGGCAGAAAGACTTCGCTGGATACGTCGTAAAATCCAATCTACAGACTACGACGCAGCGCTACATCCTCTGGACCCTGAAATACCCTCTTCAACCACAGTACAATCAACAGTACAACGTCTCCAGAGTCCAGGTCGTCGACGGTCGACCCAGACCAGCAGCACCCTGAGTCCGGCCCTGAACCCACAAGGCGATCCAGATGAGTAGCGCACGCGAGACAGCCAGGGAGTCCGAGACATAGGGGACTCGGATTGAGCGCCGAGCCGCCGACGGGACCCGGACGACGCCCACGACGCTCCAGGAGACATGCCAGCGGGCAACCTCCCGCGTGCCAGAAGGTGTGTTAGTTCCAACTCGTCTGGCCAGCGCCGTGAGCGTTCGGCAGAGCCCCTGTGCTCCTGCCCTATCGTCAAGGACGGAGTCTTTCCCGTCTCTTCGAGCAGACCAGTGATTACTTAGATCGGCTGTTTCCGTCAACGCATTCCGCAGTGTTGCTTCTCAGCCTAGCAGCACTTGAGCAACCAAGACAATTGAGCTGTCTGTCTCGTCGCGTTGTTACCGTTGCATCCCCACGCCCCGCGGAATGCCCTGGCGGTCAAGACTCGGGTTGTCCAATCGAGAAATCTCGGGCGGAAAGGAGCGGCAGCACACCCTTCGTACTGTGCAATTCTCCTATCCAGCGAGTGGGCAACGGTGTGGACTGCGGTGGATTTGGCAAACTGACGGCGTGTGGCCTGCCCTCCGCCCAGCCATCCAGGGATACCAACATGGAAACGATCCGCGGCGGCTGCCTCCAGATTGGCCAGCCTTGATTAACTGGATCTTCCAAGACGTCCCAAAAGGGCCTCTGAGCTGCCATAATCTGACGGGCAGCACAAGCAGACGGGACAAGCGGTGCCGTGCTGCCTCCTTCCGGGCATCCTTTCACCTGAAGACGGCGGCCGTTCACCAGTCTCGATGATAAGACAACCGTGCCGCCCGACTGCGCTGCTCCAGCGCTCCGAACCCCATGAAGCCATGTATTGCGACCGTCTGCAAGAGTCAAGATAGCAGTTTACAGTTCGAAGCTCGGGCGTTATCCCCTCCAATTTCCTCGACAATGCGACGCAGTTCGCTCATCTTCAGTCGCGGGTTCGCTGATCCCAATCTTCCATCCGGGGTAAGCTTTTACGCTCTGGCGGGAGCTTTTAGCGGAGGACCGCCGCGTGTGCGACGACGCGTGCAGCAAGAATCGTTCTCGACTCTTGACTCGAACCGCAGCACGGTCCACGGATATCATCCAAAACCCAGCACCTTGGAACTTGGGACAGAGTGTATCGGTTTAGACCGAGCACAGAGACAAGCTTAGCTACTCCCGATACAAAGTAGTTCAGACGGCTACCGCCACGCTACACAGCGTCCCGCTGTCCCAGTCGTAAGGAAACAAGCGATGATTCCCTTCACGTCGACTCGACCAATGCAAGGGACTCGACGGGGAAATGCTATCGGCCGATTCAATTCGATGGGACCGACCAACAGAAGGGACCCCTCCAACCCTCTTTGACATCTCAGCATCTTCTGCAGCCAGTGCGGCGTTCAGGCGAGCCGATTTCGAAACGGACAGCATTCCATCCGGAGCCAAGATCGGCAAAGCAAAAAGTTGGACGGATCTACAGCGGCACCAAGGGCTCAGCGCTGCCAAACACACAGCTAGGATGCCGTCAAAGCATGCTGGTGAGAAGTGACGCAGTTGGCAATTAAGCAGCTCACTCTCTCGCTATTTCTCCCCATCCTCAGAACCTGCCAGCTGAAGGTTCCTGTTTCTCTCCCCCGGCCCTCCGTCCTCCGCCGGACGTCGAAAACCATCATTGACGTCCGAGCGAAACACTTGGGACACCTGCTGATGGAGGCTGAAGTTAGCATTCGAGGATTAAGCCGGCCTGTCCCATCAAAGTCGGACCCAGTATGACGCAATTGAGGGGACGCTGGCCAGTTCTGCACGGTCACACCATCCACACCGTGGGCCTTGGCGCCCAGGACCAGGATAGATCTCCCGCACCGATTCGAGAGACAGAGAAATGATGAGGCGGGACGGTCAAGATTTTTCGCAGCGTCAGGTGAGTGCCTGACGGGGGACCCCGTTCCAATCCGTCACAGCCGCCGGGGGGTGATCCCAAATGGCGCGAAACCGAACGGAGGAGCGACGGAGCAAAATGGACATTTGCCTCGAAATTTGTCCTCGACATTGCACATTTCGAGGTCATATGGGACATTGCGACTGGAGCCCATATGGGCAGCACAAAAAATCCAGGGACCAGAGCCACCAGGGATGGCAGCGCACGTTTTTTTCTCTCTTCTGCTCGTCCGTACGCCCGCTCGACCGCGACCGTGTTGAACCGAACTGTGTGCAGCAACCCACCGTCGGCGTCGTCGTCGGCGCCGTCGTCGGGTATTTTCCGACTGCTCATTCGGCGTCCCTTTTTCGCGCGTCCCATGTGCTGGAGACTGGAGTTGGAGACGGAACATGGGAAGGATTCCGAAAATAAGCAGGGGATCGACATTGGCGTTTCCGAAAACAACCCTCGCAAACACCCGCCGGATCCGACGTCGAGCGCCCCGTCCGTGGGACCGTGAACCACCGTCCGTTTCTGCGAGTTCAACCGCGCTTCGCGGCGTCTCAAAATCAGGGGTCCAGGTCTGTTGACTTCACGATGCCGTATCGCCTGACTCTGCGCCGTTTCTTCGGGAGAAATCGTGGAGTGCGGTAAATCCAGCCGTGAAGCGCACAACGGCCGAGCAGACAAAACTAAGAAACTCAATTCGCGAGTGTGGAGTCGAAATGAGACCCTTCACATGGCATCGCATCGCAGTTTTCAAGATCCAGTGGGTCTCTTCAGATTACCTTAACCTTGACCTCAGCCTCCGGAGATTTCTCCAAAGGCCGAGGCATATCTTCCAAGGAATGAGCTCTGCGTCTCACGAGAGAAACAAGATGGCGCACAAGACAACAGTCGACGATGGCACATGTTCGAACCCCTTGCCTTGACGGCAAGATCCAGCCAAAACCACCCTCGTGATTTTCGCGCATTTTGTGCGGAAAAGATTCTAGACATCCAGCCCCAAAAGATCACAGCCCGCGATCCATCCCACACGGCACACGGCTTCCCCCGCGCCCCGGCCCTTCGAAGAAAAGAATTCTTCGCTTCCTAGATCATGCTTCCGGACGCCTCAGACATTCACGATCCCGCCGGACCCAGACTGCCGGAAACCCCCTCACTGATCAGGCCACATTGCCCAGGCTTATATGCCAGGGAGACGAGAAACGTTGTGCCTTTCAGCTGTCATGGCCGTCTCTGAACATTCTGCATGGGCGTCGAAGCTCGAGACATGTCTGTCTTGAGCGGATTATCGGCCTCTTCATTGGGTCTGAAATCGAGCTGTCCGGATCCAAGTCCGCTTACCAAGTCCGCTTACTGTCTCGCCTTCTCTCCATCTCCCCCCGTGTTTCCCCGGGATGTGGGCGAGGGCGGCGCATGCTGGCGTCCAGACTGAACTATGCTCGACTGATATATCCCTTTCCATCCGCTGGAATGCATCTGGGGGCGGCTTGCTCTGATCGACTTAGACGTCTTGAACTATAATTTGAGCTGGGTTTTCATGTTTGGTAAAATGTTTGCTCTGTTCACTAATCTTGGCTCTTGCTGTTCTGCGGGGTGTTGAGCTGGTCTAGCTTGGTAGCTGACCGACCACCCGGCGCCTCCTCAGGGCTGTAGTTGTCAAAGGTCTTTGTTCTTCATCGATGGATGGAGCGACATGATAACCGGCCTTGTGCCTGAATCTCGGGTGCATTTGGCGAATAGGATTCCTGGAGGGAACGTCGCACTGGAATCTGACGGCGGTGCACTCAAGTCTAACAGCTACCAGGAAAGACTGGATAGGTGCTGCGTCAGTGTTTGCTGCGGGTTGAGCATGGCTCATCATGAGTATCTGCTTAGGCACAAGGCAGACGGGCTTGATATCAGACAGGCACCAGCGCCTCGTCCCCGCGTGGAAGATCCAGCGGCCTGGGTGCTTGTTGGCCAGTACGGTCAATTGCAGGAAGTTGCGCTGCGCCTTCTCGTCGCCGACTTGCTCGAGTTGACGGCCAGACTATAATCCTGACCTAGCCTATAATTGTGGCGATTACAGAGTCGGCGACACGTTGACTGGGGACTGCTTCGCAGCGCCGTGTTCGAATGGCAGGCTGTGGGCTATGTCGAACGTAAAACAGCGGGGAGCCTTTTGCTGGCTATCTAGCCCGACCTCGAGGACAGCCATCTGCGTCGCATGTTTGATATTTTGCATCGGCGTCTGGTGGCTATCAGGGGCCAACCAGCTGGTTAACCGGCAGCTGTCTCGGTGACTGTACCGTCTCTGGTATCGGTTATCTTATCTGTGACTCTATGTTCCTGATGTATATGTGCTCACCGTCTACGTCCTGGTTGTCTGTCCTAGTTGTCTATACTCATCGGTCCATCTGTCGTTTCTGAGCAATTCTCGTGGCCATCGCCGAAGGCCCTTGGGTGAGGCTTGGCTGTGTTCACGGAGAATGAGAGGTTTCGCGGTGAGAGCCGAGAGTCCTCGTCTCTCGTCTGCCTGCATTACCGTGGCCGGTTGCTTCTGTGGTTGCACCGAGAGGGACGAAGCAGCCGTGATATTCTCACAAACCAACTGCCGTAGCTGCGCCAAGACGACTTGAACAAGGTCGGAGTTGTGCTTCGAGGAGAGTGGAACTATGCTGACATCGCGAGTTCCTGCCGGGAGAACGGTATTCTTATACGGGGCTCTGTCTTCATACGGGGTTGATTTGAGGTTCTCGCGGCGAATTACCATGACGGCTGTCTGGTTTATACGCTGCTTGATCAGGACGTGACGATGCGCGATGAGGAGCAAACGGATATGACGACGTGAATCGGGGGTTGCGAGTGGCGGGATCGCTAAAGTTGGAATCGCCTTGAGAGCTGACAATTCATGAATGAGGGTTTTGGGGGTATCATGGCTATTGCGGTGTTGTCTGACTTCGTAGCTTGATCAGCGCGTCTAGGCAGGTGAGTTGCCGACGTCTTGTTGTTGATATCACGCCGTTGGCACTAGGGTCGTCGCATTATTTCTAATTGGGAAATGCAAAATACTGTTCAGGTATCGTAATCCCATTTTCTCCTCGTAGTCCTCTTCTCCATCCCCATCGTCGTTGAACAGGGAGGCTATTCGTGAGCTACGAGTAAAATAATACTACGTTCAATCTTTGCGCCCAATCACTAGCGCTCAATCTATCAAATAGGTTGACGAGCCCTTCCTTGAATTCAACTTCCCAATGTTACTCCCGCACGTGAGACCTTCAAATCCACCACTAGAGGCCTTCTGTTCCCATCACCTCCCTGATCCATAACGGCAGCATTGACAAGCACCGTCTTGCCCTCGTCCCCAGCATCCACAGCCTCACCAGCTCCAACCTCAACGTCCTCGAGATCAAAACCCTCGCCCTCGCCAGCCCATCTCACGCATTGAACTCCGTACCCCTCGTGAACGTGCCCGAAACAATGAAGCCGCGGCCGCGTCCGCCGAATCGCAGCCCACAACTTCGCGCAGCCGAGGAGCTCGCCGTCGCGGCTCTTGTCCAGGAGATACGCCGCGTGGGGGACCAGCGGCGGGCCGTGCGTGACGACGACGTCCACGCCCTCGGGGATCGGGTGGTGCTGGTGCTCTGCGCCGGCGGATGACGGGGCGGGGTTAAAGCGGTCCTCCTCCGGGCCGTATGTGAACGCGTTGCCGTTGAAGTCGGGCGTGTACGGCGACGCGTAGATCGTGAAGGATCTGCCGTCTTGTAGAACGAAAGTGTGGAGGCCCTCGTCTAGGAGGTGTACGGTGTGGTAATTGCTAAAGATGGCTTTGGCTTTGGTGGGATCGTCCTCGTCCTCGTTTTCTTCGAGGTTGTGTTTCCACCAGACGGGATCGAGGGACACGTCGTGATTGCCTGGGATGACGAGTTTGAGTTCGGCGTCGTAGGCTGAGAGGGCCTCGAGAGCGCTTTTGTAGTTTGATAGACCGTCTTTTGTGGTCATGTTGCCGCAGTGGAGGATGACGTCTGCGGGGGGAAGGGTGGATGGGGAGGGGAAGGCCGTGTCGTGGGTATCTGAGAGGACGAGGATGCGGACTTTTGAGGTTGCCATTTTGTGGGATGGTTGTGGGTTGTTTGGCACAGAGGTTTTGTTGTGACTGTCTTGTAGACGAAGAGTAGCAGTTGGGAGATGATGTGGCGGTAGATACCCTAGGGTCAAGACTAGAAGGTGGCTCTGGGATGCTGGAGTTCGGGAAGGAGGTGGGCGCGCCATTGAAGCTCTTGCCTGAACTATTCCCAGAAGAAGTTACGTGCTTGCACCTGCGTCGATAATGAGCGTAAATGCATCTACCTTACTCAGGTACCTAGTCCTTCGGTGTATCTTCACTTAACTCTCCAGATCCTCTCAACAACCACTTTCGATTAGATCACTACTCAACTACTGTTTAACTCTGGCGACGTTTAAGTTGTTCGTTTACGCGCAAGAAACTACCTGAAATCGTCTTGTGCAAAGGTCGTATCTCAGCAACTCAATTCTCGATAAGGTAGTGAACCCAAAGAGCCGTGTAAGTGGTCTGATTACTTGAGACTGCTCGGTGAAGCCCTCTCACCGAAGCCCACCGAGAAAGGGCTAACGCACGGGCCCACCCCGCAATGGTGTTGAGTCACTCACCTTAAATTTCCACCTCCCAAGCTGCAGTGCGCATTGCTTTGACTCACCCGCGACAGTTAGATACCCCCTCGCTCTCCCTAAATAGCGCCGAACCTCCCCGCGATCCACTTCAACAATTATGTCGCAGCAAAAGGGAAAAGCATCAGGCGCCGGCAAGGGCAAGAAATCCGGCAAGGCCGCTGAGGGCAAGCGGGAGGATGTCCTGCAGGCCGTGGTGAGTCCCAGCACAAGCACAAGCTGCCCGCAAGCGTCATATGGTGGGGCAGAAGCCCCGAGGGCCTCGAGATCGCTAACCGCTCCCTCGCGCCATTGCAGGTCATCGCCGACTCCTTCCAAGACCGTTTCGCCCCTTTTTCGGTCGAGAAGCCAAGAGTAAGTCGACGATGCGACTCTCAAAGTTATGCGACGCCGGCTAACCCCGCGCCCGCAGTGTCTACTGCCCCTCGCAAACACACCCCTCATCGAGTACACCCTCGAATTCCTCGCCATGAACGGCGTCCAGGAGGTCTACATCTACTGCGGCTCCCACTCTGAGCAGATCGAGAACTACATCAACACCTCCCGCTGGTCGCCGCTGTCGATCCGAACACCCTTTACGAGCCTGCAGTTCATCCGCGTCTCGGACGCCCGCTCCGTCGGCGACTTCCTCCGCGACCTCGATGGCCGCGGCATTATGGATGGCGACTTCATCGTCGTCCACGGAGACGTCGTCTCCAATATCTCCCTCGACCGCGCGCTCGCGGCGCACAAGGCGCGCAAGGAGGCCGCCGCGACGAATATCATGACCGTGGTCCTCAGGTCAGGCGGCGCGGACGAGCACAGAACGAAGCCGAACGCGGTCAACCCCGTCTTCGTGATGGACTCGAAGACGAAGCGATGCTTACACTACGACGAGACGAACCCCCTACAGAGCGACCACTACATGACCCTCGACCCCGCCGTCATCGACGAGCTGTCGACCGATTTCGAGATCCGCGGGGACCTGATCGATGCCGGTATCGACATCTGCACACCCGAGGTGCTGGCGCTGTGGTCCGAGAGTTTTGACTACGAGCTGCCCAGGAGAAATTTCCTCCACGGTGTACTCAAGGACTGGGAGCTGAATGGAAAGGCCATCTACGCCGAGGTGCTGGAGGACGGCTATGCTGCGCGCGCGAACAACCTCCAGATGTACGAGTCCGTCAGCAGAGATATACTCGGCCGCTGGACATTCCCGTTCGTTCCCGACTGCAACGTCATTCCCGGACAGACGTATAAGATGACTGCGGGTTCGGTTTCAATCGAAGACGGCACGGTCTTGGCCCCCGACAGCTCTCTTGCCAGATCAGTTCTCGGCCAGGGAACCAGCGTAGGCGCGGGCTCCAGAGTAAGCGACAGCATCATCGGCAGGCGTTGCAGGATCGGCAAGAACGTTCGCATCGAGAACAGCTTCATCTGGGACGACGCCGTTGTCGAGGACAACGCTGTCGTCACCCGCTCCATCCTCGCCGATTCCAGCTTTGTGGGCAAGGGCGCCTCCGTAGACGCCGGCTGCCTCCTCTCCTACGGCGTCACGATCGACGAAGCCACCCGCGTCCCCCAGAACACCGTACTAGCAACCACTGCCCACGACGGCCGCCCCGTCAGCCCAGACAAAGCCCTCGTAGGCGCCGCCGGCAAGGGCGCACGCTACGTCGACCCCGAAGCAGAGGACGCGGACGACGAGGACCCCTCGACCCTCCAGCGCTCCCTCATCTACAACCTCGCCCACCTCAACCTCTCCACGTCCTCCGTCTCCACCCTCTCCTCCGACGTCGACGACTCGGACGACGACGACGTCAACCACTTCGCAGACCGCACCCGCGCCGACTCCTTCGTCTCGGACGACTCCGCAGGCCGCTCCGGCTTCCACCACGACGCAGTCCACGGCCTCCTCGACGCCCTCCGCGCCGACTCGGGCGACTTCGACTCCGCCAAGCTCGAGTTCATGGGCCTCCGCCTCGCCAACGACGCCTCCGACGTCTCCATGCGCAAGGCCGTCGCCGTCGCCTTCTCCCGCCGCGCCTCGGAGCTCCTCGACCCCGAGCACGGCGCCCTCGAGCCCGCAAAGGCCGCCGACCGCGCCTTCTCCTCCAAGAAGGGCGCCTCCAAGTTCGTCAAGGAGGTCGGCGTCGGCGGCGACGAGGGCGACAACGAGGCGGAGCAGGTCGAGTTCGTCCTCGCCCTCCAACGCGCCCTCCTCGGCGCACGCGGCGGCGACCCGGCACGCGCGGGCCTGCTGCTCGCCGCCACCCTGCAGAAGCTCTACAACATCGACGTCCTCGAGGAGGAGGGCATCACGGCCTGGTGGGAGGACGCGCGCGCCGAGGAGGGCGAGGGCATGGGCGTCGTCAAGGAGAAGTGCCGCGTGCTGATCGAGTGGCTCGAGGACGCCGAGGAGGAGGAGGAATCCGACGAGGACGACGAGTAGGTCTTTTGTCGACGTCGGAGGAACTCCAGGAGCAGCGGGCAGCAGTGAGCGGAATGGAATGGAATGCGCCCACGCCCGGCCGGCGCCTCCTAGGCAGTCATAGATAGACAGCACACAGAGGCAAAATAGAGTAAAAGTTCAAGTCAAGCGATGATCTCCCCAGTGTTCACGGCCATGGTAAGCTCTTGTTTGAGAATGACTTGCCGTCATTGCAAGTAAAGAATAAGGTATCATGTCAAAAAAAGCATAGCCTCCAGACGCCTAGCTAGTTCCTGTGAAAAAATGACAGGCGGGTTTTCCCACATCGATCCTCCGTTTTGTGTTTTCTCTCCCTACGGGCCTCCTCGAATCCCATGCCAAAAAGAAGAGCTGTACATAATAATGCCTATCGTACTCCCGAGGGCCGCCGAGTCCCAGAGCTCGTGAAATTCCTCGGTCTCAGTAAGCGATGCGGTCAGTGACTGCATGGCTGGATAAACGACTACTTCTAATAATAATTCTGCAAGTCATTTCCGCCACCGCCGTAGTTCGAACCGCCGCCGCCGCCTCCCATCGGGCGACCTTGCGGCCCGGTCGGAGCGTTAGGAGGGGGACCTGTTGACCACGAGCCGCCGTATGGAGCCTGATACTGCGGTTGTTGGCCGTAGTTGGCATTGCCTCCCTGGGGCAGGCTGGGAAAGTTGTTGTCGTCATAATCCACCGGCTGGCTGTAGCCGCCCTGCTGGTTCTTGGGCTCGACGTCGTCGAGAGAGCGGTAGCCGTGCATCCCGCGTCCGCGACCTCCCTTAGGACCGCCGCGGCCTCTGCCTCTACCTCCGCGGTAGCCCCCTCCGCGGCCCTGGCCGCGTCCGCCCGAGTGGAAGTCGCGACGCTCGTTGCGACCGTTGTAGGGGGCGTGGCGGTGGTCGCGCGAGTACTCGCCGCCGTCATGCTTGCGCTTAGAAGACTTGTTGGCGAAGAGGGATTCGTACTCGTCCTCGCGGGGGTCCTCGTGCTCTATGCGCAGGATCATTTTCTCGCCGACGACGGTCTCGAAGGCAACGACCTTCTCGGGGGGCACGGGCTGCCAGTTCTGGATCTTGCCTGCGTCGACGGGGCGGGCGCCCTTGCGGAGGGCGAGGACGACCAGCGGCGAGGGGTTGTCCGTGTGGAACTTTGCCGTGGCGGGCACGGGACGGAGGCTGGCGGCCCAGATGCTGTTCTCGAAGCAGGCCGTGCCTGTGACCTCCCACTTCATCTTGGCGCCCATGCCGCCGACCTTCTCCAAGATGCTAGCTGGGCAGGGGCGAGGGCAGATGAGGATGTTGTTGGCGTGGTATTTGAGCTCGTGCTCGGGCATGCCCGATGGGATCTGAGCGAGCTTCATTAAGCGCGCGGTGTCCTCCTTGTTGATCATGTAGCCGGTGAAGAAGACTGTCTTCTTGATGCGAAGGCGCTGTGGACGCACATCGGCCGGGAGCTTGGTGATCTCCTCGTTGTGGAGGTTGATCATGTGCTGAACCTCGGCAACTTCGACGACGGGGTCCAGCGTCGTGGAGAGGTCTGCCACTTGGACGACTTCCGCTGTGATGGGACCGCGGCTGCGTGTCGCGTTCATGTTCTGTCTGCGGTTGTACTCAGTGAAGAAGTCTCTGAAACCCTTGACGTGCTTGGGGCGGTCCTCGTAGATGCGGATCTCCTCGGCGTTCTTGTACGTCTCCATGACGGCCGCGAGGAATAGCTGCTTGAAGTGCATGGTGCTGCTGAAGTGTTGGTTCGTCGGGCTGACGGCTGGCTTAAGGCCGATCATGTCGAAATCGAGGCCCTTGCTCTGAACCATCCTCTTGATGAGGTCACCGAAGCCGCGCTCTGAGCGGCCCGTCAGGAGCACGCAGAGGGCGTCCTTCTGCTTGATGCTCAGCTTCACCAGTTCGACAATCTTTTCGCTCCACCATCCCTCCCAGGCCTTCTTCTCTTCGGCATCCGCGCCTTCGCCGGTTGCTGCGAGGATTCGGGAGTCGTGCCACCAGCCGCCATTGCAGATGACGTCTTGACTGGAGAGCGTGCCAATCGTAGGGCCGCTCCATAACGCGGGGTTCGGGAGGGGTGTTTTGAAGACTACAAGGCAGAGAGCACGTCAGTAAATATCCAGCCGCGCGAACGAGTCCGGACAGAAATCGAGAGGACGGTGACTGACGGGTGTTGTCGAAGTCGTAAATGTGCAAGGTCTTGATCTTATCAACGGCCGGCAGCTGCTTCGTCGCGATGCTCCATCGGCTCAGAGCAGTAGTCGTCGCAGAGTTGGAGGATGAGGAGGAGTAAGCCGCCTTCGCGGAGCCATTGGCGTAGGCGGACGTCATGACTCGGCGGGTCAATCTGGAAGCTGTCAACATCAAGTTGACCAGACTTCGTGACTTCGTGACCAAGTGTGAATTATCGAAGCGACGGACGAGTCGAGGTCGCGCGTCACCCACAAAAAACTGACCAGGGGACTCGAGCTTTGCCGTAGGTGCCACTGCGGCTTGCCAGTGGGAGATTTTCGCTGGTCAGGGCGCTGTGGGGCTGCGCCGTCATTAACGCTGCGGCAGGTGCTTGGTGTGTATTATGTCAGCAGACTCCAGCTTACATAATACTGCAGATTGCCTCAATACAAGTCAGTTGTCAATCTAGAGACTCATCGTGAACCACAACGCAAGCAAGAAAGAACATTCAACTTATATCAGGCCCTTCTTTATTCTTCCAAAAACCCGTGCTCTTTTTTTCTCTCTTTGGAATGACTCACTACATTTGAGTTCTTTAGCCAAATGACCAACTCACTGTCATGACAAATGCAATGGCAACGTTTCTGAGGGCAACGTCAATAACCCTCCAACTCATGACGAGACCTAAACGCAATGAGATTGCCAGAGCTGATCACGTCTTTTCACTTCACATGCTTCTTCTCGGCGTGTGCTGCATCTCCATCCGACATCCGGTCACATTGAGGTTTCTGTGTAAACGCGGAGATCGATTCCAGAAAGCAACAGACAAGACTGGGAATCGGGCTCATCTAACTTCCATTAAAGCAGTTCGAACCTCCACGTAGAAATGAATTGAGGTGAAGGTGTGAGTGCGAGGAAAGTCTCATCATGTTGACAATGTCGTTGCTGGCTTTTGGGACTTTCGAGACAGCCCCTTTTCCCCTTTTCCCCGGATCTTCCACACGATGGATGTCGACCATTTGAGATGTATCGCTCATCAACGTCCTACGTATTTCGGTGTTGTCTATCCTAGTCCATCGAAGACCTCCTCAATTCTGTTCCTCTCCCCGCGTTGAAGCTCTCAGAAAGCATTCGCGTCTCCTGACAAGAGCCGCAATGTGCCGCTTATCCGACCCTGGTCCTGGTTAAGCGCAAATCTGCGCGGGGCCACGAACTGTGGGAGATCTCTGCAAGGCCGACCACAAACGGAGAAACAATTTCCATCAACCATTCTCCAACCGGCTCGTCCGATCTCGCGTTCGTTTCCTGATACTTCTCCACCCTCAGAGCCTCTTTCAGGGCGCATCCAACACTGAAATCTCGACCTCCTGCTTATGTGTGACTAGCCTCATATCCGCGACCCATGCATCCTTGACAACTCAAATCACTAAGCTACGATAGGCTTCAGTGCCAACCCTTTCGCGACCCCTCAAAATGGAGCCATGAATCGGGCGAAGCTTTGTGGCGTTTATAACACCCGCCTTGGCTCCCGGTCCCCCTCTGCGACGTTGGAGATCCAACGGTTGACGTTCATCGCTTCTTCGTCCTGATCTCGGTCTCCGATCGCCGCCATCATGCTGTACCGTCATCTCCTGCCTCTGGCTTTCTGCCTCGCGGCCCCCGCGGCCGCGGACACCGCCAAAGCAACCAGGTGTGTCATGGTGCCCTCCAAGGGCGACGTGTCGGACTCGCCAGCCATCGCCGAGGCGTTCGAGAAGTGCGCCAGCAACGCCGAGATCGTCTTCCCTGCCGGCGCCGAGTTCAAAGTCTACGAGCCTCTCGTCGCCAAGCTGAACAACGTGGTCATCAACGTCCAGGGAAACCTCAGTCTCTCGCAAGACATCCCGGCTGTTCAGAAGCTGGTCGAGGCCAAGGGTGGTTCGCTCACGTGGTTCCAGATCGGAGGCACCAACGTGCAATGGATCGGCTCGTCTGATGTATGCGTCTCATTCCGAACTTGAAATTTCGCACAGTCTGCTGATCAACTGCGAAATAGCCTCATTCCGGATGGATCAAGTCTCACGGACAGGCGTGGTGGGATCTCAACAAGCCCGGTGAGGCGGGCACTCCCAACCGCCCTCATCTCATGCAGTTCAACGTCAACGGTGGTGTCATGAAGAACATGAAGTCGCTCAAGCCCATTGGCTGGAACTTCTCCATCAAGGGCAAGAACATCACCATCTCCGACACCGTCATCGACGCACGGTCTTCGAGCAGCAACTTCCCCTTCAACACTGACGGCTTCGATGTTGGCGCCACGGATGTGACCATCACCAACAGCAACATCTTCAACGGTGACGATGCGATTGCTATCAACGACGGCGCCCACAACGTCCTGTTCAAGAACGCGACAATCGGCTTCGAGACTCACGGCATGAGTGTTGGCTCTCTCGGATCGAAGCCTGCCTCACCTGCTGATGTGCAGAACATCCGTTTTGAGGATGTCACTGTCAAGGGTGGCCTCTATGCCGCTCGCTTCAAGAGCTGGATTGGCGGACAGGTAAGTTTCCGGCTTCATAGTCTGGAAGTATGTCTAATTTGCCGCAGGGATTGGCAAAGAACATCACCTGGAGCAATATCCGGGTCGACAACGTGACTTTCCCCATTTTCGTCACCCAGACCTACTTCAATCAAGCCAGCGCTGGCGGCGAGAGACCCAACAACTCATCCGTGATGATGGAGGACTTTACCTGGGAGCACTTCTCCGGCAACATCAACACCTTCAACCCGGGTGATGGATCCTGCACCTCAAACGTGAGTCATTACAGAACGTCCACGCACATTATTCGAGACCGCTGACATCTTGTCCACAGCCCTGCTGGTACAACGTTGGCCTGACCAGTCTTTCCCACACGGAAGCTGTCATTGTGGAGTGCAACACCGAGAAGTCGTGCAAGAACTTCCAGACCAGGGACATCAAGCTTCAGCCCCAGGACAAGAGCGCGGCGAAGATTATTTGCATGAAAGCGATGCCGGATCTCAACCCGAACTTGGGTTTCGAGTGCACTAACGGCACATTTTCTGCAACCAACTAGAGACTGAATTAGAGGCTGTAATTGAGATTTCAAACTGGCGATATTGGTGTTTGCTGAACCATCACGTGATGAATATTGGAGTCTGGAAAGCTATGGAGATATCTCAAAGAACTGACTTCCAAAGCAGTCCTTTTACCATTTCAATTACTTCTTCGGCGCTCTGCGCTTCAACTTGCAGACAACGCCCTTCGTCCGGTAAAACCACCGCGAACTCGTCCACCACTTCTCCTGAGGATCAACAAGCTCAATCTCAAACTTCGATACAAGCGACGGCACAACCTTGTACACCTCCATCAGACTCAAGTTCCTGCCCAAACAAATCCTCGAGCCGCCCCCGAACGTGATGTCCGCCGCGTTCCACCGCCTCATGCGCAGCTTATATGCCTCATCATCCTCGCCGTCCTGCTGCAGCCAGCGCTCGGGCCTGTACTCGTCCGCGTCGGCTCCGTAGACGTCCTTGTTGCGCCCGACGATGTACGGGTTCATGCCGACGAGGGAGCCGCCGGGGACGACGGATCCGTCGGGGAGGGTGAGACCGGTGCTGGGCACGATGCGCTCCATTGTCATCGACACGGCGGGGTGGTAGCGTGTGGTCTCGCGGCAGACGGCTTCGAGGTAGGGCAGGGCGCGGGCGGCGGCGTAGGGGGCGGGTTTGTCGGCGGGGATGTTGGCCAGGATTTCTGATTCGAGGCGTTTCCAGATTTGAGGATTCTTGAGGCAGTAGTAGAACAGCGCGCGCATCGTGATGGCGGTAGTGTCGGCGCCGGCGATCACTGTTTGCAATGTTAGACAATGGAATGCTCTTCGTTCATGAGTTGCAGGGCAGGCAAGTGCTCACGGTTGAGGAGGAGGTATCCGATAATGGTGCCCTCGTGAACAATCTCGGGATGAGTGCTCTTGGAGTCGATGAAGTACTGCAGGAAGTCTGGCTTCTCCGGCACAAAGTTCTTGTCCTCGCCCTTGAGTCTGGCAGTGAGGTTTTCCACAGCGATTCTCGTGACGTTGGAGATATTAGGAGGTCCGAGAGGGTATACCGGGTTCTTGTCGAGCCAATGATCCATCCAGGGCATCTGTCCGCAGAGTCCAAGATAATCGATCGATTGATCTCCAATGGCAAGTGTGCCGTCGAAGTCGCGACCTTCGTCCATGTATCCGAACTTCTTACTGAACGTTACCGCGCCAAGGAAATCCCACGCGTCTCAAAGAGAGTGATTGTTAACAACAGCTAGTCTCGACTGTCCCAGATGGTAGTTGACTTACAGAAAGCCAACCAGTCCCCAAACTCGCAGGTCTTTCCGGTGTCCACGAAGCGACGTTCGAGGTGGTCGCAGAAGTCGTTTATGACCCGATCCATGTGCGGCTCCATAGCCAGAACGCTAGGCACGGAGTAGTGTCGCACCACAGGCCGCTTCAATCTAGCATGTTCAACATTGTCCGTCTCCGAGAACATGTGATATGTGATCTTTCCATTGATAATGGAGCTGCTGTTCTTATAGAAATCAGACTGGCAAGCATCAGCGTTTCTACTCGAGCCAAATGAGCTATTATGTGGCATACCTTAGTCCACTTGCCGTCGGTACTGTAGATGGCCTTGACAAGATCAGGGATATCGATATCCAAAAGATTTGGACCGAGCCGTACGATGGGGCCGTACTTTTCGTGCAGTTTCTTCATCTTGGGGGCATAGTTGGCGTCGATGACGTGCCAGAGCCGCCACAGATTAGTCCATCCTGTCAAAAAGGTCAGTCTGGGCTCTAGACGCCCCTTCCTTGAACGAAGACCAAGGGCGAAGATTTCAAATCTTACCTGCGAGGAACGGTCCAGGATACTTCTTCAAAGGAGACGTCTGCCAGGAAACTAGAAACCAAAGAAAGCAGGTAACAATAGGCGCCAAAATTCCAATGCTAGTCTTGTGAGTTTGTGCGTTGCTCAGAAGAGTGTCCCAGGAGGACGAGGTCCCGTTGGCAGGGAAAGGCACCGTGTCCATGGCGTATCAACCTCGTCGTTGCTGAAGCAAAGTCAAGATTCCACGACTCGTGCTACGGCAAGAAACTTGAAAGGAAGGGAAGGGGCAAATAAAAACGAGGGGATTGGAAAATAACCATGTGTCATCAGGCGCCGGAAGCAGTATGCAGCAGTTGATGGGGCCTGGAGCTGTTGACCTGCTGCACCCTGGCCACGTTGGTGTTGTTGGTTACAATCGCAACGCTACCCTGTCATCCAAGACTCCTCAGCTCACCGATGTTCATTAAGGATATGCGGGGACCCTAGCCAGAGACTAGGCATGGTACGCATAACGAAGTTTACTTGGATGGAATGAGAAATGCACATGAGCGGCAGAGGTTTACGACTGCATCCGCATGTGATGAGCATCTGCGCTTGCAGTTGTATTCATAATTCACTCTTGAAGGAATCGCGCTTGAGAAGGTGTACTCGGAATCGTTGATTTGTACCGTCAATGGGTTGAATTGTCTGCACTGAATCCTACGAAACCTTTCAATAGACATGCTCCTTAACATAAGATCATTAATGCTATCATACCATGGATACATGTGGTGATGGATTAGAGAGGCAGTAACAAGTCCTGCGCCATCACATATCGCTTTTTCTGCAGGCTGGACGCCAAGAAGCACCAACGTTGAACAGATGCCGTTGGGACCAGGATCCGCTACCCGGGCGGCACACCCGTCGCGTCAACCCGCTAGGTGATCTATACTTTATCTAGACCTTCAATGTAACCAGCGAGTCTAAACGATGAACAGAATCCAAAGAATTATGTCTCCCGTTTTCGTACTCCACACGCCAAACCACTTGGCGCATCCTCGGGCTTGGCTCAGACCCGCCGGCCAGTGGATTTGATTATTTAACGGGGAGAATTGGCTTTCCTCCGGTTGGTCGTAATTGACTGTGATGCTGTTGTTCCAACGTTCGTCTGTTGGTCGCAGACAGGCACAGTCATTTTGACGATGAAAATGTGGCGATGACAACGCTCTTGGGATGAACTAGTGCTCGACTGAGAAGGTGAAGGATCTTGAACGACGAATCCCTACCGTAGACTTTTTCCTCCAGCGTCCGCTTCCCCGTCTCTAAATCCTCCAGGCCATCCGTTATGATTGACAAATGGTTATGTCAAAGACGACGATGAAGACGAAGGCAGAGACAAGGATAAGACAAAACGGCTGGAACCCGGAAAGTACATGTAGCCAGGCGTCTACGATAGCACCAACAACAGTTTACGTATTTGCATATGACATCCTTGAAAATGTGACGGGTTTCTTTCCATTTTTGAAATTACAGCTGGAGGACTACACCAGTGTTTTTGTTGTTCTGCGAGAGTAGGATCCGAGTGATGGATAACTCCCAACTTCAGTGTCTTACGCCATCGGCTCTCTTTCTTCACGTTGCAGAATTCAGACCCAGGATACCGGAAATGACAGAAATATACGAGCTGCACACCAACGCCAAGTAATCACAACTGATTCTGGCGCAATGTCAAGGCGCGGCCCGACTAGGGGGTGCGAGAAATTCGTCATGAACCCCGGAGACTCGAGCTCGGGACCCTTGTACACCAGCTTAACTCGAGTCCGTTGGAACCACAGGCTCATGAAAATGTGACTGCAACTGTGCTCGCTGGTCGCTCGAGGAAGAGTAACGACTGGACGATCCCAAGGCATTTGCCCGCTGGGGTTTTCAAACAGCGAGCCCAAGGTAGCAAAAATGCCTAACAAGAGCATTGGGATATGCTCATACCCTGCTGCTCTGTTGGCAACACAGTATCCCAGAGACTGGATGTAGGGGGGAGGGGGCTTATGTCTTTTTCTTACCGTTCCTGCTTTTCAGGTGCTACTGGAATAATACTGCGTCCCACTCGTTTGAACGCCTTCGCTGAGCTCCATAAACCATTCTGTGGTTTCACACTCCCTTCGACGACAATTCAGCTTTCTTCTTGAGTCTTCACTTGCAAACCGGATTTCTCTGAGGAAGACAGCAGGGAGGGAAAACTTTTGAGTCCGAGACATGTTTGGCGGAGATGCGATCTGGGCCTTGCCCGTCATGTGGCTTCTGACGGGGTTGGTTTTCTTCTTTTTGGTTCTACGACTCTACACCCGTATCGTATGTGTTGCTTCATACGGCGTTGATGACCACATCTACATTGTGGCGTTTGTAAGTTCGACTGGATGCTGTATTAGGAAGAATCGGTGAAGCTGACGTATCCTAGGTTTTCTTGTTGATCTTCAACGTTTTCATCCACCTTTCAGCCAACTACGGATTCGGGCAGACCATGGACGAGATCGGGAATATGGACGATGTTACGAAAGCTACATTATACGAATGCATCGGCCAAGCCTTTGCAATTGTCGGAATGGCCATTGCAAAGTGGTCGATGGGATTCTTCCTATTGCGCTTGGTGACTGTGAAATGGCAAACGACCGCCATTTGGGTTGCGATGGTGACCGTCGGCCTGGCATCTATTGGTAAGTTGGCACAAGGAAAACATAATGCCGGAAAGACTCTATTCGTCCTACTAACTGGTTTCTCAGCCCAGGTACTATGCTTTTGGCTGTCCTGCGTACCTTTAGCCTTCGTCTATGATCGTCGAATCGAAGGGGGACACTGTCCGATTGACACGAGGCCAACTTCCTACATCTTGTGTGGTAGGAGCATCTGTTACTCTCCTCGTTCTCGATTTTACATGTTAACCCAGCGGAAATAAGTTTCAACGATCTTGGTGGACACGTTCTTTGCAATTTTCCCATGGGTATTCATCTGGAAGCTGCAAATGCCGAAGCGAGAGAAGATCACCATTGCAGCAAGCATGAGTTTTGGGTTGATGTAAGTTGAGTTCTGAATACATTTCAACTGATTTTGAACGCTGACATGAGTACCTGAAGCGCTGCTGCTGCCGGCATCAAGCGAACAGTCGAAGTCGAGGGCTTATACACAATGAACTATCTGAGTAAGTTTTCTGTTACAGGCAGCTTAAAAGCTTTTAGTGAAAGATTCTAACTTTCTGCTTTTGTAGAAGATAGTGTCGGATTGATCGTTTGGTCAGCTGCCGAAATGGCCATCACCATGGTAAGCTCAGGGGCCTTCCTCCCACCTTCGTATCACAAGTACTTATTCCAACAGATCTGTGTCGGCATTCCTGTTTGCAGGCCTCTGTACAAGCACTTGTTCTCTCACTTTACATCTCAAAACGCAAGTGCAGGCTACCAGAAACAAAACGAAGAAAGAACCTCATCTTCGGTTGCACTGAGGACCATCGGTGGAGGTCTCATTGGTGCAGACGGTCGATCGTTGCCTCCGAGCAAGAACAGCACAGCGAACAAATCAGATAACAAGTCTGACTCAGATGATGTTAGCTTCACGGAAGTTCAACTTGGGATCGGAGGCAGCTTCACAAAGACTCGAGTAGACGGAGGTAGCAGGATGATGCATAACACTTCGGATGAAGAGATACTTGGAGAAGAGTTCAGGCAAAGCCAAAAGATTAAAAAGGATGGTGGAAGTAGGGCTACGCCGGAAGCCGCGTCGGGAGGGATCACTGTGACTGAAACCTATAAGGTTGAACGGTCCTAAATGGGCGTTTTCGCATGCGAACAGAAACCGACACTGGCTTCAGCCGGTGAACAGGGGGGAGAAATTCGACTTTGGGTTTCCATGTTTAGACAAGCAATCGCATTACAACCACTAGACTAGTCAGGTTTTAGTCCTCAATACGACTTGAATTCGTTTGCCACAATCTGTCAATCTCCCGCCTAGATTGAGAGAAGCTAGTATCGTTGACCCGTTGAATCGTTGAACAGCTCTGGCAGCAGGAGGTTGGACGTTCATAGCTTGATTCCAGTCTACGGTTTGGGTAGCTTGAAACCGCCTGGAAGCAACAGATCAAATGTTCCTTGAGCATCGTACATTTGTTTCACCTCACGAAGCCTGCTGAGGCTTTCCTGCCCATATGTCGAAATCGGTTCTTGTCCAACTCCAGCGTCGTTGAGAAATCTGCACAAGTTAACTTCAAATTTCTAAAGAATCACGTTTGGTGATGCGACTTACAGAAACGGATCGTACAACCCAAGCTTTTGGGACAAGTCATGCAACCGGTCGACGACACGCTGCCCTGCCGCCTGTACGAGCGCGTCGTCTGTCTCGTTGAGCCAGCTGTTGGCCATTACCGCCCCTGTGCAAGTATCAGTCATCTTATCCGTCCATGGCCTCGCGACGAGAAGGGGGTCTTACAAATCATTGGGCCTCTATCTTCCGTCAAGCCCAGAGCGTTGCCGCCTCGGATATGCCCTTCCCTAATGTTACGCTTGGTAATGGGTTGGATTTCAATGACCCCAGAAAACCCAATAACCTTAGAAAAAGCCTCGGCGAACTCTTCCTCGAAGGCCGACTTCATTCCGTTGAGAATTTTCACACTGCTTCGGAAGGAGACCACACGCAATTCGTATCTCAACCCGTATGGGACAGGGGTCTTCGTTTTCTCAGCGAATGACATAATGGACATCTTGGTGCTGGAGGCCTGGTTGAGCGGCAGGTTTGCGAAATCTTGCAGGGCTGGTGGGAGAACAAAGGCAGACCCCGTTGCGTTGCTCCATCCATCGTTTGGCGCAGGAAGGAGAGTTGAAGAAAGAGATATGAGAATCTCAGGACTCCTACCCGAAACCCATTGTAGCTTCGGCGCAATACCCATATCGTCGGCCGTCTCATGGTCTGCCCGAAGCGTCATGAAATTGTTAATAGCGACGGCCACCTCATCCCAACCACTCATATTGATAGACTGGACGCCAGTGTATATCATCGAGTCATTATGCGTGTACAAGTCGAACCTTGTGACGATACCGAAGTTGCTCGAACCGCCTTTCAGCGCCCAGAAGAGATCCGGATGCGAAGATTGGTTGGCGTCCACGATCCTGCCTCCGGCTAGGACAACCTACCGAATCTGTGTGAGTCGGTTGACTGGATTTCAGCTTACGAAGTGTAGAATTCCGTCTTACCTGGAAATTCTTGACATTGTCACAAGCGAATCCTCGCTTACCCGAAAACGTGGACAGCCCGCCACCCAGAGTCAGCCCAGAGACACCCACGACTGCCACACGACCACCGACTACAGCCAAGCCTTCTGGGAGGAGGAAGTCAAAGACGTTCCCCCATCTCTGTCCTGCCCCGACAGAGACGAAACCGTCCTGGAGTGACATTTCAGACAGATCTGTCAAAGCCAGTAGGATCTCACCCTCAATGCTAGACGCAGCGCGATTTGCCATATGTCCGCCTCCCCGAACAGCAAATTTACAGTCATGCTGTTCGAAAAGATTCAACGCATCGGAGACGATCTCTGCCGAGGCCGGCGTGAACACGCATGCGGGCTGAAGTCTCGAGGTGTTTGCTGGTTTTGCATCATGTTAGAGAGGCACCACCACCGGACCATTCTTCTAGCTCGTACAATCAGAGAGAATAGTGAACTTACACCAAAATGCCGTCTGAGATTCCTCGACGTAACGAGCAGTGCCCGGCAGGAATACATGAGTTGGGTACTGGACACCAAGCATTGAGCACTGGGGAGTATTTGTGGTTAGTTTTCGAGAATACGATGGCCTAAGAGATCAAGCTTGATAATGATACTGACACATCTGTCGTCTGTGGAAGCTTGCGACGCAAAAACTCCCAATATCAGAAGTAAGGCAATATGACGGAATGACATTGTAGGGGTGTAGCTTTGGAGGTTGTTGGTACGCTATCAGTTGCGGTAGAATTTGAGATGCATTAAGAAGCCAGAGCCATTTTCAACAGAGACAACTTCTTTAATATCACTTCTAAGTTGCACTTCGTCTGGCAGATCAGTTCTACGATTGGCACAGCGGTCCAAAGTGGAAGATGATCGATGGGTCGAGCCCGAGCTAGCAATACCTTCGGGGCTGTGTTGTACGAGTTGCCCCGCAGGACTCGTAGTAGCAAACGAGACTCTAAGCGAGGTTTACTACATTGCAACTCATGAATCCATGCTGTTGAAGATTATAAATCCCTCGGGTGGCTTTAAGACGGTCAAAAGGGATACGAGCTGTTCGGACTTACAGCCAAGACCCAGTGCGGGGATCCTCCTCCAGGTCGAATATAAGAGCCCCTTCGGTTGACACCTCGTATTGTCTTGGTTCGTTTATCGTATTCAAAAGCGAAGCAATACCCAGACTCTGGCAGTTTTGCGAGTCTTTCGTTCTCCTCCACGTCGTTGAGAGTTAAGGGACACAGCCATGGTTCAGCGAAAGCCGCATCAGAAGTCTCGAAACGGATGCATTCAGTGTAAAAAGCGGAGAGTCAAAGTAAGTACGTCTTGCGAAGGGGTGAATTTTCGTTCGGCCTGCTCAGGCCATTGGCGATGGCCATCTGCAAGGCGAATAACGCTGATCACAAAACCGAGTAGTGCAATGAGGACAGACCTTGTTGGAATTGCGTACGACGAAACGAAACGTGCAGCCTCGACGAAACCAGTAACTCGACAAGGGAGGGTTCATTTTCCTACGGTTTCTTCGAGCCGAGGCCTCAAGACGACAATGGTGTCCCCAACGCGGAATCCCCGGCATGTCAGGACATTCCACAGTCAGTGTCATCTACTGAAAAGCTCCCCAAGGCGACAAGGCTTAAAGAGCTCTATTTGATGCATCACTACGGCGCCGTAACCTGCGAGACTATGGCCTTTATGCCTCATCAGATCGATGTCTGGAAGAAGATATTGCCGAGAGAGGCGACACGACATCCATTCCTCATGGAAGGACTGCTGTCCCTAACAGCACTTCACTGTGCACACCTAGAGCCATTGGAGAGTTGGGACTACACCGAGATTGCCATACACCATCAAATTTCCGGGATATCGGGGTACAGAGCCGCGCTCAACTGCATCAGCGAAGAAAACTACGAGGCAGTTTTCGCCTTCTCAATAATCTTGACAGTGTTAGGGTTTGCCATACCGACGGCATCCTCCGTGTCAAAACGCCAGCCCATGCGTCCGTCGGACATCATCGTATCCATATTCGAGCTCCTCAAGGGCGTTGAGATCACCACATGCGAGTACGCTGAGCCTATCAGAGTCGGAAAATTGAAAGGTCTTTTCCGTAATGTCGATCATTGGAGCAGCCATAGAGTCGCCGTGCCATGGAAACACGCGGACACCGCCATGACCAGGCTCCGTGAGCGGGCTGCTGTCGTGACCAAGTATGTGGGCACTGAGGCCCGAGACGTTTATATTTCCGCCATCGAAGATCTCACGAAGAGTTTTCGGGAAGTTGAGCATGCTGGAGCCTTTCAGTATGTCGTTGCTTGGCCGATCTTAGGTGGTAAGAATCTGGTTACTTTGCTCAAAAAAGGGGACCCAATGGCACTGCTCTTGTGGGCTCACTATGGAGTCCTGACGCTCGCCGTTCATGACCTCTGGTGGGGTAAGGGCTTTGGAGTCTGTATTATTGAGGGTCTGTGTGGTACTCTTCATTGCCTTGACCCTGAATGGGATAACTGGACTGAATGGGCTAGGCATTGTGCTTCGTTGGTCTCGTGACTGTGGCGAGCGGCGAGCCTGACCCTGGCTGTCTCATTAACGGCAGAGACAGCGAGTTCGACGACCTCTGTCTGCCATACGCAATTAATCATCATTAATTCCTCGAACTCGAACCAATCATCATATTCCTTTTGCCGGAGGGACTCCTGAAAACCAGTATACCCCCTCCCCCTGGGACCATTGACTGAAGCGTTGATCTTGCGGGTTGCGATTCCATTGATCTCAAGGATGTGAGCAAATAAGAGTTTCTGCCTTAAAGATATGAATACGAACTAGCAAGAGAATGTGGATTTTGGACTTTAAGAGTCTCTAAGGTACAGAAATGTACTACAATTAGATGTTATTTATTGAGTGTTTGGCTCTTGTTCACTTGAAAGCTTCAGCTGATCACCTCCTCCTCGGAGGCCACATACCCCAGTCATAGATGAGAGCTTCCACCGCCAGTAACATACAGCCTCCGAATACTACCAGGATCATTATGAACGGTGGCGCCGATCCCATAGCCGTTTCCATTGCCAAAAACATGTGAAGTCCAGTATATATCCCTTGGTGACTTGTATGATCCAAAATCATACCACCCATTGAAGATAATCTTGTTTGGGTAAGCTATGATCGAATAATCCATAAAGCAACGTGAACAATAGCCTATAACCTCGTTCCCGGGTCGAGTGAGTGCCAGTACGACGTCGTTACCGAAGTCGGTTGGGCCAGGACCGCTGATGGTGCAATACAGGTGTGGGCAAATTCTTTGATCCTTGAGTCGGCCAATAGAAAGCCCTTTTTCACTGACGAATGTTGATCGAGTGTATAATAAGAATCTTTCGCTGATGATTTCAGGAAAGGCTTGGAAAACAAAACTGCCCCTGAAAGTAAGCTTACAGGTGTGAGGTGACATGATTTTCCTAAGGTAATCCTGGTTGGGAGTTTGAAGTCGTGTGAGCTTGAGGGCAAGCTGGACATGTCTCTCTCGAATTTCTGGTGGAAATGCTGTCCCATGTCCGTCTACTGGACAACGGTCATAAGGTACCTTCATCCAAGGTATGTCGTCCTCGTTGATGCGATGGAGCTTATCACAAAACGCGCAGACCCAGTGATCAGGCATGACGAATGCGAGCCCAGTCAAAAATTCGGCTTTTTCAACAGAAGAAAGACCGTTGAAAATGAGCTTCCAGTCCCTCTTGATGATATTATGAAAGTCTTTGCAAGTTTGACCGAGAATGAATTTGTCGTGTAGCTCGAGATTCTCAATAATATCCAGAATCACTTCGATTGGAAGTCGGAAAAACGTCGATGTTGAGGGTTTCTTTACCTGCAAATTGGTTCGGCCATAATTCGCCATTGTGAAAGGATTCAGATTCCATCGATCTTTGACCTCAAACAAGGAGAACAGTGGGTGCAGCACGCTTGATTCCGGGGTAGCAAATCGGTCGTGCAAAGCGCGTACAACACCCTGCAGGCTGCTATCGCCTGATCCAGTGGCTTTTTCCTGTGCATCGGAAAGCAAGGTCGACTCAACTGATGAGTAGACCCAGTTCCACACGATTCGGTAACTTTTTCGGATCTCTTCGCGCTCGGCAACAGCCATCTCGTAGTCTCTGACGCGTGCTGCGTATTCTTCGCGGACGTCTCGTTCGGCGACCTGCCTCGGCAGCTGGGTATGAGATCCGGGTTCTGCCGCCTGAAGGTCTCTTGTATAACGCTCCTGGAGTTCATTTCGACGTTTTTTGATTGTTTCGTCAAGCGTCGGGGGGAGAGGAATCCGCTGCGTAGGATCCTGGGCATTGGCTGCCTTTGGGTTTATGTAGTCCCATATGCTCTGCTGGTGGGCCTGGAATTGAAGGTGTAGAATCCATCTAGGCCAGTCCTTGGCGTATTTTAGTTGCGGCGTGGTCAAGTTTGTAGTTGCCATGGGGAACGTTGCGCTGTGTAACTGCTTAGTGTTTGAAAGGCGGCAACTGTGTTCACGGAAGGAGATTGGCGAAGACCTACTTCCAGGAAGCGGTCTCTTATAGGTTTCTCATCATCTCACAAGGTACTTGGAGGCCTTGACAGAAGGTTGGTTGAAGTCATGATCACAGAACCTTATTAAACTCAGCCTCAATCTTTCTTTTCGGAACACGCGATCCCCACACTTTTACAGAAAACGGAATATGCCAATCAGAAACACCATGTTCGGGTTGCATTACGAGACACGAATCCAAGAATCTGTGGTTTTAATACATTGCGTGCTGTGCTCAATACTTTGCGTGAAAATACTTAGAAGAACAAGTAGGATGCTGTCATTCTTGATGTGAATGGACGAGAAATAAAAAGCACCACAGCTTCTGATAGCTTTTTCCGTCGAACCTAAGGATCATACAGGGGGTCCCCACCATAAATCCCCCGATGCTCCTTATTTAGATGTCCGTAACATAATTCACCCGTCTCAAACGTCGCCAGACAAATCCAACAAATATGCGTGCTGCACCTAGTACAGGTTATGTGGTTACAACCCTCCGATTTCTGTATGGGAGTCTGACACTTGGGACAGTCCCTGATACCAAAGTCCTTCTTGCACTTCTGAAACTTTTCCTCGCCTCCCGAGAGCAAATATCTCTGTTCTGCGCAGGACTTATCGGGGTGAGCGCAGTGACACGATGAGAAGATCTGCTGACCACACCTGGAACAATCGAAAACGGTCGGGCCGCCAGAGGTGGACACTCTGTACACTCGTCCGCAATCCGCTGAAGGGCAGTAGCGGAACTCGTTGGGATGTTTGTTGATGTAAGACGCGGCAGATGTGGCAAGGAGCTGTTCGAATGCAGACGTAGAGAGGTAGTCCTGCAACTCCGCCAGACTCAAAATGTAACCGCAAGTACCATCATCTGCGAGGCAGCGAACGCTGAGTCCTCCTTCATCCGTACCGGCAGATTGGCAGAAGTTCTGAAAGCAATCGGAGCAGTAGATATGCCCACATTTGGGAACCACGGGGTTCTCGGGACCCGTCCAGCACACTGAACAACAGCCACTCACGTCAGCTTGCTCGCGCGGATGTTTTCGTTTGAATGTAATGTCCATCGCAAGCTCATAAGATGAGTATGGCCCGGTTATCTCAAGCCTCATGGGTGTTGCGAGCGCGATGAGGCTCACGGCTTCCCGGCCCAGGGCATCTTCGAGAGCCTTCAAGCCACCCTGAAGAAGCCAGTTAGAAGTTTCTTCGTCAAGGCGAATGATGTGAAGCGTGAATGGGTTGTCGTTGACCTGTTGCAACAATTGCTCTGTCGCTCTGTCGATATTCTCCGAGGTGCCGTAAACTCGGATCTCATTATTCGACGGAAAACTTTGGAAGACCACATTTTGTTGGCTCTCGATGATTTCGAAGACCTTGCGTGCGGTAGCCCTGTTATTGAACAAAGGGCTCCAAAGAGACTTGTCGGAGTTTCTTTCCTTCACACCCTCGCCCCGGAACATCAAACCTAGTTCCTCCTCCAATGCTGCGAGCTCGTCACGATCCTCGCATTCCAATCTCAATGTTGAAAATTTGCTCCCTGCGGACGCGGGGAACAGCTTGAACTCCACCGGGCGATCTTGAGACGTTCTGAAGTCTTCAATGAGAGCGTCAAAGAGGTGGACCGGAAACTTCCAATGCATAGAGAAGATCTGCGTAACCGCAAGCCTGCAACGTCCGTTGAAAGGAAGTGGACTGTTGTGGAGCGTCTGTGCCGCTTCTTCTGCGTCTTCTTCACTTGCGAAACGGGCCATCGCCCTCTGGTCCCGTGTTGCTGGCTGAGGGTCAGGGGTCAGGCGCATTTCGAGAGATCCAACACTTGCAAGCAGTGCTTCAACCATGGCTACCTCGTCTGTCTCGTAAGAATCATCCATGTTTCCGTAAAAGTCGACAATTAGTGGCCGAAGACCGCGTGGAATAGTCTCGATGATATGCTTAGTTGAAGCCGCCAGGGGGACCCAAAGCATGAGCATCGAATGTTCTCTCGGCATGTCGTCGAGCTCTTCTTGTCGCACACAGGATACAGCCGAGCGGAGAACGGTGTAAGTCCCTTTGACAAACTTCTCTCTAGCGTCTTCCTTATCCAAGGCCGATTTGAAGGTCAAATGAGCCATCTGAGCCAGCTTTGGCCACGAACAGAGGACCTTCCTGCCCTTTACTCCATGATCTGCACCATCCTCAGAAACTGGACCTCGGGCTTTGTGGATCCTGGCCTCTATTCTGGACAACGCTCCCAGCTGTCGTGCTCCAGCTTCTGCAATCTTGGTGCACAATGCATGAGCAAAGTGTTGATCCTTGACTCTGATGATGGCACTCCTTAGGTTTGGTCCTTGTGGCCTGACTCTGATGCAAGTGACGGGAATTTTGAAACCAAAGTCTTGAAGAAGCTCGAAAACCGTCATCAGATTGCTCCCGGAAGGTAAGTTGCGTAATTTCGCCGTCGAGAAGTCTGATGGCAGTTGAATTTTGTAGATCGATGCGCCGTCTTTGAAGTAGAACCAGGCTCCGATAAGCTCTCGAACACATGCTCTCGTAGACTGCGTCTATAAATATGTCAGTACGCGTGTTTCTAGAGTTATCAAGACCATGGATACTCACAGCCAATTTGTCTGAAGAGCCCACAGCAGTATTGAAGTCCCCGGCGTGGGAAAATAGGCAGTCGCTTCCCTTCAGACAACGTCCTTTGGCGAAGAATGTGCACGGCACTGCCTTGGAAGAAGCCAGGATGTGCGGAAATTTGCATTTGTTTCCGTTGCGACAGTGGCCTCGGAGGAAGAAGACACATGATACCTGATGATCTAGCTCGGATGATGCTTTCGCTTTGTCGAGCAGACGCTCCGAATGAGAGAATCTGCAGGTGTTGCCTCTTGCGCAGTGTCCCATGAGGAAGTACTTGCAAGCCAGTGTGCCTTTTGCGAGTGGCCCTTCTGTTGCATCGCATATATTGGTCGCTTCGTCGTGAGTAAAGGTACAGTTCGATCCTGCTCGGCAGAGTCCTCTGCCGTGGAAACGGCAGTTGACCGTTCTTACTGGCATGTTGTACTCGACTCGTTGTCGCTCTGATGTCAGCACATGCCTTTCAGGCTTCGACTTTACCCTCGAGTCGGCGGCGAAGACATTTCATCGCTGCCGTTTGCATCCCCTATCAAGGGTCGTTGATTACACATACGGAGCGGCATAACGTAATTGCTACGCTTCGAAACTGCAAACAAAAAGAAAGTTGTTGAGACCCGAAACACTATCGATGAGCCAATCATCTTCGTCATTGGTGGCTCATGCGGGATGCCGACCAGGAGGGCTCGAGATGGCCAACAGCATGGAAAAGGGGCATTTGGATGCAAACACCGCTCTGCAGTTGGGCATTAATGACGTATCGGAGGTAGTCCTGCGGCACTGTCCTCGCCATGAGTCATTCTGATCTGTCAACCCTTAGAAAAGACTTCTAGGCCAGACAAATAATGAGCAGTCTTCTGCAAAGTTACCCAGTTGAGTGCAGACTTAGCTTCGTTATTTGGGCGGATTGCGACGGCCCCAGCGTCTCGGGGCCGTAGTTTCCCGTCCGGCCCCACCCTTTCCGTTCTTCCCGGTAAAGACCCACTTGCGGGACGGGCTGGTGCCGGTATTGGACTAATTGCAGACGGAAAGCGCAGAACAGTAACAATCGCAACCAAATTAATTCAATTTTTATGCAAAACGGTCCAATATCTTCTTAGATTAGAGACCTGCGCCCGTGAATGAGAAATTTGGAGGCAGCTGAAGTTGACTTTCTTTTTCCCCGCGCGTTAAGGAGGAAAACATAAAAAAGAACGGAGAGAAATTGGAGCGGAAAAAGCTATTGACTGAAAGTTCGAAAACCTTCCCCTCACGAGCAGAGCACTACAATCAATGGGGACTGTGTTCTTCTTACAAGTGATGGGAAGAGAGGCAATCGAATTAGTTAATGCAACGATGGCTGAGCAAGATCTATTTCATGTTGCCATAGGCACTGCACTGGTGGCGTTCCTTCTTCCAGCCGTCAATCATCTTCAACAGCCTTGGCGAGCCTCTCTCTGATAGTCGCGGTGAATCCTTCGCCATCCTTCACGTTGTTTACAGCAACCGTCTTGTCCCTTGACTTCAATCCCTGGGTGATGGTGAGATCCGATTTGGGTAGTCCCAGCACCTTGATCAATTAGCATGCGGGGCGATGGAGGATAAATTCATATGAATGCAGGCTAACCTCGCTCAGTAGCTTCACAACGGCCTTGTTCGCCTCGCCTTCTCGCGCCTGCGCTGCGACGCACAATTCGACCGTCGCGTCGGTCAGGGCAGTCACGCCCTCGCGAACGCGCGAGGCACCGGGCTTGACATGACACTGAAGGTACAGGGTCCCCAATGGCGACTTCTTGGTGCCCGCGACGAACCGGATCGCTGAGGACGCCATGATGGTTGGTCGTGATCAAGGCTGAGTTGAAGTCTGTGATGTGAAGTGGGTTAAGTTGTGGGGAAGTGTTACAGTTTGGATGACGAAGCCTAAAGATGCTCCGTTGCAACACGCTATTGGACGCTGACAGTTGCAAACTTACCTAGACAACCTACAAAAATTTGGAGTAACTAGTTCTTGAAGTAACCACGCCAGCGTTAAGAAAGTAATCGGGCGCAATTAGTGCTTGCACCCGAGTTCGCTAACTGGCACAATCACTTGAAATATCTCATTCTCACGAAAATGGTGAATGTGTCATGATTCTATTTGTATTGATAATAAAGCTTCCCCGTTTGTGATTCAGTCTGGTATTTCCTCCGCTGCTTATTGATCTGCTTTTCCAACCTTGTCATCGCTTGTATTCGCTGATAGAAATGAAAATTCCGTGTTTACAAAGAAGCTCGCTGCTGGGTCTGTTGCCCAACGCTGGGGATGTAGCCGGATGCGCTGTCGCTCTTGGCAGGCAAAGTGCGCAGCTCCTTCTGGTTCAACTTCTCGAGACGGTTCTCGGCCATCATTCTCTTGGTAGTGATTCTCTCCGGGTAGTTCCGGAGGAACATGTTGGTGAAGTGGGTGCCGTAGTGGATGCCCTCCTTGGGGGACTGGCCGACATCATAGCCGGGGAGGGGCTTGGCGACAGCCTGGAAGCTGGGCTCGTGGAAGTAGGCGAAGGCGAAGCGATCGCGGGTGTTCAAGCCGACCTTGTGGGGAGTGGACGGCAGGTATGAGTTCGTGATGTACTGCATGATGTCGCCAGGGAAGACCGTGAAGACGTTGGGCACGGGAGGAACGTAGTGCCAGAGGTCATCGTCTTCCTTCATGCCGGCGGCACTCTTCTCCCAGTTGGCGTAGTGTTCACCTTCATAGGGAGGGCGGATGAAGAGACCTGTGAAACATATGTTAGAACATGGGAGTATTCGAGGTCAGCCACAAATGAACTTACCACCGACGTCATCTTGAGCAGCGATAACAAGTAGGCCGTAGTCAGTGTGCGATCCGATACCACGACCCTCCTTGCCCTTGCCGTTGGTGTTGTGTGTAGGAGGGAATCTGTTTTTAACTTATCAGCCAAGTGATCTTCGAAGATTGCAGATCATAGTCTTACCTAAGGATTCTCATGTGGTGCCAACCGTCGGCGGTCAGATTGGTAAGAGATCCGGCGGGGACGTTGAGTCCAAGCTCAATAAGCTGGAGCAGCTTCTCTCCACTCTCGCCAAGGTAGTCCATGTAAGTCGTCATGGGTTGCTTCATTTCATAATCAGGCCAAGGGGCCGGACCGTGGCAGGGCCACTTTGCGCGGACACGTGGCTCAGCGAGGTCCAAGTCCTTGGTGACAGTGAAGATCTCAGAGTAATCGGCGATACCGTCCGTGATCTCCTCACCGGAGGCAATGTAACCGGAGTAGCTCTGAGAGTCAACACAGGCGGCCTTCTCAGGAGGAGGCTTGGCGAAGAAGGCTTTGCTGGCAGCAGTAGCTTCGTTGAAGATGGCTTGCTGCTTGTCGTTCATGGAAACTTGGAGGATACCGTCCCGGCGGAAGGCATCGACGAGGCCCTTGCCCATGGCCACATCTCCTTTGCTGCCGGTGATGCGGTCTGGAAGTGTGAAGGTCTCGAGCTGAGCAACTGTTGCCTTGTAGCCTGGAGGCATTGTTGCTCCCATCTGGGCAAGGTTGTAGTCTGACACGGTGGCCAAGGGACGGGATGGCGGAAGAGCGGCCGGCTTCCGCGCCCCGCGGCGGGCCAGCTTGCTGATGGACTTTGAGATGGCTGACATCTTTGATAACCTGATTCTCAAGTATTTTGCGTACAATTTCAAAGAGGGCTAAAGACTTGGTTGAAGTAAAGATCTACTCAGTAGCTCTGGATTGGGTCTGGACTCGGAATCCTACTACTTCTCCTGACCACCAAGGTCTTTATACGCGAGTAGGAGGTGGCCCAACACTCACCGTAAAGGCCGCGAAGTGGCCTAGGGTTACAATTCACATGCTGTCGTCGTGGTGCCATTGTCTCAGGGTCTTCGGATACAGCTTTAGGTTTTCTCGGAATTGACGAGGTATCGCTCATATCTTATACGCAAACTTAAATCTCTCACGATATGCTGCTTAGAGGCGGTGTTTTGGGTCTTAGCGGATTGTAAAGTGTATTAGGTCGGGCGCGGCGCCCCGTAGATGGCAATGCAACCGACGTTGAAGATGTCTGGAGCCGATAATGCCTGGCTGGGTCAGGGTCAGGGGCTCAACATGTTGTCGAGGTGTGAGAGTGGAACCGAGTCGAGGGAGTTGAAAGAGCTCCACAGCTTTGTTGCAACCGAGCTCTCATGAGTCGAGTGAGAGCGACATTGAACAATTGCGCAACAACCCTTGCGGTCTTGTAGAAACCCCCATTGTCAAAATGCCACGTTGTTCTGAAAACCATTAGCTAAAGGTTTCCAACGGAACTTGACTGGATCCGAAGATGCTAATTTCTTCACAGATACTCGATTACTCCGGGTTCCTTCGAGTGAAGAACCAAACCCGGCGATAACATAGATAGTTCTCTTAATCTCGAAGTTCACGGAAGGTTGTATGAACGACTCAAGGGACTCTTGAGTAGTCGAGAAGCAAGAACAACAAGCGCCCAAAGCTGTTTGTGCACCGGACTGCCAATCCTAGAAGTAATTGGTCTTGGCTTGACGGCGCCACGGCAGCAGCTGGCAAATGCGCCATGTCAGCTACATGCAGCATGTAGATACCCTGATCCCTCGTTCCGGTGTACTGGTCTTGACTGGAGGTCTGCGGCGAAGCTGATGTGGTTACCAAAAGGGGGGCACCTATAATTTAGACTTCGATACCTCATCGCGGCTAAAGCGATGGACTCCAGTATACGAAAGTATATTAGACTATTCAACACGTTCACCCTGCCCGTACCGTACCAGGTTTAGCCGTCGTTACCAAGGGGCCGGTCTACTAACTGAGGTAACGGCGCAACGGGTCTGGATAATCCCAGCGAGTCATTTTCGAGATCTCGGTCGACGAGGATGCGTGTTTGAGCATAGACCTGGGTTCCTGAGGAGATGTTGCCGCTGTCCGGACTACTTCCCCGGAGAACAACCGAGTCATGTCTCGTGGGGGCTGCAGTAGGTATGCGAGCCGCGACAAGAGAACGATTCACGATCCACCATGGCGAACTCGATGTTAAGTTGCCCCTTTTTCAAAAGCTGCACTTTCTCCTGCGCGCGTTCTTCGGACTCTTTATTTCATACATTACCGTCTAATCTCCGCCGAGTCCGGAGCTATACTAGGAAGACAGTCAACTCAAAACCGGCGTACTTCTCGACACTTCACTATCTGCGATTCCTCCTTGCAGTAGTTCAGCGAATCCATTCTTTTCAAGGCAGGTGGAAGCAACTTGATTCAAGTTGATATTCTTATTCATTTTGGAGGTTGCGAGGGCTTTGGAGAAAACCCCAATGCTCGCTTGGAGGGCTATGGTTTCAAGCAGGGGTTATGCTAGCAAACTCTAAAAAGGAGCCGGACACTTTTTCTAGAATGCGACAAATCTGTGCCCTCCCCATCGGATTCATCGTTGAGATGACAGGCATAGCTTTAGACGGCACGGCAGTTTCAGATCGCGCTATTATTCGCTCTTCCGTTGAGTCTGTATGTCTTCTCAGTATCGCACCTCCATGATTCGTGTCAACTGCAGGAAAACCAAAGCCAGCCTGCTTAGTCACTTTGCCGGTTTCGAAGGTTTCCGAGAATCACTGGATGTTTTGGCCAAGTCGCAGTTCAACATCGAACTTTGACTATGTGGATCGAGACATTTGCAACGAGTTCCAAGAACCGCATTATTCGTCTTACATCAAAACATCGACACGGCAACGGCACGTGAAGTGTAACAATGCTGCCGCTGGGCCACATTTATTGAGTGATTCGAGACTCTTCACCGCCCGCGGTCAGTATTCCCGCCGCTCGCCGGACGGCCCGGACACGGACGCGGCATGAAGCCGGGTATCCCTACCACATTTCTGGTGAGCGTAACCACATCAGGTCTCCACATCCAGTGTCTCCATATGCAGGAGGTGGGATACGCTGCACTTAATACTTGTTTGGTTTCCTCTCCGTTTGCAGTAACGATAGGACACGTAGTTGGTCTTTTGGTCTTGACATCAAGTGCATCTTTGTAGAATTTGCTAAGACGGTAAAAGAGCATATGCTCACATTCCACTAGCCATCAAGACCGCTAAGATCCAGGACAGATCTTGATCAAGATGGGACGAATCTCACACCAGACAACTTTTTCTAGGGGGTTCCAAGTCCGCCAAGTTTCGAAGTTGGTTTCTAAGTACGTAACCATTGATCCGTTATCGCTACCGGCGGCAAATAAGCTTCATAACAAGTGTTCTTCAACAAGAGAAAATAGAATTGCATAAATTCACCAGAAAGCTGATGGTCGTCTCGCGTAAAACTCTTATTCGGGCAACGCCCGAGATGCAGGAGTGTAAAATCACAACCGGAAACGTTAAGACGAACAAGTCATGTCATGTGGTGGAATTCCGGTGTTACATGGCAGTTGTCCCCCTCTTCGGACTGGATTCCGGCCACACGAAAGCGACAAAACACCATGCTTGACCCTCGGTTCGTTTGGTGGTGTTCGGTGCGGGTCGAAATATCGCATTGTTGCGGGAGCATCTGGTTCCACAAAGTGCCACGACGGGAGACCGAGCTTTCCGTCTCCCGTTAACTGACGATGGGGTCATTTCTATGGGTTCTGAGGTCAATCCTCTCCATTGCCGGAAGATTACCCCAGGGTATCTTGCTCGAACGCATCCACTCTCAGATCTCATTACTCGGAACTTCGATGGTAGACCGCCTTCGCCAGGTCCGAGGGAGAGCTGCAACTCCGGCTTAGAAGGGCCTCAAATCAAAACAGAGGACTATTTTTGCATGATACCGTTCGAATCATACCCAGCCCCTTTCAATCTGGCATTGAGTCCCGAAATATGAGCTGCATTGATCTGGAGCAATGAGCCATTTTCAGCGGGTTGGCAGACGTTTTACGTGGTCAGAGTAAACAGAATTTGCCGGGAACACTTCACCTACAACAGGAAAGATACCTGAGTCGATCAATACCTTCAGAAAAGCGACGTTCTCTTTGTGAATGTGTCACGACTGGTCAGAGATTGAACACACCGCCATAGCCGATTCGCGAAGATGAGACCGTAGAGTTTGATTGAACGAAGAAGTTGGAAACTCAGTCTTTTCCGTCGACGGCTCACAGTTCCGTTTTTGTTATCATTTCCCCGAGGAATTTGCTCGTCTATCCCACCAATGACTCAGTACTCTGGCACGGGGAACCGATGCATAGCCATTAAGGGTGGGGAGGACGGAAAGTATATTTCGACGCTTAGAGAGGGAGAACCAGGACATTCAACAACGTGGGCATTGACGAAGTCGATAACAGTGGTGGCAGGAAAGTCCTGAGATTAGAAGAGCACATCGAGGAGTCGAATAGTTTCCGCAATGTCAGTGTCGTGGCTTCAGAATACCAGACCTTAAAATTACAAGATTCTTTGGACTGCATACGTCCTATCTTCGTTGATCGTTAATCTAGATCTAAGGCTATTTTGATCTGGTCTGATCTGTTAATTGGGATATGAGTGTCACTCGGGTTACCAGCCCACCTGTAGGTCACTTTCCTTCAATTCATGGAGAATTTTACGACGGGTTCGTACTAGGAGGGGAGGATACTCTGCGGAAAAACTCACAAGGTTGAAATACAAAAACTTACTATCTTGGAGAGAGATTATTAATATTTCTGTTTTGGCCGACAAGCCAGACCTGACCAACTTGGTATCTGTGCGATTTCAGCTACCCACGTGTGCAAGAATCTCAGATGCCAATGGATCGTTTTTCCGAATTGTTTCTTTACTCAAGGACTCTTTACTCGATGGTGAGTCCCTGTTTTCTCTACCTTTAGGATGCATACAACATGACGCGCGGATCCCGAAACTTTAGACGCCATATTAAACTCCTGCACGAATAGACGCGAATCAGTTACCGGAGGAAAACAATTGCGGGCGAAAGAAAACAAGTGCGGGATCCTCTCCCTTCCATACACGCAAGAGCAAGCTCCAAAATTGGCAGCTCTTGCCGCCGTTTCCCGCGTGCTTGTATCAGTCAGATTCAGTTCTGGCTTGATAGGTTGGGACCAGGGAGTTGACTATGTCTCGGGTGAGAAATACTTCGTTGGGTATGGTGAGCCAGAACAATAAGGGTTGGTGGCTGCATTGTATTGCATAGAATATTGCATTAGGTGAGAAATACTTCAACACTCACAGAAAATTTGGATGTTCTGTAGTATTCGTCATGAATACCATGGAAGATTCCGAAACAAGAACATCGTCTTCTCGTCGAGCTGTAAGAATACGAACGCAACCACTCCAACTAGGTTATTGGGGTAAGGTGTGGCAAAGAAATGCCAGAACGGAGGCCGTTGGCCTGTGCCATATCTCAGGTCGATATTCGACGTTTTCCACGTGCGACTCACGCGGGAAACTTTGTCCGTGAAGGCCCAGCCACGTGTGCGTCTCTCATCTGGATTATACTTTACTCCTTGGGAGTCCGTGATGCACACCGTTTGAGATCTAGAACTTTCTAGGTGAAGTCAAGTCCTTGATCTTCACATTCGATTGGCAAGATGCGCAGCCATCATCTGGTTCTATCATCTGGCTTTTAGGATCGGCGCCGAGTTCTGTCGCCATCCCGACGGATCTCAGCCGCTATCTCCGCTTGCCGAGTAGCTTTCGGTCAATCGTTCGTCGATTTTCTAGAACCTCTTAGTAAGAAGTTCATCAGCCATTAGTTTCAGTGTTCGATGGATACATGACACCAGCCATGAAGCTACACGAATTCGAGACGGGAAGTGCCGAGATACCCGAGTTGAACTAAAGCTTTGTTGATGTGTACATGACACGACACACCGGCTTGGATCGGGACTGCCCACGAAGCACACCTTGTACCGCAAGGTTTGCCTACGACAAGTGCAAGTTCCCCAATGTAAGAGTGCGGCTGACTCACAAGATGAATACCCCATAATCGTTGATGATTTCGTCACGAAACTTTCGTGATCTTAGATCTCATGTTATCGGTCGGTAGAGGATTCTCTGGGTCCGCGAAAGTTGCGTTTTCTATCTGAATCGTATTGCTCAGGCATGGGGCATGCTAGGCTGTTTCCTCAAGATAAGAAGTGGAACGTTGCCTTATGTTATCTGAAATCAACGTGCGTTGAACGTGAGCTGTATCATAACTAGTCAAAATCTTATAGCCTAAGAAGGAAGTCTTGCATCTGTTCAGCACCTCTATTCATGTGATTGTAGTTCACTGATACCAAATCTGTAAGAGATTTCAAAGTCTTTAGTAGTCTTACCGCCAACCCGTTACACACCTCCTGGCATGTGAGAGACATTAACCGAGCAGGCATCATGATAAGAGGGTAGAGACCAAGTACCAACCTTACAACCTAGGAGCAGGACGGCATGTTCATCGTCCATCTTACATAAAGGCAAGGGATACGCCGGTGATCATAACCAACCGTTCATGTCTGCTATTCTATGTCCATGCACTGCAAGCTGCAGTCCATATCCAAGGAGCGAATTCCTTGGAAAGTTACAATCGGCAGGACTTCTTTGAGCTACCCAGAAGAACCATTGTGGCCGGATTACCACAAACTGACCTAAATCAACCCTAGACTTCGCTCGGGAGTGTTTGTATCATACTGCTCCTAGAGTCATAACTCGATCATTCGAAGCTGCGTATCATTCAAAGCTGCATCCTAATACGACAAACCCATTGCGTGGGCATAAATCCGCTTGCATCATCATATTAGCAAGCGATTTGTAGGATCGAAGGCACTTGCCAGCATACTTTTGACTTTCTTGTCGGTGGCAAGGACCCAATAGGTTCCGGGGTTGCCCGCGGAGGTAGAGCTTTCCCTTGCCCCGGCCCCCAGACAATGTGAGAAGCCCAACGGATAGATGGAAAAGGGAAAGGGCATGTAGTTAGGATTGCCGAGGCAGTGAGGGATCATGTGCCATTTCTGGGTTTAACTATTAACAATCAATGGCTTGTCATGATTCGAGATACATACATATGAAGCGACTTGAACTGTAGCAGTAGCTGAAAATGTGGCAGTGATTTGGTATGACTGGTCCTGGGCAAGGTGGTCGATAGCACATGACTCTTGAAGGATGCAAACGGTGACTCTTCGCAGGACCTAGATATGAAGTGTTTATGAGGCTTTTGGCTGAAAAGTCCAGAATCATTCCGAGGTAGGTTGTTTTCAAAGTTGGAGCGGAACATCACCAGCCTTCTCGACTGCGGCGGGCCTTATCGGGTCTTATCGACGTCGTATTCATTCGAGAAATGAGCACATTTACTTGAAAAGCGAATGGTCCCTCATCGAGGAGACATGGATGGGACAAAGAAGTCAAATTTCTTCAATTTCCTCAAGACACGACAAGATGTTTTCCTATGTTCAAACGGTTGGGGACTTCGGAAATTGGAAATTATGAAAATGAAATATGGCCTGCGAATGATTTGTTTATTCATATTGCCAACTCAACAGTTTCAACGATTGAGAGATCCCATAGAGGATTTTGAACGCGCCGCGAAATAACAAGAACGACAGTGGAATGAACGACTGGATTGCTGTCCGGTAGTGGCTCAGTAAGAGTGGGCATTTTTCCACACGTGGCCGTAGTCGCGCATGTTGGCTTCCGTGCCATTCCGCCTCCAGACCCACTAATTCGGAGCTTCCGGAGAACGGCAACACAGCTCTGTAACATCGCCAGCATAACATGTCGTGAAATGAATGGCGATCAGGTATGAAGTATGAATATTCAACATTTGGCCTGAAGTAGTGGGTTACTCAAGCCTCGTGCGGAAGCTTTCGATCACCAGACTCGAATCACTGGGAGAAGAAACTCGTCCTAAGCTGACAACGGAATCAAGTGCCCTGAGAGTACGATCTCTTGCGTGGAAGTCTATCGTTCCAAGAACGATCTGTCATGACAAAAGTGCGGAGTTGCAAAGCCAACAAGATGAGCAGCGTTGGTCTTGCTCGAGAACGGGTCGCTCAGGACGCAAGGCCGTCGGCTCCGTGGTAGTGGGGCGTTCGCCCGTGGCCGGCCCGGACATATGGGGGTTTTATGACGGAAACGCCGGGAGGTTTGTGCTTTGGAGTCAAGCTTTTTTTGTTTGGAAAATCATCTTGGCTGCGGTGCGTAATCGTCCCCTTGCATGATTCATACGACGTCGTTCGGGAAAGGTTCATCCCAGCGAGTCAGTCAACTTCGCAAGAAACCGAGCAGCCGCAATTTCCGACTCGAGGGAAATCAGCATTTTATACTTTCTTCTATATTGAAATCCCCACAAAGTAGCTGCGCCTGAGCTCTGACATGATCGTCGCCTTCGCCGTCCATTTGACATCTCCATGTGCCGAATTGCCGCGTGTCCGCCCCCAACGATCCACCTGCTGGCTTCCCATCCAATCTGCTTGACATCCTCGATGATTGCGATGGGCTGACAGGAGACTCAACTTCATACCATCATCAAGCAGCCGTGTTGTGGGCAAGGGGCTCCACCGTTGAACGCTTTTTTGTAGCTGTTTGAAGGCAATGTGCGCTCCGCTAAGGGGTTCAGAATGTCATATTTGAAGATGCGATCTTCCCGCTGCCTTCCCGAGAACTTGGTTCCATCTCTCCACGTCTTAATGCGAGTTCACTTGGTTTATCAGACCGTCTCATTCTTTGTTTGAGCTACCACATTCTTTCGATACTTAATCTTATTCTTACAATGCTTTTCCGATCTTTCGGCGTCGCCATTTTGGCCGCCTTATCGGCCGACGCTGCCTGTGCTAAGCCAACATCTCCTCGATATGTCATGTATTATGATCAGTAAGAACTACCAGGGGTCATACAAAATAGACACCAACATTCTGATGATCCGGATTTCAGATACCATACCAGCGGTACACCCGACAAGTCGATTACCTCCGGAATCACCCATGTCATTACCGCATTCGCGAACTCGTCTCTGTTTGCTTCGGAACCGGCCGGCAACTACACCCCGTTCAAGTCCTTGGAGGAGATTAGGCCTCTCTTCGACAACGGAACCAAGGTCTGCATGGCTATCGGAGGATGGGGAGATACCGATGGATTCAGTCTCGGTGCTGCCAACAACGCTAGCCGTCACAACTTCGCCAAGAACGTCGCTGCGTCTGCGGTCAAGCTCGGATATGATTGTGTTGGTACGTGTCATTGCTCTTCGAAGGCTTGTGAGAATGCAGACGGAAGTTAACTTGCGCGATCCAGACGTTGATTGGGAGTACCCTGGTGGCAACGGCGCCGACTATAAGCAAAAGCCTAACGCGAACAAGACCTCCGAGATCAACACTTTCCCCCTGCTCCTGTCTGCCCTCAAGACGCAGTTGAAGCATCACAAGATGGAACTCTCCGTCACGGCGCCAGGTCTTAAGCGCGACATGATCGCCTTCACCAAAAAACAGGTTCCCAAGATCAATGCGGCCGTTGACCACTTCACGGTGAGTTCCAGTTAGTAACAGTGAAGAGTATGTCTCATAATGTTTTGCTAGGTCATGTCATACGATCTGATGAACCGTCGCGACAACACCACTCGCCATCACACCGATATCAAGGGTTCTTTGGATTCGATCGACACTTACATTTCCCTTGGCGTTGAACCGGCTAAGGTCAACCTCGGCTTTGCTCTCTACGCCAAATGGTTCACGACTGCCGCGGGCTATAACTGCACTTCGCCTATCGGTTGTCCGACTGTGCTTCTCGAGGCCGCCGACGGAAGCGACACCGGGAACTCCGGAACCGTTACCTTCGAGACGGCCAACTTTCAAGAAGCCCCCACCAACCTGACTACATCTACCGATGACTCTTGTGGTGCTGGTACTTTCTTCAAGTGCCCTACTGGCAACTGCTGCAGCCAGTATGGTTTCTGGTGAGTTTATGAGTCTCAACAATACTTGGTGGTGGTAACTAAAGCGACTACAGTGGTGTTACTGCTGCTCACTGTGGCAACGGCTGCCAGTCTGACTACGGTGTCTGCAACGGCACTTCGACCCTCAAGTCTTTCAAGACCGCACTCGCCAATGGCAAGACTGATGAAGTTAATGGCGGGCAGTGGTACTGGGACCCCTCCGGACCTTTCTTCTGGACTTGGGAGACACCTGCCCTTGTGACTCGCAAGTTCAACGACATTGTAAAGGCTCGTGGCATTGGAGGCGTTGCTGCATGGAGCTTGGGCGAAGATTCTTATGACTTCAGCCTACTCAAGGCTATCCAGGCTGGTGTTAAGGCTTGGCCTAAGAACTAAGTCACTGGCGAGCCACCTGGGCTATATATGTTTTTCAAGTAGAAAGCTATGTGGCTGGTGACACCGATCCCCGGTCTACTCTAAAGCCTCCGGTGGGTGGACCCCGGACGTGCAGCCCCATCTTCGGACCGAGTCCGGTCCAGGTCGGAGATAAGAATCAGTGGCTGTGGTAGCTGTTGTCGGCCGTAAGAGTCGGGTCCGGTCTACGGCAAAAATCATCAAGCAGCCCGGAGTAAGCACTCATAAATGATGAAAACATCACGGTTATAAAGCTTCTCGAATTTTAATCATCATCAATGATACTTCACAATGCATGTCGCACTGTCACAGTCCACATCTCCAAATAATGTTGTTTATTGAACCATCAAAGTTTACATGATTAAGAGACTATCCAAAACAATTCTACATTAAATAAGAACTCCGTATATCTATCGCTTCGCATGCAGTTGATCGTGTCGTCATAGACCAAGCAGCTTCCCTCCCTTAGTTAGGGACCGGAAGAGACTTGGTGCAGTCAGTGAGGTCGTTGATGTTGTCCACACCCAGAAGACTGAGGCGCAGGTACTCCCTGGCGAAGGCCTAATCTCTGTCAGTATTTTGTGCTTAGTTTGAGAGAATGAGGCGACATACCCCATTCCAGACGGGCTGGTTGTTAGCAAAGGCCTGGAAAGCCGGGCCGCTTCGGGAATCCTTGGACAGAACCTTGTCGCTGTTGAAAGTGAACACTTGAGAAGGGGCGCCGGCCAGAGTCTGAGAGTAGAAGAGAGTATCCCAGACACCCGGAGTGGTGTCTTGGGGAGCGCCAGCACGGGCACGGTCGACGGTCTTCTGCGTGGAGGCAGTGTGAGCTCCGACGAGAGCAGCGAGGCCGGGGGCGGAAATGGTCTTGTTGGCAAACAAGCCAATGAGCTTGTCGACGGGATCGTTGACGTCCGGGAGGAGACCGTCAGGGCAAGCCTTGGAAGAGTCCTTGCGACCGATCAAGGTCGTGATTCTGGGTCCCATGGGGCACATGACGGTGCCGGTGTTGGCGGCGAACTGGATCAAATCCGCCATGCCCACACCGAACTGCTTGTACTTGTTGAACCAGGTCTGGGTTTGCGTGACAGCGTCCTGCAGACCGTCGTTGAGGGCCCGCTTGATTTCCTCGGGGGCGAGGACGATGGAGCCATCGGCACCTCCGAGGGGTCCAGTGGCCTTACTCCAGCCGGAAGCGTCGTGGAAACCGAGGCGAACGGCGGCGCGGGCAGGAGGAGTGCAGCCGCTGCCGTCACGGAACATGGTGGCCATCTCGTCGCCGACGTGCTTCCAGACGCAGCACTTGTCCGCAGCGCACTCCTTGCTGCCGAGCGCAGGGACGTTGCCGTTGTACTTGTCGGTAGAGATGGCGGATGCGGACGTGGTCAAGATGTTCTTGAGAGTCTTTCCGGTGGGGGAGAGAGATGAGTCGCCAAGGCTGGCGAGATCACCGAGTGGCTCATCACTGATGGCACCAGCACGGGCGTAGAGGCTGTCCATGAAGCCGTTGTTGGACCAGCCGGGGTAGGCGGAGGAGCCAGCCGCGAAGGCGGCGACGATCATGTTGGAGTAACGCATGGCGAAAAACGATGTAATGAAAATGAAAAGACTCTGAAACGAAAGTAAAGGGCTTGGTTCTAGCGAATGACCGGTTGTTGCTGGCTTGGAGAAGAATATCTTGTTGAGGTCAGGGTCTCAGCTAATTATACCTCTTTCCATATTGTCAGTGATCAAGGCAAACGTTTGATATGCTGCGGCCATCACCACCCGCCACCTCCAGCTCGGCCCCGAAGAAGGGAGTACTAGACGTGGTCTGTAAGACATCATGTAGCACGGCCATGAGTACTCCGTCCGAGAGCCCGGCAGCCACCACCTGCAGAGCGAGATTCTGGCAGAGAAACCAGTCGAACGTGCCGATATTAGCGCATGTGTCAGGTTATTATCGGACAGTGCTTGAGTCCTTGACCCCGAATAGCATCCTGCATGACGTTGTCAGCAACTTCTATCCGAAAGGCCTCCCGAGCCTCAACCTCAAACCCCAATGCAGCACCCCTGCTGCTCTACGTACTGATTGTGGAAGGAAGTCGCCTCGAACTCTCTCAAATCCAGCCGTTCCTAATGAATTGTGGTTCTGCAACGGATGCATAGATCGCCGAGCGGTTCATAGCGCCACGCAGGGGTTCAGACGTTGGTTCGTAGCCTGTCATCTCAAATCATCCCTATGGACTCAGCGCCACCAGATAGATGTCTGCAAGCTCCCAAGCCTCCTGGTGGCCTCCAAATGAGAGATAGAAGAGCAAGCTATTTTGGTGTTGGCTTAGGGTGGTCAAAGTCGAAAGAAGCTTTGAGGCTGGTCAGCTCTAGGCAACTGCCAATCCTAACTGTGGAGATAACCATGTTCATACTTTGGAACGGCACAACCGACTTTGAAAGGATTCAACTGTAACGTCCTGATGACTATCATAAACCAACTTCGAGTCATGTTGGTCCGAAGTCGTCAAGTCGCATTGCCGCATCGTGACCATGCTCTCGTGGTTTTAATTAGACGACTTTGTCATCCGTCTCGTCCATTCAGTGTAATCTGAACAGTGCATTCATCCCATGAGATCAAATACCGCTCATTCGGATTTATGGTGCGGTTGTACGGCAAAGTAACATCGTGCTCGAAACCTCTCAGTCACTCACCTCCTTCAACTGCTGACGTGTGTCGTCGGACGTGCTCCAGAGCCTCGGACCTCCGGGCTTACCTGTAGCGCCGATGTTCGCCCAACCACAACGTGAGCTTTGGAAATGACGACGCGTAATTGGAAGCCTCTAGTCGTGGCCACAGAAGAAAAAGAAAGCGTGCTAGAGACGGGAACTAATGCACTGGTCGGTCTTCGCCACGATTTCGCCTGACGGCTGTTGCACCATGAGTCCAGCCTGCCGGGATGCCGAGACGAAGCGGCAACATAGCGGCGGCAACTAACCGGAGATAGTCAAATGTCAGCGCCGGTCGTGGGTTCGTGGAGGTGCCGATCTGCCTCGGGTCTAGCGCCTTGCACGCAGTTACCCGGACCGACATAGAATATTTGATTCCTCCGGCAACACCAGGTTTCTCCGGGAGACGGCATTTCATAGTGTTCCCCGGATGATCGGCTTGTATGTGGCTGAGTCCAATATTGATTGGTAGCTTGTCGGGAAGTTGATAATCTCGTACCTCGAACTTTGAAGTCATGGTATTCTCCCATCAAAACACAAACCTGCTGTGAGCAAGTAAATACGAAAAGAGGAGATAAGAAGACTACGTTGAATCGCAAGCGTTTCTACAGTTACTGAGACATTCTGTTTAGTAGATTACTGTCTTCAAAGTCTTTTCAGTAATGGTTTCTGTATTGTAGTGTACCATCCACAGACCATCAGCTCAGCTTAGTACAGTAATCTCGGTCTCACGGTCGAGTTCCTGGAAAGAACACACCGACGACGGCGACAACGACAGAATCAATAATAACAGTAACAACAGAAATGCTTTTCAAGCACCTACACCAACATTGGAATCATCAGGCGAGATGCATATTTGCTGCTGGCCGTTTCCCCAGCACGTCTGCAAAGTCATATGTACGGACGTTGTCTTGAGCTTGAGATCCCGAGCTAGATCCAGAACCACATGGATTCAATTGAATTGTTCCGAGAAGAAGTAGGGAAATCTCAAGAGTCTTTTTATCTACTCCCCAACGCGTTTTCACTGCCCGTCAATTCATTAGATGTTACTAGCCTATTCCCACCTGGCTCTTCGTCGCACCATCTCTTCAAACACATACACGCCAATGGTCTTATAAACTCAAGGTTCCCAGCAGTCTCTTCGAGTCAGTCTAATACCAGTCGGATATAATGTCATTAGTTCATGCCTCTATGTCTAGTACCGCAAGTTGCTTTTGGGCTCAAGTGAAGCAGCATGACATGACGAGAGCTTCCAACCTGAGTAACTCGACGAAATCAAGCGGCAAGTTACAAAAATGCCATTTCCAATTCCTTTCCCAAACATCCCATCACGGTTTATGTGATGTATTTGTTTCTTTTCTATATCGGTTGAATTCAAATACATGTCGCTCGCTGACTGCTGTGTTGAACGAACTAATAAGCAAGGGACTGCTTTGTTGTACTGAACAGAGGAAAAAATGAAACCCCTCGTCATTCTAAATCGATTAAATATCCAAACCAGAACTTCACACACCCTATCATTGAGAGGGGAATCAGGAAGCTCGGGACGAAAGTGCTCGAGGTCTTCCTCCCTAACCACCTCATCCTCCCACGCACGCCATGCCTACCTGACTTGTTTGGACCAGATATGTAACCGATAACTACTGCTTGTGCGTGTTTGCTCAAACCTCGTCCGCCGTGTTGGTCTGCCCTGGTTGGACAATCATCACACGAACTCGGACAAACCTACATGTATGCTCAACGATGTTCCACCAGCATCAAGGACTTCTGATTGTTCTCTGCAGGGCCGTATCATGAACATGGCTTCTTCAAGTTTCCCTGCGTCCACCACATCGGCCGCAATTGAAGCTCAACAAGCGCAACTCTCAAGCCTACAAAAGATCACCAAATCCCTCTCACCAACTCCATCTCTCCCTATCCCCATCCCATCCACGCCTCAACAACCTCCCACCATGACCCTCCTCACCCCCCACCTCCTCCATCTCCTCCTCCTCCTCCCCCTAACCACCGCCCTTACCCTACCCCACCACTTATTCGACGTAATCACCGAACAAGACACCACCCTCCTGGCTCCGCAAAGCTGCTTCCCATCCACGACCTTCCCCCACGCCGCCCCCGTCAACGAGACGGACCTCTACATGGACGCCTGGCGCTTCTGCGCCGGCGCGGCCAAACAACTGCCCCAGATGCGCCCCAGGGCGCTGATCAAAGGCGACGGCCGCGGGGCGTCGACGGAGCAGCACTTCGAGATGCGGTGGGTCGACGATTGTCCCCGGGCGGCGGAGATTAAGACGCAGGACACGCTGGACCCGCTGGGCAAGGGGAAGAAGAGCTCACTGTTCGGGGAGAACTGGTGTGTGAGGATCCTGGTGGATAATTGGAAGAAGTGTGAGTTTTGCAATGAGATGTGCGTGTGTGTGTGTGAATGTGAGGGATGCTGACTGGGGGATAGGTAAGGATTTTGGGGGTGTTGGGGGATCGAGGGTTGCTGGGTGTGTCGTGTTTGCGACGGGTCCTGGACATTTACGGTCTTGAGACGGCGTGTTCTTCGTTCGAGGGGCGTGAACGTCCGATTTGGAAGTCATTAACGGCATTGACTCTCTCTTTCTTGAACAATTTGTCTATACATCTGCATCCAGGTGGACGACTTTGATAATAGTATACGATAATAGTATTACTTTTAGATGGGCGCTATATCCAACTTCTGGCCCCCGCCAAGTCTATGTATGTTGTGAGCCCGTGGGCTTGTGCAACCCAAACGCGAAACGTGCTGCATCGTATCATGCCGTGACGCTCAAAAGAAACCCGTCTCTCATGATACGACGTCGTCTATATGCTCCAGTTTCCTCCTCTTTCCCGAGACCCACTCTCAAGACTTGCCAGCGCCGGTCTCTTGCTCAAAATCTCTGGCCTGAGTCTGCTCATCGCTCTCCAACACACCGGGATTCTTCTCTCCAGCCGCAGCCTCAGCGGCGGCCTCCCTCTCCCTCTTCCTCGCGAGCTTCGCCTGCGCCTTGGCGCGCTTGCTGTCGTTCTTCTCCTGGTCCTCCCTCATCTGCTTGATGATGGGGCTCTTAGCCCTGATCCTCTCGCCGTACCTCCAGAAAATAATCGGGATGGGAATCAGCGCCAGCTCGAGCAGACCGCACAGCGTGCCGGCCCACTGCGGCGTCAGCGCCCTGTACATGCTCGGCCCCGCGAGCGGCAGCGTCCCGCCGAACATCGACCTCATGACGGCGTTACCCGCGAGCGCGCTAGCCGCGTAGATGCCGTAGGCGCCAGCGAGGTAGTTAGAGCCGTAGATGAAGGAGATGGTGTTGCCGGCGCCGAAGGGTATGCCGAACGCGATCGGGACGGCCCAGTGGATCGAGGCGGGGAGGCAGGTCCAGGAGAACACGAGCTGGCCGATCGGGGTGAGGATGGCGCCGATGGTCATGACGCGGGCGGTGGCCTCGGGCGGAACGCGGCCGGTGACGGGGTCCTTGGGGTGGGCGTTGATGATGCGGCGGAAGATGGGCTCGCTGATAATGGCGAGGATGGTGCCGACACCGATGCCGAGGAAGGCGAGGCCAGAGGTTCCCGGTCCCCAGCCGCGGTGCTGGGAGAAGACGATCGGGTAGGCGACGAAGCAGAGGTAGAGGATGCCGTAGATGAGGGAGATCCTAGCTTGACTTAGCGATTGGAGTAATTGAGACGCTGGGGCAGGGAGTCTTACCAGATGTTGAAGAACCATAGGATGGGCTCCGTGAAGCTTAGCACGAAAGGACGGCTGAGGTTGATCTTGATGAGGTGCAGCTTCGAAACCTTCTCATCATAGCGGCACCACCAGCGCGGGTCGTCAGTCTCCTTGCGAAGGCGGGCGGCCTTACGCTGCAGGATAGTCGGGGCGTAGGTCTCCTTGATGGTGAACATGAGACAGATGGCAAAGCCGGCGATGATGAGAACAACCCAGTTGGTCCATCTCCAACCGAGGTACTGGTAGACGAAGCCGCCGATCAGAGGACCGGTGACAGGGCCGTTGAGAGGGGCAATGCTGTAGAACGACATGGCGAGGGCGCGGTACTCCTCATCGGCGATATCGACGACGGTTCCGGGGCTGTTTGCTATCAAAGCGGCGCCAAAGAGGGCACTGCGACGTTAGGTGAGATGGTGTGCTATAGTACGCAGGCTAATTGACTTACCCAAAGAAGCGGACTACGATAAGTGTCGTCAAAGACTTTGCCAAGCCGCATGGAATGATGAGAATGGCTGAGATGATGAAGCAAACGATGTAAACAACTTGGCGACCGTAGAGCTCACTCATCGGGGCGACGATAAGACTACCAGCAGCGAGACCGAGGAGGTAGGTAGTAACGCCCAGCGTCGCGATGACGGTGGACGACTCATACTCCTTAACGAGACCGGGAATAGAAGCCGTGTAACTAGTGCTATACAAGACAATGACCCAAGTAGAGAAAGATACGACGAAGATGGTCCAGCCACGGTACCACAACGGCCAGTTCTTGGGATTCTCCGGGTCCCCGGGCTCGAAGGTGACCTCGAAATCAGGCGGGCGCGACGCGGTGCTGCCGATGCTGGTGCCGGTGCGCGTGTAGGTGATGGGCTCCCGGGCAGCGTGCTCGGCCTCGGTCTCGAGGTCCGGGGTGAGGGCTTGAGAAAGGGGCTCGAGGGGGTCGGTGTCGGTGGAGGAGTGGGACAAGGCCCGGCTCCGGCGGCTGTGCCGAGAGTCAACGGGCTTGAGTGGGCGGAGGTGCGGTGAGTCTTGGCCGGAGCTTGTGGTTGTCGCGGTCTCGGCCGCGTGGGACCCCTTTTCCGGATCCGGCACGGCGGACATGGTGAGTTGGGGTTGCGCCGAAAAACGGAACTGGCTTATTCCAAGATATTTGAGGCGGTCGTGTGCTCTCGTCGAATATTGGGTGAAAAAGAGTCTCTCGCAGGTGCGATGGGAGTAGAAAGAAGGGCGGACGCGACACCGAGTCTCGGAACAAGATTTTTTCAATGTCGCAATATCTTACACTTAAACCAACAGCTCTCACAGTTGTGTGTCGTCCGGGATGACACCATAGGGCGTACTTGATTATTTGGGACTTGGAAATGAGTCACCATAGGGTGGAAAATTCTGAAGAGACTCCGCGAGAAACGAGAGGCGGCGGAAGGGCGAGAACGACAAACAGACAAAAATTTGGGCAACGCGGCGGTCCGTCGACGTTGTTGTGGTCAGGCTCAAGGGGTGGTGGGCGGCAGCCCGCATCCGATCCACCGGGGCGAAGGGTGTGGTGGATGCGTGTGTGGGTAATTAAGGCACGCAATCGGAGGCGTCTCGTCTGGTGGGAAGAGACTGGGCGATCCTCCCTCCTTCTTTTCCTCTCCCCCCCGGGGATAAAAACGGCGAAGCTAGGCTCGCTTCGTTTTGGGCTAAGATAACCGGTGTGTTGTTTGGTCGTTCGGTGGCCGGCCGAGAAACAACACCTTGTTGAGGGCCACCCGATTATGTGATCCCGAATTAGTAGTATATGACACTTCCATTGTCCGATATCGTGCCGTCCCCAGACTCGGGGCCTGAGACATACAGGTCTTGCCTTGCGTCTATTCGTAGACTTATTCCCTGCATGGCATGACTTGACACGACCAGCAAAGCCTCCCGCTCGTCACTCTGTGAGACTGGAAAGTGACAAATGCCGGTTCGTTATCAGAGGAGCCAATCTTTCCCGTGAGATTGAATAGGAGGAGTGGATACCAGCCGAGGTCCGCTTCGCTTCGGACCCCACCTCCCCCATGGGAATAAGCAGCAAGCGGCAGGCCAAGTCGGGGACGCAAGTCATGACCAACAACTAAGAGAGCCCGGTGAACGTGTGGTGTGTTTGCTCTTCCAGCCCTTTCAGCAAAGCCGATACGGTTTGTTTGATACTCGGCGATAGACAAGCGCAGACTATGATCTACCCGGTGCCGATGTAGAGTTGAGTATATCGAGAGTACAGATACCACATTGAGAGTTTGCGGATTTGGGCCCTCCGCATGGCTTGTGGAACCCGTCACGGCCGTGTCGACTGTCGACCGCAAAACTTGTCGCAAATTATTTCCGGCGCCGCCTGTTCATGGTCTCAGGGTCTCAGCAGACTCCATCCGAGACCCTTTCGGCGGGGCGCTGACCGCGGGAGAGAACACACATCCCGTTTCCCTCCGTCGACTTGGCAAGCCACGGCAGTTGCACTGGTTTTCTAGAAGCAGTGTCTCGCCCCTTCGTGTGACTTGATACAACCCAAGTCATTGGTTTGTCGTCTCTGCAGTCGTACGCGCCGTGACTCCTGCAAGCCACTGAGTCGCTGGAGCTTGCTGCGAGGTGGAAGGATGGACCTAGGGGGGAGAAAATGTGATGGAAAAAGAAAGATCCCAAGCAATGATAAGCCAAATCGGCACTGATGGCCCGAGCTTTGGCCATCGGTTCCCAATCCGGTTTTGGATGAAGTCGCAAGGATTCCGGGTAAAGTGGGTCGTCGGATGTCTGAACTCCGCTCTCGGCTCCGATCAACGGAGATTACGGCGCTTTCCCTTCCCCTCCCATTTCCCTAGAATTCCGGTCTGACATCAGCTTCGGCGACCTTCTCGTCAGCCCGAAGGAGGGGCTTTCTTCGGTCTCAACCACCTATGAGGTCGTCACGGTTAAAATAGCTTTTGACGTGATGACATGGTGGGAGTTCTGTCAATCCTGCAGAGTTCGTACTTGCAGCAGCAGACATCATCGACCCGAGTAAGTGCTGCAGCCGGATGATTGGCGTGTGGCGAGGCGTTCGGATGATAGAAGCATAATCGTTGGCCGTACCTTGAGAGTATCGCCATGAGGACAAGTTGTACGAGCCGGAAGAAACTATCCCCGCGCAAATGACGTTTATGTTCATCTCGATGCTCACGTCGAATGCGCCCGCCAAGCCGACGACGTTGCAGGGGGAGCTCTATCTGAAAACCTTATCCGGTGAGCCGCAAAAACACTACCCACGACCCCGGACATGTCGACTCTCGGCCCACTTCCCCGCGAGATCCGTTGTCCTCTGGGATCGATGGGCTGCTAGATCTGTCCTGGTGTCCAATGGGAGTGCTGATGGCGCGTCGAATGCGGACCTTGAAACCACGTTTCGGCAGACGTTGCCCGTAGATCCTCCGCAATGAAGGGGTCCATTGCATGTGTTCCGACGGATTGGGTTGAGATAAGTAGGTTCCGGGTCCTCGGGATCGGGACGCATGTTGCATCGATTATCCACGCCTCTCTGAGATTTAGGCAACATGTCGACTCCGGAAAAGTGCCACGTTGGAGAGGCAGACGTTGTGGATGCAAAGCGCCACCAACATGTCCGGACGAAAGACGAAATATCCTCGGATCAGAGGAAAGCCGAGGCGCGGGTCAGGTAAGACTGTGTATCCGTGCTGAACAAGCGGTTTTTGACGAAAGTAGGCGCAAGGTAGACTGGCGTTTGATCCCTATCCTGGGCATCTTGTACTCCATCGCGGGCCTGGACCGCGTCAATCTCTCCAATGCCCGCGTAGCCGGCATGAATGAAGACCTTCGTTTTGACATTGGCGACCGATACTCCATCGCACTTCTCGTCTTTTTCATCACCTACTTTCTCTTTGAGCTTCCCACAACTTTGATCCTCAGACCTATTGGGCCTAAGGTTCTTCTCAATGGCCTGGTCTTCAGCTGGGGTACCGTGATGCTAGGCATGGGATTCGCCAATGATTGGAGGGTCATCGTGGTATGTAGGATGCTGATCGGTATTGCGGAAGCTGGGTTCCTCCCATGCTGCATGTACCTGCTCAGTAGTTGGTATCAGCGATATGAAGTCCAACAAAGGTACGCCAGTTACCTGCATGCCCGTCGTGGGATCATTCCTGACTCGCTTTGTCGACGAGAGCAGAATGGCGCTTTGGTATATGATTAATCTCTTTATATCCGCCTTCGGAAACATCTTGGCCTATGCCATAATCAAACTTGATGGGGCACATGGTATCGCAGGTTGGCGATGGATCTTCATGTGGGTGATGTCAGGATGAGACCTCCGGGCTTCTGTCTGACATTTACACAGAATCGAGGGTTCTTTGACCGTGGGTTTCGCCTTCATCGGCTATGCTTTCACCCTTCCTTTTCCCGATCAATTGCTGGCCTCGGGAAAGCGCACTGGGTTCACCCAGGAAGAGATCGAACTCATCCTCGACCGAGTTGAGCGAGATCGAGGAGACGCAGAACCAGACCCTTTGACTTGGCAAAAGGTCCAAAAGTTGGTGATGCGATGGGAGTTGTGGGTATACGGTTTCATGTTTCTCTGCTGCTCGGCGCCGATATACGCGTTCGCATACTTCATTCAGATCATCCTAACGACCCTGGGCTACTCAACAGCCGTCGTGTTCCTCCTATGCGCCCCTCCGTACCTCTTCAGCATCATATGGACTCTGCTCGTGGCGTACTTTGCGGATAAGACGCGGCTGCGGATGCCGTGGATGGTGCTCAACGCGGCCATTACTTTGACAGGGCTTCTTCTCACGGCGTATCATTCAAACAACGCCGTTCGATATTTCGGTATGCTCCGAGCGAGATGAAATCGGGTGATCTCATCATTGACACTTCATAGGTGTGTTTTTGGGCGTATCTGGCTGCAACGGCAACCTGCCGACGATCATCGCCTTTCAATCCAATAACGTCCGATCCGACAGCCGCCGGTCGGTAGCCAGTGGGGTGCAGATGCTGTTTGCAGCAATTGGTGGTATTTATGCGTCGTGTACTTTTATGCAGCAAGAGTATCCGACTTACAGGACCGGAGTCTGGTGCTCGGTCGCGACGCAGTTTCTGTTGATGTTGTTGGTCGGGCTGATGTGGTGGTGGTTCCGGAGGCAGAACAGGAAAGCCGACGTCGACCGGATTCCTATCCAAGACGATCCGGTCTTCCGATACACCTTCTGAAATTGCTGAGCTGCTGTCGGATGTCATGGACTGTAAGAGGTTAGAAGAGGACAGTAAGAAAGAGGAGATTTTACCTTCTATTGTTTGCCCACTTGTATGGCGAAAGACTTCGGGTTGGTACCCGAGTCAACCATTCCTCCAAGGTGCGAACGAGGGAGCGAGTCACTCCCACGCGGGTCTTTGCAGCAAGAGTGCTTCACACGAGGCGAATGGGTGGAAGATGACGTGGAATGGGAAGAATTGGTGATGTGTTGGGGAACAGACCCAAGCGGGCAGCTGCATGAAAGGCAACACCAGCGAGGGGTCCGCCATTCGCACCTTCCTCGAAAAGCGGCAGGTAAGACAAAGCACCACCCTCGCTCTACTCCTTCCATTATCCTCCATCCTATCTCACCAGATTCCTTCTTCCACACCACGTTACCAACCTCTTCAAAACCAAACCGCCCAGCACTTCATCAACACTAAGGAGTTTACCCCCCTCCTGGCAACTTGCAGACTTATCTGCACCATTGCTTACAGTGAGAGTTCCAAACTGCGAGATGCTCGAAGACTAATTGAAGTTCCTCCCAGCCTACGTTGCCGCTTAGGATAGCATGATGAATACCATTGGTTACGGTCAGCTTTCCCGGAGCATTTGGACGGTATGCTGTCTCGACTGCTTCGGTTGGAGCGACGAGGAACACGACTACGAGTACGAGCGAATCAATCGGTCCGCCGACGACCAGAACCAAGACGACGGTCGCCACCATACCAACGGCGGGGACGAAAGCGGAGGAGACGACGACAGCGACGATAGTGACGACAGTGATTAGCGATTGTGACAGAGAAATGGGTACATGGGTATCACCGTAGATACGCAGTAGGTGAACAATGAACTATAATACTTCTTTACGACTACCTAGGTAGATAAGGATGATGCAACGATGCGACGGTACGCATGCCCAAGATATCCCAAGCCATGGAGAGGAAAGCTTTACTCGCAAGCCCGCGCTCACCGCCGGGCGGCAACCTCGATGATGGGTTGGGGCAAACAGTCCATTCTCGATGACCGGCTCGGTCACCTGCAGCAGTCAATTTGATGCGATCTCTGTTTGTGTGAAAATCTTGGGCCCGCTCTTTTACAAACGGGAAGGCGCCCTCAACTCAAGTTGCTCCTCTCGTCTCCATCTCTTCATCGCCAATCTCGATCTTATTTATTGCTCTTCTTTTCCATCCATCTCGACACTCCATCACTTATCTCAACATCTTCCAAAAACGCAACTTCCACAACCCAAAACCGACTATCTTCCTTCGCGATGTCCACCACTTCCTCATCCACCGCCAAACAGGCGTTCTCCCTCCAGAAGCTTCGCGATGCCCTTCCCGGCAAGCCAGGCCCCTCCTCGATGCCCTACGAGATCTTCCTGAAAATCTTCGACGCCCTCGTTGCCGAAGCCGAGGAGGACTCTGAGCCCATCCTTCACTGGACCACCATCAACCCGGACACGCCGGGCCATCTCCTCCTCATGGACCAGAAGGACTACGACAGACCCGGCGCCCCTCAGGAGAAGCGCTTCGCCGTCATCGGCAACCTCCTTAAGATCGACTCCAGATCCCGCCGCCACATCCAAGCCACCGCCTTCCGCCCCGTCGAGATGATGTTCCGGGTCGGAATGGACGACGCCTTCGTCGCCGTCGGCTGGATCTGCCCCTCGGTCGACCGCTTCATGCCCTGGACCGGCGAGAAGTGGAAGATCCCCACCCTCAAGAAGCTCATGCTCAACCCGACCCCCGACCTCGTCTACATCGTCAGCGCCATGCGCAGCATCCAGGTCAACGTCACCGAGCTGTTCCGGTACACCTACGTCAAGGACTTCCAGGACATGCTCAAGCTGGCCAACCTCGACGACATCGCCATCCGCGGCGGCCTCAAGATCACCGCGCCCGCCGTCAAGCCCCAGGACCGCCACAACCACACCGACCTCCTCCCCATCGACCCCCTCCTCCTCCCCGAGCTGGCGCAGTGGGCGCGCAAGTACGGCAACTCCCTGCTCAAGAAGGTCTGGCCCGAGATGAAGGAGCGCGGCATCAGGCTCTTCGTCTCCGAGTCCGACAAGGTCGACATCGACATCCTCGAGCTCTTCTACACCCCCGACGGCATCCGGATGCGGTTCCTGGACCCCGTCTGCCGGTGCTACAAATTTCACATCCCCGACAGCATGAAGCCTGGTGGCGTCGGTCGTCTCAAGGGCAAGGCTCGCAAGCTCGCGAAGGGTGGAAGGGCCTAGAAGTCATGGTTTCCTTCACAATGTAACATGTTGTCGGTGGACTTTGAAAGGTGGGATGGTTGCCTTGGGTTTTGTGGGAAATGCTGCCAGGAGAGCTGAAGATTCGGATGTCTTGCTCGTTACTTTGCCGAGGTAGTGCCAAATGAAGAACCCCTGAATTACAACTAAGTGCCAAGACGAAGATCGCCGTCCAGCCCAGTGTGAGTTCCAGGTTTTCTTTTAAGAAGTCGGGATCATTGTTGTTCCTGTTTTTCGGAGTTTCCATGTTCCATCATAATGCCTTACCGTCGCGACAGCGTCATAAGTGTGACGAAAGAAAAATGGGCCTGCTATCCACCTTTCCTATTTCAACGTCAACTGAGGCAGTCTCAAGTTGGCGATCTCACCATCTCACTCATCACAAAGACGCCGACAATGCCAACCACATCATCAAAGTCTTCCGAAGAGGGGCCTTCGATCGCTCCGTCTTCAACCACGGAAACTTTGCCTCGCGAGATCGTTCTGCTCATACTCGAGGCATTCGTGGCCGACATCGTCGAGAACACCTTGCCCATAGCCTTCATGGTCCACAACAACTATCCGAACGAGGAAACCGGGTCAAAGTTTTCAATTCAAGTCGAACATCCTGCCGCGGAACGGAAGCAAGACAGTCGGTGGTCGGAAATCCAGACCCCCCTTCACATCAACCAACACACGCGGGCCCTCACTCAGGAGCATTTCTTCTCGTACCCAATGTTCTACCGTTCGGACGTCACCCAGGGCTGGGTATGTCCGAGGTGGGACCGATTCAACTTTTACATCGGCGACGCCGAAAAGATGATTCTTGAGGAGGAAAGAAACGGCCTCTATCTCGAGAAGCACCCCGACCGCGGCCGGATCAGCCAGCTGCAGGAGGCGATCGAGAACCCGGCGCCGTTCGACGTACAGCTGGTCCAGGGCATGCAGGTTCTGCACAATTACCCATCCGACATGTTCGCCTCGCTCGATTGTGAGCCGGATGTCGAGCTGGCGTTCTCGCTGCCGAACCTGCGGGAGATCCACATCGACCTCGGCGCCACGGGCGTCGGGAAGGGGACCGTCAAGCGGCCTAGAGAACCGCACTCCCACGATGTGCCGCACCGGATCGACGCGGCGATATACCCGGAGCTGGCGTCGCGCGGCTATGACCGCGGAGAGGTGTTTGACATCTGCGCGCGCAAGGCGCAGGAGAGGGGCGTCAGGATCGTCTGCTTAGCCCAGTACCCCGGCTCTGGGTACTGGGAAACGTTGGAGCTGCTGCGGACCCCCGAGGGCATAAGGATGAAGTTCGTTCATCCCGAGTGTATATGCTACGGGCCCAATCCCTCCAATGATTGAGGCGGGGAGGAAGAAGGTTCCGGACGGAAGGGGAGGGGGAACGTGGGATGGAAATCGCGGAGGGCTGTGGAGAAGATGGGATCAGATCACGTGACCAAAAAAAAAACACGAGATGTCCAATGCAAGACATTGAGAAATAACTTTTCTCACAAGACACGACGTCAGTGCAAACTGCAAACAGCAGTCTTCAACACATCAAGACCGGAAATGGGCATCTCCAAGCCCATGGATCATTGTTGTTCCCGTTTGGCTAGGAGATGGCCTTCCAGGTTGACTTAGGTAGGCTCGTGGATCTTGGTCCCTCCACTGTGATTGAGAAATGGGTCTGGCAGCTTCACCGTCTTTTCTTTTTTTTTTCAACCTCAACTGAATCAGTCACCGGGTTGAGATCTCACCAACACCGTTTCACTTGTCACAAGGACGCCGACCATGGAGTTCGAAAACGAAAACCTCTGGATTCAGATTCACCCGTCTGCAGCCACGCGATCTCTACCCAGAGAAATCGTTCTGCTCATCCTTGACTCCGTCGTCGCCCAGGCCGTTGAAGATGCCTGGCCAGTAGCACTGACGGTCAGCGAGGGCCATATCGAGCATACCGACTGCAGGTTCCTTGTCGCAGTCGACTACCATGTAGCGCAAAGGATCGACAGCATAGAGGAGCGATTCAGAGAATGCCTCCGGACGCCTCTGGAGATCAACAAACACTCGCGCGCTCTCACGCGGACGCACTTTCTCCCTTACCCCATGAAAGGATATCGTGGAGACCCGATCCTGGGCTGGATCTGCCCCAGCATCGACCGCTTCTACCTCCAGATCGAAAACATGGACCGGGTGATGATGAGCATGGTGCGCCACCACAACTTCACCGACCTCCCCTCGACCAGCAAGATCCAGCGGGCCATCGAGAACCCGTCGCCCGTCGACGTCGAGCTGGTGCAGGGCATGCGAATCGTGCACGGCTACCGCAAAACCCTGTTCTCGCAGTCTACTGACTGGGCGCAGGCGGATCTCGAGGTGATATTCTCGCTGCCCAACCTGCGGGAGCTCCATATCGACGCCGGCGATAAGAGCCACTCCCTGAGTGACTTTCGCCAAGAGCCGTCTTCCTACGAAGGGCTGCGGCCGATCGACTCATTTACTTTTCCGGATTTGGCGGAGCACATTTTGGTTGAAGGCAATTCATTCGAGAGATGGGCGCTCAAGGCCGAGGAGAAGGGCGCCAGGATCCTGGGCATCGAGAAGGGCAGCGTGTTCTTCCCTCGGAAGTTCATCGAGCTGCTTTGGACCCCCGAAGGCACGAGGATAAAGTTCATTCCTCCCGAAAAGTTACATGAAAAACATGTTCCCATGTACGATTCAGATGGGTATGATTACGAAGCGTCCGACTGAGGGATAAGGGTGAAGCGACGATCGCTGGCTCACGGAGGAGGCATGTGCGAGATGGGTGAAAAGTCGGGCATTCGGTATGGGGGACTGGGATGAAGTAGCGGGTGCTTCTGAAGAAGACGTCAATGAGTCCGATGACGACGATGCTTGAATCATCAGACCCGGCGTTTTCGAGTATGACGGAGGTCGGAAGCTGACAATGAGACCCGGAGCTGAGCCTCCCCTCCCCCGCCCGCGTGACCGAGGTCAGCAGGATTCTTGGTCGGGTGGCTATCGGGTCTTCTTGGCTCGTCGATGGTGTATGTCATACCCTACCTTTCCCTCTTTCTGTTTAGTCTTTGTCCACATGTAAATGGAGCTTTGTCCCGAGCTGGCGGTTTTGGCAGCGCCCGTCTTTGTTTCCAAACGGCGGATGTTTAGCTGGTCTCGACCAGCCCCCTTCACCGCCGAGAATCGGCTTCCAAATATTATTTCCCCTGTAAAAAGGAGTCGAGGAGATTCCGTTTTTCAAGAGGATTCTGTTTTTGAAGTTTTGCTTCTTCGCATCCGATTCTTGTGAACCTTGGGTCCTGGGATTTCAGCTGTCGCAAATCGCATGCACCTCCCATCGCAACTGTCATTGCGCCTCCATTGACGCTTATCGCGACCCCAATCTCAACCTCATGTGTCCTCATCCAGCACCCTCGCAATGCGGCGAGGTACAACCTCCAAAAACGACGAAGACATGCGCGAACGTCCCCGCGCTCCCCTTTGAAGTATTCCTAAACGTAATCGATCTCCTCATCTCCGAAGCCGAGCACCTCGCCGAACCCATCGAACTCTGCTTCTACCTCTCCGCCAACGCGCACCCCGAGTCGCGGCTCGACGTGCAAATCAGCGACATGTACACGAACCCGCGGTGGACGATCAAGGAGCGGCGGCGGCGGTACCAGCGGCTCCGCCTGGCCCTGCAGCTGTGCCGGACGACGCGCGCCATCGTGCACCGCAAGTTCCGCCGCGTCCCCATCTGGGACCCCTTCAAGAAGGACACCAACCACGTCCTGGTGTACCCGCGGACCGACCGCTTCACGCCGGTGCTGTGCCGGATACCGGACGACTGCGCGCGGCTGGAGCAGGCGCTGCTGCGGCCGACGGCGGCGGACGGGGTGCTGGTGCAGTGTCTCGTGAGCATACAGGGGATGCCGCGGGAGTTTATATACGACGAGTACGCGGCGGATGTCGATACGTTGCTGGCGCTGCCGAGGTTGAGGGAGATTACGCTGAATTCGGAGGTTGTCATTACGAGTTCGAATCGGTACGAGTTCCCGGATCACCCGCACCCGAGCGCTGATATTGTGCCGATAAACACGTATTTCTTTCCGACGCTGGGGAGATGGCTGCAGGCGCATGGTAAGGCTCTGGAGGTGTTTTGTAGACGGGCGCAGGAAAGGGGGATCGGTGTGTTTGTTGGGAGTGGTGGGAGCGCGGAGAGGAAGAAGTTGCTGTTGGTTGCTACGGACGACGGCGTGCAAGCCATACTCCTCAACCCTATTTGTACGTGTGATCTGTAACTGGTATGGAGATATGAGCTCTTGTATATCACGAAATAAACCACCTTACAAAAGACTGTATTTCGTGGTCGACCCTGATCGATCGTTGAGTTGCTTGGCCGAGCCATTTGATGTAGTGATTCAAAATCTAGTACTGGCTAAAGTACCCTTCTATTGTAGCTTATTTGCAGCTATTGCGCCCCGTGTGAGTCTATGAAGAAATGGCCTCCTGTTTGCCCAAGTCGGCGTAGCAAATCGAAACGCACTCAAAGTCGCAACATACTCAAACATTACAGTAAAGCTATTATTAATGTGAGCATTTAATCCAGCTCTTACATATGATACAATCCACGCAGCTTGCATTTTGATCTGTACATACGTGAAATTGCGCGACTGCTCTACGACTTTACGACTGTACGACTTCACTTTATGCTGGCCGACTACGGTCAATGGAGCCCCGGCAACCCAGTCAAAATACCTAGGCGGCCTCAATTCAAATCAAGCAGTGGTGGGAAAGAGCGACAGGACTCCTAACCGGTGGGCCCCATTTTTCGCTACTTCCTCCTCTGTCAAATAAATATCAAGAGAGTGAGAGAGAAATAAAAACAGAACTTCCCACGTCCATAACACCTTTTCACCATCTTCCTTCTTCACTCTTCACCCACCAGAACTTCTGTTGCTTCCGGCATATTCTCAAGGGTTTACTTCAAGACCATCATCAACCAAGATGCTGCCCCAAACGACGGGCAGGCTGTTCGTTGACAGCAAGAAGACGGCCATCCCCTACGAAGTCTTCCTCAACATCGTCGAAGCGCTCATCTCAGTCATTGAATCGGATCAAACCGCCCACACCTTCCAGATTGTATCCTGCTACTATGGTCCCACCCACCTGGCCGTCACTCCATGCTGGGATAGCTTCATGTCTTCGAGTCGGATTACATCCCTGGACGCAAACGATATCAAACCGATGCAATCCCGATACCGTGAGACAAGCCTCCCTGCCCAGATTAACCGCTGGTCTCGAGCCAAGACCTTCAAGACATTTCGCCGCCTTCACATGAGCCTTACACACAGAGGCCCAGACCCCTTGGTCCTCCCAGAAATCGACCGTTTCGACCCCGCTTATGCGCTCATCTCCTGGCCCGCTCATAACCTCCTGGAACAGCCGTCTCCAAGCGACTATGCTTTGCTTCAGCATGTGGTGCACATCGTTCTCCGCAAGCCTTTGGACCTACTGAGATTTGATCACAAGGGTTCTGCAAAGAGCATTTCGGCCTTTCCCGCCCTCAAACGAATCACCGTTGGTTCTGATTTCATCTCGATTCACATGGCGCCAATTCACCCAGGCATATCGCCAATCGACAAGTCACCCTTTGAACAGTTGGCTTTTGAGCTGGCCTTGATGAGCGAGAAATTTCCTCACATTTTGCAGCAGTTCAAGAAAAGAGACATCAAGCTCTTTGGAGCCTTGAGATCCACTGGGGATGTGATTGTTGAGGTCATTCTCTTGGAGACATTGCACCTGCAGTACATGTATCCAGACTGCACCTGCTGTGAGTGGGAGGAGTGAGAATGGAGAAAGACAAAAAGCATTGAGGGAAATACATTAAGGAGAGATACAGGAAGAAGAAAGGCGGCAAGACAAAAGCTGTGAAGGAGCAGAAACAGCGTGGAGTTCAGGAACATTGAATCAAGTGGCATCGAATCATCACAAGAGCGGTATCAGGCAGTTGAGGTACTGGGACTCTGGGCATGATTACACAAAAAGCGGACAGTTTCTTTAGATATCGCCATAGCAATACAAGAAGCTGTTGTATTGAGTAGCTGAATGAATTTCGCGGTATGGCACAAGGCATGCATATGATTTTAAAAACTTTCCCATCTTTGATTGCTAGGGCTGTAGTTCTCCTGGGCTGTCTGGACGGTTTGAACGGCCATAAGGATTATTTCCTAGCTTGTTCATTTCCAAATGAAAATTGATGTCGTGTGGCAGAGTCCTTGGAAGAGTCTCCTGAGTTCTACAAAGCCCCATATCAGCATGCCTTCCTTCCACGACAAACCAGGCACCGTCTTTCTTTCACACCCCAAGAACTTCGCCACAACCACTCTTCTTGCATGGGGACTGCCTTTCTGGATTTTTCCTTGAAGTTCAGAAGCTCAATACCTCCGCTCAGTGTTCAACGGCGCAACCCTTCTTCCCATCTCCAGCCTGTCTTCCTTCCAGGGCCAGACAGACGCTGAATCACTTCGACACTCAGAAAAGCGCAGAGAGGAGCTGCTTCCGCATCGCAAAAACTTCACCACAAAATCTTTACCTCAACCACCCTTCTTGCCCAGAGTCTTCCTCTCTGCAGCTTCCTTCAAGGATCCCATATTTCCAGCCAGGTAAGTTTCCTCGTATTGCTCTCCATCAACGAAATCGAGCTAATGTTTCCTCGCCAGACCTGACTTCTGCATCGGATTTACCTGAACCGAAGCCGACTGCCTGCCACATCACCACCGCAAGAGCAAATATTCACAGACACACCGATTCGCCGGCGCAAGTCTAGCCATGTCTCCCCAACAGGCCCCGGCCATCGAAAGGCTTCCCTTCATCCCTCCAGAGATCTTCCTGAACATTATGGAGTTCTTCATCGCCGAGGCCGAGAAGCTTCAGACCTGTATCCTCTGGGAGCTCCACCACACTTGCGAAGACCGCTCCAAACTCTTCGTCGCGCCCTACAATACCGACCTGGCCTACGAACTCGCTATAAAGGAGCGCTTCCGCAATGTTCATCTCGTCCTACAAATCAGTCGAGCAACGCGCGCCATGGCTCATCGGACGTTCATTCATGTCCCCATGGCCGTCCGCGGTCGCAATTGGGGTCTCAGGATCTCGGACTTCAACACACTGGTCTTGCCCAAGCTTGATTGCTTCTATCTCTGTTACCCTGATCACTGTCTCGGCGATCTCTCCATGGGCTGGGATCAGTATCTCGAACAGGTGATGCGGCAGCTACGCCCCGAGTCTTACGCCCTTCTCGAACGAATTGAACATACCTACCTCGAAGACATATGGTGTCTTGCCCCATGGGAAGCTCCCATACACGAGGTCATTCTCTCCCTTCCCAACATCAAGGATATCTTGGTTGACGTTGGAAGCCATAACGTCGAGGAGATGCAATTGACTCGGCACGGCGGCGAGCGGTTTATTGTCCACGGGGTGTCCCGTGAACTGACTAACTGGGAATCAGGTCTTAAAAATATGGACTTGAGCTGGGACGAAGTGTGGGAGCCATTTCTTGAGAGAGGCGTCAAGCTCTTTGGTTGTCTGACTGATTCTCTCACTCTGTTCATGGAAATCCTGATCACGGAGACGGATATTTCTTACAAGTATCTCGGTCCAAAGCGCTCGGGCGTCGAGGAAGAGGAGGAGGAGTAGTGGATTGAGGTGGGTGGCTGTAATGAGGTAGCTCTCATCCAGATACCGGCATCCATAGCAACATGTATGCTCGATGGTACATTGGTACGATGCCTTGGTTTCTGCTGTCTTTCTTTCCAGTACAGTCTAGTTGTACTTGCTGCGGTGAATACACCAAGAAATATTGTAAACAAGAATCAATAACCGAGCAGTCAGAGACGAAGTGACCATAAATGATGAGCAAACAAAGGCCGTGGCGAAGGTAAAACTACCAACGAAATGTATCCCGCGCGACTGACAGCAAAGTCAAGACTTGACGTGGAAAGAAGTTATTAGCACCTTTTCTTTTGCAATCAAAGGCTGCAGTCTTGAAACATTGATGCTGATGTGAAAGAACGTCACTCCAGACAGATGTGGAAGAGTCTCCCAAGATCCGCAGACTGTGCCGAGCGACTTCGTGCGCATTCCAGATAATCTGGGTTCATCTCTGAGATAATTATGGGCCCACCACCGGCAACGTACCCAAGGTGCCATTTTTTGACATTCACCGTCCTCCTCTCTCCAGCAAATGACTCTGAGGAGAGCTCACCTCCAAGCTGTCGCGTCCACATCTTCTGCAGCCTCGAAATTTGAGGTTTCGTCTATTTTAGGCTCCCTGAAAGCAGATCAGTAAGTCCGTCAGTTGGAGTTTGGTTTTTCGGGGACCCTTCTCGTGTCGTATTTCACTTGCCTCCGACTGCTCGCTGACGTGAGCGTTTTGCTAGATCTCCCAGTCGCACCACCTGCCCGTAAGGCACACGATCACCGCTTCCTTCCCAACCACTTAGGCTACATATTGCCAGAAGAAGTTGCCAGAACAAGTCCGGCCATGTCTCTTCAACAACGAACCCTCGATACAAGCAACAGGCTGGCCGTCCCTTACGAGATTTTCTTGGACATTATCGACGCTTTCATCAACAACGTCTTCGCCACCAACATTAAGCCGCCCGAGGAAGGTGTCAACTTGGCATTCCTTTACGAACACAAGGTCACCTCAAAGCTTGCTTTTGTGGTGGCTACCGGCAACGAGTCTTCTAGCTGGATGAGCAAGATCTTGAAAGACCGCTTTCGCTCCGTCCGCGTCGCCCTGCACCTCGATCGAGAAAGTCGCGCAAAGGTTCATCGCAAGTTTCCCCCGGCTGCCATATCCATCCACAAAGACGATTGTCGATGGTCCGTCAATGCCTTGACCATCCCGGAGATTGACTCCTTCTCCATGCTCTACTTTCCGGACAGGCGCGACGCGAAGGCCCAGCTTCTGGAACATCGACTTCTCCAGCTCGTGCGGCTCCCCAGCGCCGAAACGTACGCTTGCCTCCAGGGCATCCAGTGCGTCTATTTCCCGAGCGTACTGTGCTTCGACGTCGACCTCAACGACACGGGTGTCGCGGTGGCAATGGCCTTGCCCAACCTCAAGTCCATCACGGTCGTTGTCGGCGCTACTACCGATGAAGGAATGAAGGATAAGCCTTTTCCCTTCACAGGCAACCCATCGACGGCGTCGTCTTCCCCGATCTGCAAAAATGGTCCAATAAAACCTCCCATATAACCGAGCTGTGGCCTCCATTTCGAGATCGAGGCGTGAAGCTCTATGGAGTCTTGGCCGCGATACACATCCCCGTCATGGAGATATTCGTCACGGATGAGGGTGTTTCTGTGGAGTATCTCATGTCGAACTGCTCTTGCTGTGAGCATCTCGAGAGATGAGATGCCGCCTAGAACGTCGCGACACGAACAACGACACGAACAGCGACAAGCAGGGCTTCAATATCTACAACGGCATTCCCGAAGCAACCGCTCTCAACATGGCCGAAAAAATCACAATACGACAGTGCTTTGACTTGGTACCGGAAGGATAGAGGGGGAATCCAGGTTCTGCAAGAGTCAACGGCGTTTATCTGGTGGATAGAGAGAAGTCTGAGACACCAAAGCAGTTGAGGAAGACACGGCTGCAGTATTCCAGTCATCATGTTGACGTCAGGTTTTATGTTCTCTTAATTGATCAGGACCTCCGCATCAACATGTCACAGCGGAGGCAAGCAGATCGTGTTGGGGAGCAGTATACAGGACGTTTCACAAGATAGACCGGTCTGTAGTAATAATAACAATGAGCTACGAACCTCGATTTCCGAGTTTTCCAAGTCCGATGATAGCTCCTACTTTGCGTACCAAACCCGAAAGCTTGTCATTCAAGGTGAGATGTGGAAGGTGCCAGCTTTCACCGGTCTTTCACCTGCTTTCCATTTTCGTCATCAACGTCGACTGGCCCACCCTCGGGCAGCTGCATTCACCAGCGTAGCAAACAACACACAATCGCATCTTCCAGAAACAATCTTTCGGTCGCAAAAATCAGACGGACTAAAAATTTCGTCGCAGTATCTGACCGGACGCTGGCAAGACCAACAGCCTACCGCCCCAAGCTTGCCAGCTTCGCATCTTGCGCCGACGACATCGCATCTTCTGCTCACTCGCCTCGACTTCCAAGCTCGCTAGCAAACACTCTCCAAATCGGCCTGGAGAATCTTCTCTTTCTTCTCCTCATTCAGCTCCCCGCTCTCGTTCGCATCCAAACCACACACGAAAGCTCTTGCAGGCAACCACCATGGCCATGTCCCTCAAGAAGACGCCCCCGGGCAAGGCCGGCCCAGCTTCGCTGCCATACGACGTCTTTCTTAACATCATCGACATCCTCATCACCGAAGCCCAAGTCTGCAAAAACGCCATGATGTGGCAGCTCTTCTACAACCACGACGCCGCGACCAGGCTCGTCGTCTGGGAAGGTCCAAAGTGCCCGGCGGCACCGGCGCAAGACCCGGTCCAGTGGTCGCGCCATTTCAACACCCGACTCCCCGCGCAGATCAACCGCATGACGCGCTCCATGGTCCATCGCAAGTTCGTCCGCGTGCCGAGGACCTGTCACTTTGCCGACGACGGCACCAGCAATGACGAACTCCCCCGCATCGACGCCTGGGTCCGTCCCGAGCTGGACTACTTCATCCCCTTCTTCTCCGACCACGACGAGTCCCGCTTCGAGGAGGAGCTGCACTTCATCCAGGCCATGTTGCTGCCCACTCCGCAGGCCGACGTCCTCACCCGCTCTATCACGCAGATCGTCACCCCGGGACGCTGCTTCTGGTGCGAGACCAATGCGCCTGGCGTCGCCGCCCTCTCGACCCTACCGAACCTCAAGGAGGCCTATATGGACATCGGCCGCTTCAACCCGCCCGAGAAGCTGCCCAAGTTCGACGGCCGTCTGGTCCGCATCGACCCCAACATCTTTCTCGACCTGAGGATCTGGTCCATTACCCACGGCGCTGCTTTCAGAAACCTCTACAAGCCCCTCCGGAAGAGAGGTATTCGCCTCTACGGCTACGCCAACGACGTTTATAACCCTGTGGTCGAGGTGGTGGGTACCAAGAGAGGAATCCGTGTGAGATACACGCATAACCGGTCCGGCTGCAACTGCTGCTGCGACCCGAACATGCCTCCTCACTAGTCGTTGTCACCGGTGGTGAAGAGGTTTGTTGGTGGAAGCTTGATTTCGGACAGCACATACATGATAGCTACGGATGATTCTGGGAGAAACGAGGTGTTGGGTTGCTTGGCTGAGCTTTGAGGCGAGAACTTGGGATTGACTGCTTGCAGGTATGACGATTGGGAGATGAGAGGAGCTAAAAGCAGAGTTGCATGTAATCTACTCCGAAGCTGGCATAATTAGATGGATCGGAATCCTGGCTGTTAGCTAGCGGGCAATTGCGCTACTATGCGACAAGCATACACTACGCTTAACTACGCTTTTGCTTACAGTCAGCAAGCCGCATCAATGAGGCTTGGTATCCGGCGCAGTGCGGATGTGAGTCATCGCTAGGGTTGGATGAGTCTACGACGTAAGATGAGAGTTAAAAGACAGTGAAACAACCGATTACAAACCAAATTTGAGCGCAAATCCCAAATGATGTTGTCAAGTTGTGAGTCAGAAATCGTTTGAATGCAGTCGCTCAATGTTTTTTTTTCGTGAGGTGAGGTTCAGTTTAGGTAGGTCGGCGATCGCGCCAAGCCACACCCAATACCGCGGATTCAGCCACAGACATCGGCATCACGCTGAATATAAAGCCTTCCCGCCTTTTCGTCGTCGTATCTTGTTTAGGTTCCTTTCGATATCGCCATGACAGAAACAAGCCCCCGTGCTCTTCGCGCAGAGCCGCAAAATGCGGCTCTCAACTCCAATATATTCTCCCTCTTACCATACGAAATCTTCCTCAACATTTTCGACATCCTCTTCGCGGAAGCCACAAGTTCACCAGAACCAATAGTATGGAATCTGTTCAGAGAAGACAATCTCCCGGAACAATTCTATCTGACGGTGCCTCGCGAGAAAGGTAACTACAGCAGCACCGACTCTCCCGAGTCCCGGAGCAAGAGACGCCACAACGCCATCCGCAGTGTCTCCCAAATCAACCAGTACACACGCGCAATGATATACCGCAAATTCTCCCGCCTCAGGCTCCTCCGCCAACCATACAAACACCTCCAACCGAGCACCAGAAAAAGCACCAGCGCCTGGGTGATCCCCAGCATCGACGTCTTCATGCCGCAGCTGTGGGACGGAAGGCGCTGGTCCACCCGGACCCTCATGCCCGACCTGACAAGCCACCTCCTGCCCCTCGGCCTGCAGACCATCCGCTGCGTCGAGACGATCGGCTTCGAGGACGCGCACCCGATGCTCTGCGTGCTCAAGCACGAACCGCAGAGCCTGGCCTCGATGCCGAACCTGCGCGCCCTGACGCTCTTCTACGACGGCAACTTCTGGGCGGACGACGACGGGCCGCGCGCGCATAGTAAGCGCTCGTTCCAGCTGATCAAGGGGGAGGGGCGGTCGAGGACGGATGTGCTGGTCAGGTACGCGAGGCTGTGGCGGCCGATGACGGAGAGGTTCGTCAGGCTTACGCTCAGCGCGGTCTCGAATCGGGATTTGCACGGTTTGCGGACGGCTGATGCCGAGCTGGTGAGGAGCGAGGTCTGGATGGTCGAGGGGCGGCCGTCGGTGTATTCTTGGCGGATGATTTGTATCGATCCTGGCTGTAAGCTTGGGAGGTGGAATCATAAGCCGCTTCCTTTCGAGTTGGAATGATTTATCTGTTCAATATCTTTTTCGATCATGTATTATTTTTGGCGTTGCATTCATCCTGTTTTTTGAAAAGTTCTTGTTACCGTCTTGGTGGATGGAGAACAACCTAGCAAGCAACCAGGTGGCATGATTACTTCCCTTGCTTCTCTTTCCCCCGTGCAAGTGCTGCCTAGATGAAAATCTTTGGATAAATAGAGCGCCAGGTTCGCCGCTTCCCAAACAATAATTTGGAGAAAAGTCGCTTCGAGGTATCATCATGACGAGAACGTATCTGTTTGGTTTTACAAAGTTCTCTCCAGGCAGAGACAAGTACGCTATTGAGGCTCGGGCCCTTCAGGCGGGCCTGGAACAGGGTTTTCTCACTTGCACACCAAGAAGAGAACCGTTCTATCTGTTGCTGGTTTTAAAGGCTCGACAACGAGGAAGGAACCGTCAGTACAGCCAGCCTAGACCCACAATCCTGGGCTCCTTCCATCTCTCGTCACGCCCATCCACACACCTTCCATCCAAAACCCAGGCCCCCATTCCCTTCAACCCCTTCTCTTCAACCCTACCTCTTCAATGCAACCTCTTCAATCTGACCTCTAGTTCAGACCGTTGCGACCCGTTTTCATCTTCTCAATCAGCGACAAGGATCAGCAACAAGGAAGAGATGGGCACCCCCATTCGAGACAGTTGCAGCTCCAAGCTGACGACAATACCATACGAGCTCTTTCTCCATATTATTGAATACATCATCGTTGGCGCGGCTGAGGCCTGCATGGCTCCCAACACCTGGTACATGGGTTACCTCGTTGACGAACTCAAAGAGAATAACCAGATCATCAACCATCACACAACATCAAAGAATGCCGAGGGCAACCAGATCAATGGCGAGAGCAACAGCAACAAGCCAGCCTCCAACCAAGACAAAGGCGAACATGATGCCTCTTCAGCCGTCAAAGACAAGTGGTGGCCCCGTGAAGCCCAGTTCTGCCTTTACGGTAACTACTACACTGGCATTGAAAGACACCAAGTCACCCGTCTTGCCTCTCAAATCAACAGACAGACAAGAGCTATGACCCATCGCACTTTCCTCCGCTTTCCTGTCAAGAGCTCACCAGTTGAGGCATGGCTGCTTCTGGAAATCGACGAATTCATACTGAACCTCTCCTGCAGCGACAGGGTCCAAATGCCGTTCCCCTTTGCCAGCTCTCTCGCGCTGCGCGACACCATGCTCCATCCCACCCCCGGGCTCAAGAACCTCTTCGAAAACATCAGGAACATACACATCGAGTCCGTCGCGTTGTTTCAAGAAGCCAATATTGAGGATATGAAGGCTATCTTGGCGTTGAAGAGACTCAAGCAAATCCGCATTCGGATAGGAGAAGTCGACGAGAGCGGGCTTCATCTGGCGCAGAAGAACGAGATGATTGACTGGTACTTCCCTGATCTTTTATCCTGGGAACTCAATCACGGGTCTTCTTTCGCGCGGCTCTGGAAGCCATTCAGAGACCGAAATGTGCGCCTTGTTGCAGAGGATAAGGAGGAGGGCTACTGGATGCAGCTGTTCGACACACCAAATGGGATCCGCATTGTGTTTCCTTTTGACGGATTTGTGGAGGAGTATGACTCTGAGGAGTATTGAAGCTGAAGTCAGATGCGGGTTGCTCTTGAAAGGGTCGAACGTTCGCAAGGACGAGTGTGCTTTGCCAGTTTACACTTCGCCTGTGTACACCGGTAGCTCCGTCAACAGACTTGCTTGTTGGAAGAATTACTGTCTATAGCAGCAAAGAGTCTCATGTCGGACGGATCTCTCAGCCACAGCTTTACTGCAACCCTCACCCCCTGTTCATCTTCTACTGTTGGAAGCTTTTAGCAATCCGAAAGCCTATAGGTTCATTCTCAAACATGTTCAGTGTCTACATTGCTGCAGATTGCCTCCTTGATTGTGCCTGTGGTGGCATCTTTGCCCGCCGGGCCCTTGGAAATTCCATCCATTATAACAAGCACAAGAAACATCAAGACGGAGATCATCACAGGCATCCAACATGATCAACTCGTCGTTTTGATATCTCTCACGGCCTGCTCTCAGATCTGCACTCAAGCAGCGAGTCAGCCTCACACAGATATACCATCTAAAATGGTTCTGCTGCCACATGCCTACTTTACCGGCCCAGCCGGTGCTTTCTTCAATGAGAACGAGATCACTGTCACCAATGGTCCCGCCCTCATACGCCTCTTTTCGCGAATTCCGATGATCCAGCTCAGTCAGTTGTGCCTCAGAGGCGTTTCAGCTATTACTTCCATTTCATGGTTTTCTCATTCAATCAAGGAGCGGGGGGGGGGGGGGGGGGGGGGGGGGGGGGGGGCGCGGGGGGGGG